GTAAAATATTTTCTAGTTATTTTCTAACTAAAGGTAATCACACGACTCCCTTGCATCTTAGAATGCAGTTTCAATGTTTAAATATGTCTGTGCTTACATCACTGGTATAATATGATGGGCACAATATTTTAGCAGTGTCCAAATTTCTCATAAAACTTGACAGTGTCTTGTGATGAATGGGAATGAAGACTAACTTGACAGCTTTATGAGATTTATGAGACAGGATTCCTGAGCCAGCACTTTGCCACTGCATTACTACAATAATTAATTTACAAATACACTGACAGCTTCATGTGCAGAACACAAATGCACAACAACAATAAATTGAATTTATGTAGCCTTTCACATTGGGATGATGTCCAAGCCTCTGGATAATCAAGGGTTTGTACCCAAGCTGGAGGTGGGATTTTGGCGAGTGAGGGGCTGGGGAGGGCAGGCAAGATGATGGAAGGCACGGTCAAAGAAAGTACTCGGTAGCTGTATAATAATGGACAGTAAACAGTGGAAATCCTTATCGAGAAAATGGATTACCTTTAATGTTTATTTTGGAGTCCTGTCCTGTTTACCGTGGAGTCCTGTAGCTCAGTGGTTAGAGCATTCGCCTCACAAATGAGAGGATCTAGGTTCAATTCTTGGGCGAATCCTTAGGTAAGTTTCCTTACTCCACATGCCTCTGTTTACCTAGCAGTAAGTAGGAACTCAGTTATTAGTCGATTGGTGATTGCTTTTCCAAGGATAATAATCCCTTAAAAATAATAATAATAAATTGGTCACTTCAATTCACGACTGTTTGTGGGGCACTGCTGTGTGCAATTGGCTGCCGGGTTTTGCCCACAAAATACACAGTACATTCACTTTACAGTATATTCTGTGAAGCGCTTTGAGATTTCTTGAAGACGTGATAAGGCACTATATCAAATGCAAGGATTATTATTGTCAGGTGCTATGGTTCATCTTATTTAGTCAATACAGATATATGGAATCTGTACATAAAAATGTCAGTGCCTTCCTGTCATCATCACTCCAAAGAGTGATGTCTCAATACTTATTGATACAAATACATACAAAAGTAGCCTTATGAGAATAGGTTCTCCAAGCAACAGGAAAATTGTCTGGCAACAAGCACTGGTATCTATGCCCGTAGTTTCTATCTGTGTCAATGAGAGTAGCTGGATGGTACTTAAGGGCACTTTCCTTTCTTTGGGAAGTCTATTAGCATTACTGGCACAGGGGAGATAAGAATAATCTTTAAAAGTGCATTTTTGTTGGAATAAAAAATAACTTCAGCACACTATGATTTAAATGTCTTAAGCAAATTATTCCATAATCGATAAGTATTTTTATGTCAATAAAAACATATATAGTAAGAAGATAAGCAGAAACGTTAGTTGTGCCATATTCAGTTTTATATGAAGTGGTGGGATTGAAACGTTTAGGGTGACAGCACCTTTAGCACTTTTCGATAGACAAAATAGCTTTTCAGTAATTTAAATAAGCATACCAACTGCAGGTGTCGTGTCTCATCCTTTGAGACTCTTTCTCACTCTTGAGAGCCAGATTGTCTTAATTACAATGTAGAATTACGCTAAATTACTATCAATAGACCTCAGGGCCTAATTTCTAGTATTTCTTAATGGGATTTCTTCATAATAATTCTTAATGACTAGGTTACCCAGGTTGAGCCCACTGATCCTTTGGAACTCTGCTCTGAAATGATCTAGAGTTTCCAACAGGGATTCAAACCAGATTCCTTATTAAGGAATCCCATAAAGAAGTACCACAAATTAGGGCCTTATATTTGCCGAATTTTAATGTGCAGTTTCTGCAACGATGGAGCCTGAACATTTCACTTTCTAACTCAGGCTAGTAGTGAGCAGCTCAAACCTAATGGATGAAGTCACTCAAATAAATGATCTTATCCATGATAAAGGCCTGCTGCATCAGTTTTCTGACAGTGCCTCTTTTAGTTTCAGCATACAATAATGCTCTTTAGGGTTTTCAGTGCTCTGAAAGCTTCAGTTTGAAGTTGTTTTTTTTGGTCAGCCAGGTGAGTAACACATGTAGAAATGAGTCAGCATGCTTAAGAGTATCCAAACCAGACTGAGAATTGCACTTTTGTATAAGTTTTGTGGAACTCGGTCTGGTTTGGATACTCTTAAGTGGGGCCAAGGGATCTGCAATTATCATGAATAATTCTTTTTCAACTGATGTGTCAGATCTTTGAGTCTTAAAATAATTTTGTACCTCAATCCACGACTGTTTGTGGGACACTGCTGCTGCATTTCGCCCACAAAATATACATTCACTTTACAGTATATTCTGTGAAAGGCTTTGAGACGTTTCAAAGACGCTATGTCAAGTGCAAGGATTATTATTATAAAGCAGTCATAGTCCAGCATTTTCTAGCAGTGCAAATTTAGAAATATGGAAATTTACATTTTAAACTTATCTATTTCCCAAGAATAGTTTATTAAATTGGTGACTTAATCCTTAACCCATAAGAGGGCTGGCAGGTCTAGGAGGACCTGTAATGCTGAACTAATAAATATGACAGTGATATGGCTACTTAAAGACCTGGAATAATTGTATTTATATCAATATATCAAATATTATATTGTAATATTAATCCTAATCCACTGAAACAAATACAAATACTATTTAACGTTAAAAAAATACTTTTCTGGTTCTACTTTCTGTTTTCATGTCGGGCTTTCGAATCATTGTCTAAGGTGATACTCCAGTGCAGTGCTAGGGGTGGATATAGCCTTTCTGAGCAAGACTGGCAATTTGTTGTCAGTTTTTCAGAAGGGCTGGTTTGGCTGCTGTATGCTGAGAACCCGTTCTGTTTACTAGTTTGCAAAAGCACGGCTTATTTTCATAAGTTTAGATTTTTGGGGGCTGAATTGCCCTTTCCTTTGGAAACCGTGGCATCATGAAGCACGTTATCTATATGTGAAACGAAGTCTTTATTGAACTTTAAACAAACACAGCACCAGATTTTATTACCGGCATTTGTTCCTCAAGGATGGATTAAACAGAGATCAAAAACCGAGGCATGAATGGTGTACGCACAGCCTGAGCCTCAGATTGTCCCTTTGAAGTGCTGAGTGGGTGAAAGGAAGGGTTTCTTTTCTGTTCTTTCACAGACTTCAGACGTCGTCGCACCTGTCTCCTTTGTAGAAAATTACTGCAATCTTCAGTTCACCCTGAATCTTGCGGCAAGGAGAAAAATAACCCCCCCTCCCAAAAACCACAGAAAGGCTTCGAAAAATGAAAGAATAAAAACGTAAAGTCCACAAATTAAAATAATTTAAAATATTAAAACTGTTGATGCAATTAGAGTGGCATTATTATAAATTTAAACACAAACTCACATGTATGCAGCTCCTTTCAGATCAGAAGGACTTCCCAAGGCGTTGACAATCCTGGCTTGGCACTCGAGCCAGGGGAGGAAGCCGGTGGGGGGAGGAAGTGGGGGAGAGGGAGAGGGAAGACAACTGAAAGTGCAGTCAAACACAATAAAAACAACTTGCGTTTATAATAGCGCCCTTCACCAGCCAGCTTCTCGGAGCGCTTAATAGCGGCGGAAACTGACACCGAACTGGGGGGGAAGGGTGGAGGTGACTGTAAGCACGGTCAAAGAGGAAGGTCTGCAGTCATGATCTAAAAAAGAACAACGGGGAGCCTTGAGACCGATCATTAAAATGAAAGATTTGATCTTGCCAAATTTTTGTTTCTAATCTGCTGTGCTGGATGATAGCTCTGGCATTTCCTGTGAAGATCACGCTCCATGCAAACAAACAGTTCATCAATTCTACAGCATTTTTCACCCTGTTCAGTGCAGTATGATTCCGTCAATTTTACGCATAAAACTTTTGTAACTGAGAAATGCAAGGGTGGGTGAGGCTGCTTTCTGTATGCTCCAATAATCTGGTTTTACTCTGGTGATTGATATCTTTCAAGAGCCACTAAGTCCCCTGGCTCCCCAACCCACCGCATGTAGTACTTATTTACAAATAATCTTCAGAACAATTGGAAATTTAAAAAATGTCTGATAGGATATATCTCAGACAGAAAAAAAAATCTAAGCAGACTAAAATTTAAAATGCAGCAATTGAAGGAGGTTTGGTCTTCTTTCCTGGAAATATATACCTCCCTCCCCCATCCCACTACCCTCCCCCAACACACTTGTGCAATGTAATAATAATAATAATCCTTGCATTTGATATAGCGCCTTATGTCTTTGAGATGTCTCAAAGTGCTTCACAAAATATACTGTAAAGTGAATTGACTGTATGTTTTGTGGGCAAAACTTGGCAGCCAGTTGCGTACAAGAACGTCCCACAAACCCTCGTGTAACGTAGGCATTATTTTTTCTTTTGTCTTACACAATGTCTTCGAAAGTAAATAATCACACTCCTTAAAATCATCTCTCTAAAATCATTTTAATCACCATACAGTTGATTTCATCCCAATTTTACCCTGTACTTTTTTGTGTCAAATATATTTTATAATAGTCTGTTCTGTTTCTCTGTTTCTGTTACAGCTTGTACAGTATTATATTAAACAAAAATCTGATAACATCTCTCCTCATGTGTTATTTGTTATTCCATCTTAATGCTGCCACACTGCCATACATTCCCACTTCCATACATTCCTATTTTCAACCTTCTCTCTCACTGTTTAACTGCATGTTCCTGCAGCACACAGGAAGGTCCTGCTATTGGCGGATGCAATTTTGGTGAAAGATTCGCCATCACCCACTGACCACAGCAGACAGGTGCTTTGTGATGGTAAAGTCAAAGTTGAACAGCAGATATGGTCTGTGGTCAGGTTTCAGAGTTGCATGTCACTCACGGGTTTTGTTCGAAGGTATATCAGGTGATGCATTTCTTTTCATTGGATTTCTTTGGTCACCATTGAGAGCTAGCCTTTAATCTCAGCTCCTCAGGCACATGGCTTTTATCATGAAAGTTATTTTATACTGAACAGCAGGCACATGGTTTACAAACTTGGTATTTTATTAACAAGCACTTGTCATGTTCCACACATAGAAATTGGGAGAAGCAATAGGGTTTGAGCTGTGTATCATCTTCTGAAAGGCATATAATAATTAATCACATACAAATATTCAGTGGTCTGTTTTGCTCTTTACTTCTTAACTGATATTCAGTTTTTGGACTTATAAAGTTAGGTCTCATCTCCATTGGTATTATTTTACCGAATGTGCAAAACAATTCTTTTAAAAGTCTTTATTATTCACACCAGCTCCTCAATAATATATAATAATCTTTGCATTTGATATTGCGCTTTCACGCTGTTGAGACATCTCAAAGGACTTCATAGAATATAACGTAAAGTCAATTGACTATATAATTTATGGGCGAAACGTGGAGGCCAATTGCACATGGCAGTGTCCCACAAACACTCGTGGATTGAAGTGACCAAATTATTATTAATTTATTTATTTTTGAAGGGTTTATTAGCCCAGAAAGTGATCTGCCAATCGAATAACAACCAGGTTCCTACTTACTGCTAGGTAAACAGAGCTGTGTGGAGTAAGGAAACTTGCCTAGGGATTTACTCTGCCCGGGAATCAAACCTGGGTCCTCTCACTTGCTAAGCACGTGCTCAAACCAATACGCTACAGGACTCCACAAAAATAATGAGTATCGTTTTTTTTAAAAAAATCCTCTAGGATCTTTAAAAAGCAGATAGGGCAACAAACAGCTGGGAAACCTTTTTGGCAGAGCAGAAATTAAAAACAGATTTGCAAACCTGGCTCCAGGTTTTTGCTGTTCTGGAAGGAATTCCTGTTGAACTTATGTACTATACACTGAATAATTAGGTTAAACATTGCCAGGGTTTGACTGCACACTAAAAGCTGCAAGGAAGATTACAAAGAGTAAAAAAGTTTTTCTTCAACATCGCTTAAAATCAGATCAGACCCACAAAAAATAAGTGATGGCTTATGTACAGATAAGGCAGAGAGAGCAAACCGTGTGATATCAATCTATCTACACTTTGGGTTTCAGTATCCAGCATGTACAGTACCAGTCCATGTAAACATCATTAAGTGGATCTTTTAATGATGGCAAAGGAATAATATTAGGAACAAAACTTGCATTGAACAGCGCAGTCACCTTGTAGGCAGCATTATCGGGCAGAACCAACAAGTCTTCTGAGTTTCGAGACAAGCAACAGCTTAAAATTGTCCAAGATCCAAAAGGGTCCACTCTCTGCACATGAAGAATTTGACACCAGTAAAGTCGCCCATTTACATCTTAAATAAAAGTGCTTCCTTGTTGACTGAGTAAAGTTATCTTTTTCATCCGCTTGCAGTGGCAGCTTTCAAAGCTCCAAATGAACCACGAGAAAGGGATCCTAGTGTCTCAAGCAGACAGGGTCCATCAGCTGTTCTGTGGGTTTGATGACTGTGTCTCATGCCTCCTAAAACTTGATCTGTGAATGGATGCCCTTGGGAGCAGAAAGGGTAAAAGTTACTGGATTGCTACGTATACCACAGAGAGTAGTTTAGAAGGAATGCCTTTGGTATCCAACTTATTCTTATGGTAAAATATTGTTTGTCAATCACTCAATGATACTTAAAGGTAGTTCCCACCAAGTGCACTTTAACAGGAAAGGATTAGGAAGGGTTTAGGTCATTTTGTCATGAGGTGGCATGAGTGTTATCAGCAGGATGTGGGTGTGTGCTGCAAATCCTTGCACATTTCCTATGCTGGCCATGCTATCAGGAAGCGACAAAGTGAGGAGCTGAGCTTCTTTCTCACAGGGAAAACGGTGTGGGCCATTCTCCTGCACCTTTTAGCAGTTGGATCAAAAGTGCAATCAGTCGTAACAAGTTGTGTAGCATGGAGAGGTGTGAAATGGGGAAGGAAAGAAAGTACAATGTAATTTACAAAAAAGGAGAGAAAGAATCATAGAATTATACAGCACAGATCTTGGCTCTTTGAAAAGAGCTACCCAAATCAATCCTGCTCCCCTCTATAGAATCATAGTATTATACAGCACAGAATGAATTATACAGCACAGAAGGGAGCATTTATCGTGGTTTTGTAGCTTTGAGACCCATCAGATGGACTGCAATGTTTTTTTGTTTCTCTACATTCTTACTTTCCTATTCTCAGCACATTAGGATATTGAGTTACAAAACTATTACCCAGGTAGTTCTTTTTCATCCAGTTAAAAATAATCTCAACTAACAGAGATGATAATCTAGGGATAATGTACAAATTTGTGGTAAATCTATGTTGTGACAAGGCAATGGTCCTGCAGCTCAGTGGTTAGAGCACTCGCTTTGCAAGCGAGAGACCTGAGTTCAATTCCAGGCAGGGCGAAACCTTGGGCAAGTTTCCTTACTCCACACGCCTAATAATAATCCCTCCAAAACAAAAAACAATAATAAATTGGTCATTTTCAATCTACGACTGTTTGTGGGACATTGCTGTGCGCAATTGGCTGCCGAGTTCGCCCACAAATATACAGTCAATTCACTTTACAGTGTGTTCTGTGAAGCGCTTTGGGACGTTCTCCCGACGTGAAAAGCGCTATATCAAATGCAAGGATTATTATTATTATTATTATTAAGTGAATGACATTTTTAATCTTACTTAGTCTCACGGTGGATTTTTATGACTGGTTTGTATAGGTCCGGGATCTTCCTTTCAATCATTGGCCTCAGGTTCTCCTTTAGTTTGTTGTAATTCTTCTTCAGTTCCTGCTGGTACTCTTTCTGGTCGGAGGCGATCAGACTTTTGTTCTTCTCCAGAGCTTGTCCACATCTGGAGAATAACAATAACAAAGACTTACATTTAAAGGTCAGGGTGAAACCTTAGGCAAGTTTCCTTACTCCACACGATTCTGTTTACCTAGCAATAAGTAGGAACCCGGTTGTTTGTTGATTGATGGATCACTTTCTGGGGGTAATAATCCTTCCAACAAAGAAAATAATAATAATTTGGTCACTCAATCCACATCATGTGAGGACAGGATGGGGTTTGGCTATGGTGGCTCCACTGTTGAATAGCTAACCAACTCTCACTGCAAAAATTCACACGTACGGAATAACCATTTGGCAAGAGGTTTCGGAGGGCAACTTGGGGCATGGTGATTGAAGCAGAAGAGGGAAGGGAGTAACATTTCCTCACAGAGGGGAAATGACAATTCCAGCAAATTAAATAACTAAAGAACACAGAAACCAAGGAGACAGGTTGAGCGTAAGCAAATTATTCAAGAGGCCCTGCAGGACACTGAAGCCTGTGAGATGATCTCTTATGTCAATTGGAAACAGTTACATCTGTTTTTGTGACATTCTGTCCATGTTGTACATAAGCTCATCCCAACTGTAAGTAACGTACCGCATGATGAATTCTTTGAAGCATAACCTCAGTTTATTGTGATGCCTGAAGAGTTTTGAATCCTCTGGAATGTCAGCCAAGAACACTTGAGCTACCTCTAAAGGACCCTGCAACAAGGAGATAAAACCGGTCAGTGGTGGAGCCATCAGAGAATTAGAAAATCACGAGAACTTAAATGATAAAATAGAAGATTTGGATTCACAGATCAGGAGCTCCACATTCACTCACAGGGTCACTGCAGTGTGTATCCCTGGACCATTTACCGTATTGTACAGGGATTGAGCATCTTTAGTATTCTGAGGAAATGGACTCTTTTATATTTGTTTTTTTAATGCTTCATGCTTCCTTTTTATGACCCTAATTCCACCCCCACCACTCCCAACCCTTGGGTCCTTCATGAACCCAATGGCAATGCCACTGCTTGTAACCACCACAGATGGGAAATGTAGCCAGGGTCCCTGCAACTGGTGGTATATTTGATTTAGGACCCTGTCTGACAAGTAACAAAATTGTGCACGGATTTGGGTATCAGCCTCTTCCAGGATTTATCCAGGACTACATATGAGTGAGGCAAGCCCCTCAAACATACATTGTTGGAAAACAAACAAGATGCCTGCCTGCTCAGTGGTCTCCAATACTGAAGAGTATATATAATCCTTGCATTTGATATGGCACCTTATCATGTCGTTGAGACATCTCAAAGCACATCACAGAATATACTGTAAGGTGAATTGACTGTGTATATATACATTTCAAATATATATATTTCTATATCAAATGCAATATCAAAAAGATTAATATATATATAAATTCTTTTCAATAATTGTGATAATGAAAACAAATACATTACAATCAGCAGGGGAGGAAATACCTTCTTTGGGTGTACTATATTCTATTGACTGCCAATTGTGTGACAGTCACTTGGATAGAATATGTCACATTACATGGGCTTGGTTGTCTCCTCCATTCCCCACCCCGAAAATAAACTAAACACTTTGCTAGATAAACTGCAGGAAACGCATTTCCTAGACTGGGGGAGAAATAGAAGCATAGAAATTTACAGCACAGATGAAAGCTATTCAGCCCATGGTGTCTATGCTTTCTCTTTTAAAGAGCAATTTTTTATTCCCATTTACCTGCCCTTTCCCCATACCCTATACCCATGTAGTTATTCCTTTTTCAATATTTATCTAGTTTCCTTTTGAAAGCTAAAAGTGAATGGCCATAGCAATGTTCAGTATTTAGCCCTCAAGCATAATGCCTCCGGGTGACATGTGAATTGATTCTTGCTTGGGTACTCTGGTATTGTACCTGATTTACAGTCGTTCCCACAGAGCCTTGTAGGACCATCTGAAGCATTTTGGGATCTGGGGGATGTTGGTATAATGCATTTGCCAGCTCCTGGGTTTTCTTCTGCATATCCTCGATGGCTACTTCGATGGGAGTCAGAATAAACTGCAAACAAAAACAAATGCAATTTTCAAAGCCCCTAGGACTGAAAACAATTTTGCTTTTATTCCTAGCAGACTGACGTAAAGGGATAATAGACATCCTGTTCTTTGGTTTCAGAACATTATCTGAAAATTTAAGATTATGTGGAATTATGGTAAACAATAATAAATTTTATGTTAATTGGGAAGTTAATTTTTCTAAGTGTTTTTTAGGGAGTGTTGTGGTGCTGGAAGCAAAGACCTCTTCTTCAACCCAAAAGCCTCAAGCGCAAGTCTTGACAAAAGGATTTATTATGTTGAATTTTCATCCTTTTATTACTTTCGATGTTTAATTCTGCATGTGTGGTCTTTACTGTGCAATGAGGGAGAAGTGTAAATAAATACACTTTAAGTCTTACACACTCAGTCCAACACATGGGATTGGAGAGGAGAGGATCACAGTTTGATTTCCTTTGGGGCTTTCTCTCAAAATTTCCAGGGTGGATTTTTTTCTAATGGGTCTAAGGCTTTACAAAATTAGCTATAGTTGCATGAATTTTGACCCTACTTTCACTGACTGTAAAGAGAAAAATCTGTAATGAGGGGGTTTGGCCCCAATTGGAATCTTATAAAGATCCTGTTAAAAATATCAGAAATATATTGTGTTTTCAGAATCCATTTCATGAACAAAAGATTTCAAAATGCTGTTGTTTGAGAGCATGTTTAACCTTACAACAACAACTTGGATTTATATAGTGCCCTCCATGCCGGATGCGTCTCAGAGCCCTTCAAAGCTTACCTCTTCCTTCTGAATGACATTGATTCTAGTCTTAATGTATGGAAAAGCATGTAGGGTGGTCAAGACGGTCTTCCTCTTGTACTGCTCACTGAGGTCTCCTCGGGGCCGGCCGTCCTTTGTGAACGGAGTGGTGTACATGAAGCGCCGGAGGTTGAAGTTCTTTTCAAAATAGGTAACTCTGTCTTTCGTTTCGTAGTCGTCAAAGAACGGCTCAACAAATGTTATTTGTATGTAGGCCTGGAAACGGCAAAATCAAAACATAAAGGTGTGATTCTTTTTAACAGATTACGGTCATCTTTCTGTGAGAATTGCACCAGTTCCAAAAGTAAAAATGGCCAGTTAAAAAATCCACCACATTAGCTGTCTAACTTCAGGCCTGGACTGTTCACAACCCTCTTGCAGCACAAGGAGATCAAGGATGCTGTTCCTACAGCGCATCAAAATACCATTCAGGAAATTACATCTTTACTTGGGTCCACAATACACAAATAATAATAATAATCCTTGCATTTGATATAGCTCTTTTCACATCTTCTAGATGTCTCAAAGTGCTTCACAGAATATGCTGTAAAGTGAACTAACTGTATATTTGTGGGCGAACGCGGCAGCCAATTGTGCACAGCAGTGTCCCACAAACAGTCATGGATTGAAGTGATCAATTTATTAGTTTTTTTTTGAGGGATTATTATCAGGCGTGTGGAGTAAGGAAACTTGCCCAAGGTTTCACCCTACCTGGAATCGAACCCAGTCTCTCGCTTGCAAAGCGAGTGCTGTAACCACTGAGCTACAGGCCACCACAAAGGTACTCGGGTACAAATAATGCAATTTTCCATGTGAATCAACTCAAATTGGATCAAGTAAATAATTTCCAACTGACCTTGTTAGGATCCAAGTTCTTCTTTTCCACGGGATTGGAATCCTTAATCACTTCCACAGCATCCTCACCAAAACACTGCCCATAAAATGTCTGAAAACAATACAGGATCTATGCTTTCAGCAGAGTTCTTTAAATGCTAGTCAAAGCTTTTTATCATCGCTTTGTGGTTGTTTGGCTGCAGATTAGCTATTAATCAATGATAAAATCTCAGCATTTTAACATGATAATAATACTCCTTGCATTTGATATGGTGCCTTATCATGTCATTGAGGCTTCTCAAAGCGCTTCACAGAATATACTGAAAAGTGAATTGACCGTATATTTGTGGGACGAAATGGGGCAGCCAATTGTGCACAACAGTGTCCCACAAACAGTCGTGGATTGAGTGACTGAATTATTATTATTTATTTATTTTGAAGGGATTATTACCCCCGGAAAAGCGATCCACCAATCAAATAACAACCGGGTTCCTACTTACTGCTAGATGAACAGAGGTAAGAAACTTGCCCAACATTTTGCCCTGCTAGGAATCAAACCCAGGTCCTCTCGCTTGTGAGGCAAGTGCTCTCACCACTAAGTTAGAGGATTCCAAATCTTCCACAATATTATTATAAAGAATATTAAAACAGTTATTATAGAAAATATATATTATAAAAGTTATATTATACAGGCACTGTTACATTAAGAACACAAGAAAGAGTAAACTGAAAGAGGTGCATTGGCCCATCAAATATTTGGTGTTTTGGCTTCTTCCACAGGTAGCTACAATATAACATATCAATGATAAGCAAGTCCAAGCAACTGATCACACAATCTTAAATGACACAGTCTTAAATTTTAAGGCAATGATCTTAAGCCTAAGAACATGAGAAAGTTCTCAAGCTTCTGGATTTTATTTTAAACAAAAATCACAAATAATTTCATTGGAAATAAAAGAAGCAACTGATTATAAAATTAACTTCAGCGCCTCTTTAACTAAGTTAACTTTAACTAGATTCACTATGATACCTCAAGTCGATGGGAAATTTCCGGCAGCTTGGTGATAGCAGGCTCCTTGTAGATGTATTCCTGTTCATCCAAATCTCCAAATTTTGCTCCATAGAAAGCAACCCGAAAGTATGTACCAAACATTCGTTTTTGACCCTTGAAGAGAACAAACTCCATTTAATGTGTTGTGAGTAACGCACTGTTGCATTAGGACAGACATTATCTCTAAATCCACTTGTGGCAAAACATCCCATGTTTCAATGACCCTCCTCATGGAAAATATGTTTTCCTACTCTCTTCCCTCCTCAATATAAGCACATGACTCTTACTCACAAACAATGCATTGTGAAGGGAGGGAGCTTGTATGACATATTACTCTGCTCCAAATGTGAACTATGTTAGTACCATTCCTTGGTGTATTTTAAGATAAAGCCTAAATGCCTATGAAAAAAAATCTCCTCCCAGAATAGCTACAAAGAGATAAGGCTTAAAGTGTCTGTTGGTTGAATCGCTGTCAAAATTTCACATCATTTAATTAGTGCTTTGTATCTATATTTTGTAATCCCAGCACAAGTCACCCTGCGAGAAAAGTTACAAAGTTGAGGTACTCTCTGGGTATCACCACACACATCAAACAAGTTACCTTTGCTGTTATATTTTCAAAAGCTTTTTTCAGTTTCTCATGGATATAGGACAATTTCTTGACATCCCTATGAGCTTCCTGGATCGGGATGATGACTTTGTAAACCTCATTCACAGTTTCATACATTTGACCCTAAAGAGAACAAAGTAATACAATGATCAACCACACAATCATACAGCCTTTTCCATTTTGCTCCACAACGAGTTGCGTAATCTGCTAAATGAAACAATAATCTGAAGTTTCCCCATCATTTATTTCATAATCCCCATAATAAATTTCACCCACAAAATACAGTCAATTCACTTTACAGCATATTCTGTGAAGCGCTTTGAGACGTCTCGACGACGTGATAAAGCGCTATATCAATAGTAAGAATTATTAGTAATTTGATGTAGGGTTTGTATCATCAACCTGTCTCAAAGTACTTCACTAGTAATCAGCGCCAAGTATAGTGACTGCCTATTTGTAGATAAGTGCTACAGCCAAGTATTACGTGGTAAGCTCGTACAATTAACTATCAAGTGAATGACCGATTTTATCTGCAGGATTGTTGGACAGGACACAGTGAGAAACTCCATTCTCTTTTCAAACAGTGTCATTGAATTGACTAACAACTGGGTTGCTACTTACTGCTAGGTAAACAGAGGCGTGTGGAGTAGGGAAACTTGCCCAACGTTTCGCCCTGCTGGGAATCGAACCCAGGTCTCTCGCTTGTGAGGCGAGTGCTCTAACCACAATGTTCATGTTGAATTTTGAAAGAAAAACATCAATAGAGACACTAAAAACAAATTGCATTTATATAGCGCCTTTCATGTTGGGAGGAGCAGCTCAGTTATTGTTCACATAGCTCTGATTTAACAGCTCAAGACGGGTGGTCACACTCCCAGATGGTGTGTGAGGATACGGGCAGACTTGAGACAGAAGGGAAAGCAAAATGAACACCAACTGACAATGAGCAGGACTATAAAAAGCTCACCTACCATGTTAAAGAGCTCTGCAGCTTGCTCAAGGAAACCAACGAGACCATTTTCACTAAAGTATGTCTCACTGCAAGTTCCGTCTTCATCAGGGGACAAAATGTCATCTGAAACAGCAGATTCCTCCAGCACATTGGGGGATATATTCTGGAAAGTACAACAACAACATTTTTTTAAATTAAAGTGCATAGATCTGAAATATCTAAGAGATTATAATAATAATCCTTGCATTTGATACAGCAACTTATCACATTGTTGAGGCTTAGAGGAATTTCAAAGTGCTTCAAGGATATACTGTAAAGTGTTTTTGTGGGCAAAACGCGGCAGCCAGTTGCACAGTGCAGTGTCCCACGAAACAGTCGTGGATTTTGAGGGGTATTCTCTTTTCGAATAGTGCTATGGGTTATTTAACGTCCACCTGAACAGGAGGACAGGATCACCCTTTTAATGTCTGATCTGAATGAGGTCACCACAGGGCTTGAACCCCCAGCCTTCGGATTCAGATTCCAGGCTGACATACACCAACTGAGCTTGGCTGACCACATGGTGTACAGGCAGACATAATTACCTGAAAGCTGACACTGCCCACTGGAAGATACTTCTGATCCTCCAGCATGCTCAGGTATTCTGCTACCAGAGCAGCAATATGCACCAAGCAGGTCGCAGCTTCTGTGTAGCACTGGCGCTTTGAGTGTTTATCAGCCATGTTTTGGAGCCAGGTCAGACGCAAGTCGGGTGATGTCTGATACCCTTTGGCAAGCCTAAAAAGAAAGACAAAATGCAACATGGGAACAATATTTCATCTACTTGGTCAATTTCAACTATTTGAGATGTCCTTCCATAGTGAAAAATACAATATAAATGTAATGTAAAATTCTATTATATTGCATCTAGACAGGATCTCAGTTTAAGTCTAGGCTGACACTCCAACAGCTGCATTGTTGGTGGTGCCATCATTTGACTTTTTTTGGCTGTTTGTGGGGAACAATATTTTATCTTCTTATTGGCATGTGTTGACCTATTTGGGGAGGTCGGGGGGGGAAGGACTTTTTTAATCAGGTAGAGCAGCGAATAATTACGAATGCGTTCCTTTTGGGATATCAGTGCAAATCTTAGCCCAGGTTGGTATCTGAACTCCAAACGGAATTGTAGTTGTCTAGTTGATAGAAACTATATCTTTATGTGTGCACAAGTGTGGGAGTACATTTATGTGGGTTGTTTGTGTGCACGCATACGCATGCGTCACTGCAAATGAATGTGCGTATGCGCTTTAACAGGCTGCTGGTTTGGACTATTTCGTAGCAAAAAAAAAGCTCAGAAAATCAAACAAATTGAGGAAAAACACCAGTTGCAAAACAATATTTGTTGTCAAATTGCAGTTTCAATTACAAAACAAAGGTCACAATTAGTGCAAAAACATTTGGTTGGCGCATCCTGCATTTTCAACCCCACTGTCCTACATAAACCAATGTGAGTTCTGGTCATTCCATTAAGGACCAACAAACTGCAACTCAGGAAAACAGGGGAGAGAGCCAGAACTCAGTAGCTGTTGAAGCTGATTACACAGAGAGAGAAAGAAAGAGATTATTTGGGTAAACCAATTCACTGATAATCTTTCCAAGAAATTCTTGCAGGCTATTAGTCAAAAATAAGAATAAATGTGATCTTATTCCAAGTAATTATTTCCAGACCTAGATTGGGCCTGTCCTGAGAGTTAGTGAAGTGGAAAACAGGGACATTCACTGGATTAGTGGGAGTTTAGTTCACCGCAATGCTGCCTGTAGATGTTAGTGCTAAACCAGGCTAATGAAATCGAAATGAGTTATTGTCGGTCTCGGTTGGTTAGGTAGGTAGTTCGCTGCCGCAGACTGTCCAGTATATTCAAGTGCAAATGTTGAGTCCCAGCTGTCCTGAAGAAACAACAGTGCTAATGACTGGACACTGGGGGTCACTAAACTCCTGCAGTTTAACTTTCAAACATATTATACTTTCTGTTATTTCAATGCAAAAAAAACAGTAGCAATAACATGCACGTGTATACTACCTTTCGGCCAGAGTGAACTGTTTTAAGTGCTTGACGGATACAATGATGAGCAGGTTTGTGAAGGATGCCAAAGGAGGACGAAAAGAAGTTTTAAGGTTGTTGACTAAAGTCACAGATGAAGAGATGTGTTATTGTAAGGATTTTAATGGCAGGAAGAGAGTAAGCATGGTGAAGAAAGTTCCAGTGGACCAGGGCACAGTGGTTCAAGGCTCAGCCGACAATAGTGAGATAAAAGAAATGGGGAGCGAGCAACAGACTGGAAACAGAGAAGATATGTGCAATAGAATTGGGGGAGAAAAGGCTACATAAGGAGGTAGAGGGTGACACACAGAGTGAGTTAAAAGTCAGGACAAGGATCTAGGGACCAAAAGAGCCTTGTATGAGAAAGGGCTCAGACTGTATAACCTGAATTGGGAGACCAACAAGGAAAGCTTTGGAAAAGTCTGTCCTCAGGTGATGAAGGCATGATTAAGGGTTTCAACAGCTTAGCAGATGAGGTAAGGGCTGAAGTGAGCTTTATGTTATGGAGGTGTAATTAATTTAATTAATTTGCATCCTCTTTTCTCTCAAGCTCAAGTTCATCTGCTCAGTTCAAATGGATCAAATTTTGTTGGGGGCATAGTGTAGGGAAGGTCATGGGAAGAGAAGGGCAAAGGTATTTTCTTCCTCCTTATGGCACGGTTAGAAAATACAGTGTTCTGCATTCTGGGACTTCGACCCAGTTTCCCTGATAAGATGCCAGGAAGTAGTATTAGCACCAGACCTTATATCATATAACAACAACACAATCCATTTATCCTGCCAGGCTATGATTTTATGCCTCTACTTCGCAACCAGTGGCCGTCAATAAAGATTGATCTTAACCCAAAGGCCTCATTAGAGCAAACTGTGGCAGTTCTTGCCAAGACCACAAGGTGGAGCCAATGAGCACTCCATATTGAGCTTTTGACCCACTCACCTGGTTACCATCCAACCTCAAGATCACATGAGAAGATTGGATAAAAAAAGTTTTGATCTCCAGAACAAAATACCCTACTGTCCTCCCATTACAATAGATCTGTTTCTTAAATGAGACAACCACCCTTCTTGCTAACCTTTTCAGATCACTGAGTTCTCTTTACGTAGAGAAATACTTTCTGGTGTCTGTCCTGCAAATTCCCTTTGCAACCATGAACTTCTGTCCTCTTGTTCTGCTGCTCTGTCATATGAAACCATTGTTCCAGGACTTTTGAAAGTTTAGGGCAAGGTCATATGGCTTTCCAGAGTTAATCTGGGATGTCATCTGCTCCAAAATGTCCACGTCCGGGTTCGTGCCACTTGCACAGAACGACAGTCCAGCTTCCTCCCAAACTCAGAGCTCCACTAATAATGCACGTCCGTACATGATGCTAGCAGCTAACAACTTTGCAATGTTCAATCCAGGTGTTGCCAAAGGAGGAGGCGAGCCTGACTCAAGAACCTGGTTGGGTTGACCAGTGATCTCTTGCATTCTGGAATCCATTCATAGATCATTTTGAATATTACTGATATTAGAAATAATGACTTTTTCACACAGCTTGAGTTTGAAAACATCGCTATGTTACTATGTTGGTTTGAAACATGGGGGAGCGGGCGGGGGGAGACAAAGCGGTGGGGAGGTTAATATGTACCTGTACATCAGGTCCATGAGCATTTCGGGATCCTCCTGGAACTCCCTCATCTTCACTGTGTCCGACAAGATGCTGTTCAGGTTACGCAACAGCTCCTCCACCTGGAAAGGAGAGTGAGAGGCAATGAATGTATTGATTAAAACAGCTAATGTACAACGTGGAACTTAATTCCAGAGATCTGAAATTTCATCTTGTTTTAGCCTGTAATGTTATTCTATCCCCAAAAGTGCACAGAACTGTGAAATATTCTTAGATTTTTACAGGTGTTTGAGAGGGCACCTGATAGAGGCACTTAAGATTATGAAAGGATTCGATACGGAAGATGTTAATAAGCTGTTTCCATCTTTTGATGAGTCTGTAAAATGAGGACATAAATACGAGATAGCCAGTGGTAGATCTACTAGGGAGTTTAGAAGGAACGCAGAGGGTGGTGAGAATGTGACACTCAATGCTGGAAACTGCCATGAAGACAATGACCATTTTCTTTTATCTGGGGATTGTTGACCAGGACACCGGGAGAAATTCCCTTCTGTCTTGAATAGTCCCATGGGATCTTTAACATCTACCTAAACAGACAAACAGTAACTGCGTTTCGGAGAGAATACAGTGAAGGGCATAGTATTGAAAACAAAGGAAATATAACTCAAAGGTTTTTCAGATTTGGACTCGATGTCAGCTCACTCTACCTGAATAGGAAACATTGTCGGCTGCATATCCTCATCCTCCTCTGCATAGGCCAGGATTGTTCGTAAGGATCGCCTCAAGTATTCTTCATTGAAATCGGAGGATTTACCCACCAGTGAGGCCAAGGACATTGTTACTTGCATTTTTACTCGGGCAAAGTTCTGAAAGAGTAAAACAGGAGCGTCAGTTGTACTGTTGTTAAACTTGAGACTGGCACACAACATTTAACGATTCACACTCACTACAATGAACATCCAACAGAAAAAAGGTACACAATTGGAATATAGGAATTCCTTGATGAAAAAAGACCAAGGTCCATCTAATTCGCCCTCTATCGTCCTGGTGGTCGCATGCTACAATAATGAAGAGGCTGATAGTATGGATTAGTCTACAACAGATTAGAAAGCTTTGGGAATCTTAGATCCAAAGTTGCCTGGTTCTGCCAAGTCATACTACACTATTCTATATATGTCATGTCTCAAATCACTCAAATTAAAATGGTAGCAATGGGCACAGAACCTGAACTGTCAACAGTGGTCAAATGCCACAGTTAGCATTGCACCAGCAAAGGATAAACTACAAACATAGTCTTGGTTCCCACAAGTAGTATAAAATCTAAAATCAAAAGACAAAAGGACAAATGTTCAAAGACTATAGTCACTAATATTGATATGTGAATAACACAGTCACTGCAGTTCAAGCACAACTGCCCTTTGTACATTTTACTGTGTGGAGGTCATTTCTTGGCCGACCTTCTGTTTTGGTCTGCCGGGTGTCCAACACACGCAGAACCCATCACCATGCTTAAGAGTATCCAAACCAGTCCTGAGAGCTCCATAAATGCATTGAAATTTCCTTTTGTCTGGAATGGAATGTGCACTCTCTCCCTAGAGGAATGCAACCTGTCCACCAAATCTTGGAAACTATTAAGCCCAGGTGAGTTTGTGTGTTGGGTACGACTGGAGTGTTACCAGTCAAAATCAAGCAGCTTGCCTTTGTGAACATGTCTGGCAAGCTTTCTACTGCTCGTCAGCTAGGACCACTCTAGATGTTAGGGCTTTGTTTTGCAGAGCCGAGTGGGAATGCCCTAATCATGAGGCTGGTGCTTGCTGCAAGGTAAAACATTGAAGTGCATTAAAGAGCCTGTGTGAGACTCACGGAAGTAAGGTGCATTCCTTCCTTCAACAAACACCGTACACTATAGGTGATAATAAAGGAGCCTTACGCTGATTGTACTGAAGCTGTGCCTCATGATAAGGTAGAGAGTGGCGCAGGCCTGGGTCCGGGTGCTTTCAAGGCTGCTGCTGCAGTGGTGTAGGACCCTCTGACACATCTCAGAACATTGTTCTGCCTCCTCCTCGAACAGCAGGTCTGCATACTGATAAAACAAAAGCACACAATAACATGGAAGTATGACTAAATGCATACGAAAACAGCATTCTGCTCAGTCCAGGGCCACAGCGTCTAATCTACCAGGCACTGTGGTTCAATTTGTTCCATTACAGCACAGACTGGTATTGTTTTGCTGTGCTGGTCTCTTGTTTCTGTACTGAAAGCTTTCAATCTCCTTCCACTGAAAGAGCCATGAGTTACCTTCATTTGCTTAGCAAAAAACATTTTAATTATCATAATATAATTTTTTTTTAAATTGGGTCACTCAATCCGTGAGTGTTTGTGGGACACTGCTGTGCACAATTGGCTGCCGCGTTTTGCCCACAAAATACAGTGAATCCACTTTAAAATATATTCTGTGAAGCTCTTTGAGATGTCGCAAGGTGCTATATTAAATGTAATGATTATTATTATTATTATTAATTATATTTAGGAGCATGTTCCTTATGTGAAAATAGGCTTTGAACTTTAAGACTGAATTGAAGACTGCTTCACAAAATTCCACACCTTCTTAGATTCTGAACCAATGAACAGTTTCAAGCCAAGGGTGTGAGAAATTTTGGGCCCCTCTAAAAGGAGGTAAATATTTTACTTCTCCTCGACTTTTTCCGAGTTTGAAGCAAGTTTTGGAATCTCCTCGGGGGACAAATTGTAGATAGTTAATGATACAAGAAGAATGTATTTTGTAACTTTATACGTATTTGCAAGCAGGAGGAGCTGGGTACAACATCCCCACCTGTGGCAATACTGAAAAATCGTTCAGAGATCACATTTTACCCTTTACAGTCCTCCAGCTTAACAGTGGGTTTGGAGGTGCTGACAAAGCTGAGAACGGCCCTTGGAGTAAGAGCTCCATGTTATTTGAGGAGACTCGTGGAGATGAAAATTGTTTTCATCGGAGAAAAGAATGCGAGGGCAGGAGTGGGGGGAGAGAGGAGGAGACACAAGATCTGGGTCTTTAAATTGGTGAAAGTTGGAAGGTCTATGAGATGGAGTTCCAGAGAGTGGGGGCAGATTGGCTGAAAACCTGTGCACCACTGGTGGAGTAGATAGACGGGGGCCATTAAACAGGGTGGTGCTCGCTGAGCGAAAGGAGCCGGTAGTATTTACCAGGGGTGAAAGAAATATGTCCAACCCAATGATGACAGCAGTTTTTAATGGGGTGGGAATAGTATCACAGGACAGGGAGAGGTTTACAATGTCAGTGAGTAGAGGGGCAAAGAGGTGGAGCTGGGAGGTAAGGAGAGGGGTATGGATGGGGTCAAGGTAGCAGGTGGTGGGTTTCATACGGGTTATTATGGTGAAGAGAGAGGAAGGGGAGACAGGTTCAAAGGTGTGGAGGGAGGGATGGGTAGGGGCCAGGAGCAGAGGAGGAGATGGGGGTGGAGTAGTAGATGCAGTGGCAGAGGCAGCTGAGTGGATTCCTTCAACTTTGGATTCGAGGAAGTCCAGCATCGTCTCACAGTTGACATTTGAGATGAGGATGGGTGAGGTGTAAGAGGGTGGGCGAAGGAGTGGGTTCATGGTGGAGAAAAGGAGCCTGGGGTTGTCCTTAGCTTCCAAGATTGTCTTGGAGTAGAACGACGATTTAGCGGATGCAAGGGCAGAGCGGTAGGATTTGAGATGGTCCAGCCAGATCTGCCAATGGACCATAAGGCTTTGATTTAAGCCAGGTGCGCTCAGCGGAACCTATCGGTGCTTTAAAGGTGCGGAGGTGGCTGGTGTACCAAGGTGATTTACATGAATAGGAGACCGTTTGAGAAGAGAGGGGAGCGAGGGAATCAAGAGTGGAGGAGAGGGAGCTGTGGCCAAGAGAGACCGAGGAGGATAGGTCATTGCGGGAGGACGCTCAGAGGGGAAGGAGTTCAGATGACTCCAAGGCAGCTGAGAGGGAGGGCGGGAGATTTTTTCCAGGGGCGGTAGGAGATGGAGGTGGGTTGGGTGGCGGTTTGGAGAGGGATTGAGGAGTTAAGGGAGATGAAATGATGGTCTGAGATGGCTTTGTCGATGACAGTGAGGTCTGAGACTGTGAGGCTCCGAGTGATCACCAAGTCGAGGGGTGACTGCGGATGGTGGAGTGGATGTGGAGGGAGAGATTGAGGGAGAAGATAAGGGAATAAAGTCAGCAGAGGTAGAGCAGGAAGGGGTGAAGTGAAGGTTGAAATTGCCTAGGATGAGGAGGCGTTCGGAGCAGAAGAAGAGGGAAAATAGAAGGGTGGAGATGTCGGGGATGAAGGTGGGGGAGGGTTTGGGGGGTGGTAGATAAGGAGAATTTGGGGGGAAAGGTTGGAGGGGTGATAAAGGGTAAGGTGCTCGAAGGAGGGGAAAGTTCCAGAGGTTATAAAGGTTTGGTTTTACCTTTGCCAGAAGACCCCTCAGGGTGTTGAAGCAATGCATCAGGTAGCAGGAGCTCTGGTTACAACCAAGGCTGTGAAGAAGAACTCTGAGTACATTTCCGAGGACACTGTCCTTACTGTCAGACACAGAAATCGCCTGCAGGGTTCAATAAATAGAACACATTTCAGATTACTTTTTTCTTCTCAATCCTTCCCCCCAAAACATTCAACATACAGCTATATTAGGTTAAAGGAAAGTACCCTGCACTTTCAGGTACAGTAATTTCTCTAATTGCTAGGGATTATTCTCCAGTTGCCATTCCCAAGGGATGCAGTGCTCCAGACAGGCTTCATCTGCAGTACAATGCTGCAAAACAAGGTGTCGACACAGATCTGGAAGCAGTTTAGGAGAGAGCAATGAAGCCGATTCCTAATGTTGAGATCAACTTTGAGGAACAAAGATCAGCTTGGGATCTTCAGCCTCAAAACGAGACATCTCAGAATGAATGTTTTAAAAGGAATATAAGATGCTAAATGAGAAAATATAACTGCAACTTTGCTTTCATTACAACTGGGTGGTGGGGCAAGAGGGCAGTGGTTCAGGGTTATGATGTGCACATTTTAGTATAGATGCCAATAAATATTTATTTTCACAGTTGAAATGTGTTACAGGGAAGGATGGCAGAGAACAGGACACTAAACTCATTTAGAACAATAATATAATAATAATCCTTGCACTTAATATAGCACCTTATCATATCTTCGAGACATCTCAAAGCGCTTCACAGTAAAGTGAATTGACTGAATATTTTCTGGGCCAATTGCGCACAGTAGTGTCCCACAAATAATTGTTATTATTATTTTTTAAGGGATTATTACCCCTAGAAAAGTGATCCGTCAACCGACAAACAACAACAGCAGCAAAATTACATTTGTAAAGCGCCTTTCACATCGGGAGGATGTCCTAAGGTGCTGGACAGACAGAGTTACGGAGCCGAGCTGGGGGTCGGGGTGGGGGAGGGTGGAGGGCAGGAGGTGAAGCAGGGAGATCGAAAGCACGGTTGAAGAGGAGGATCGTGAGATGGTTCTTGAAGGTGGCAAGGAGGGGATGAGAGGAGGGACTGTGGGATGGAGTTTCAGAGGGTGGGGGCAGCTGGAAGGCCTGCCCGCCAATAGTGGGGTGAGCAAGGCAGGAGACATGAAGCAGGCCAGAGCCCGCTGAGCGCAGGGAGCGAACAGGATGGTAGGGGTTTAGGAGGTCGCAGAGATAGTGGGGAGCAAGACCATGGAGGGCTTTGAGGGTGAGGACTAGAATCTTGAACTGTATCCTCTGTGTGATGAGAAGCCAGTGGAGTTGGGCGAGGATGGGGGTGATAGGGTCACGGAGCCTAGTGCGGGAGAGGACACAGGCTGCAGAGTTCTGGATGATCTGCAGCCTGTGGAGGGAAGAGTTGGGGAGGTCGACAAGCAATGAGTTTGCATAGTCGAGCCTCGATGTAATGAAAGCATGTATGAGGGTTTCAGCGGTCTGCGGTGTGAGACAGTGACGGAGCCAGACAACAACTGGGTTCCTCCTTACTGCTGGGTAAACAGAGGCGTGTGGAGTAAGGAAACTTTCCCAACATTTTGCCCTGCCCGGGAATCGAACCTAGGTTCTCTCGCTTACAAGGCAGGTGCTCTAACCACTTAGCTACAGAACTCCACAGAACAAGCTTGATGCTGAATGGGAAGACAGTTAGACTATTATTCTAGTAAAACAAGATCAAATAAGACGATGGGCCTTCTTAATCTGATTTTATTTAATCTTGTTTGATCTTATGAAACCCCCGAACTAGTTCCCCCAATGACACCATCACGCTGACCATCAAACAAACAACATGCAACAAAGAAAAATTGGCACAAAAACGGCACACAGAAAAAAAATCAAATTAACCAAGTTGAGAAAAGAGAGACTCCATTAAACCTAACCTCTTCAATCCTGACTACTTAGTCACAATCACATTTGACACAGTTAAATCAATTAATTGTTCTCCGCGGCGACATTCAGCAGGAAAAGTCCTGTACAAATTATCAAACTGAATCCTGACCACAGCATCTCAGGCATCACAGAACAAGATTTCTTCAACTCTACTATAGTTCTCAGTTATAAAAACACAAAGATTGAGGGATGATGATGTGTAATAAATTCAGCTTATCAGGATCAATAATCAGACATAAGGGACAGACTATTTTGGAGGTCACTCATTAACCCTCTGAGCACGTGGTCAGTTAAACCTGTTAACACACCTATACCGCAGGATGGGATTTTATAACGGGACTGCACTTTACTTAGAAGGAGATCAGATATGCCGAATCATTGAAAGGGGAAATAAATTAGTAAAGTCGGAGAAACCCGATGCCTTCGCACTGCCGTTACCTGCGTGATTGTTTCCAAGGTATCCAAAACGATCAGATTAGCTTCTGTAACCAGATTCCCACAGATGAGCGCTTCCTGATCTAGGTCTGCTTTGGATCTGCAAAAACATCAATAAAAGAAATGGGAGCTAAACACGTAACGTATTACTTTACCATCAAATTCTGTAATGAGACCAAGCATAAGCAGAAATAATACAACATGACATTTTGATAATAATCTCTTGTAGGTCAGCAGCAGAGGGTTTGCACAACCTGCACCTTAAGAACATTACTGGATATGGGAAAAGAACTGGAATGTCTAATTTAAAAAAATTAGAAAAACAAGTGATCATGGGACAAACCAAATGGCCTCTTTAATTCACACAAAGAACAATCAGTGATGGAAATTTCCACTCACCCAATGGGCAAGGGTGGGTTTCCTGGTGGCTGGGCAGTCGGGAAGAAAACAATAGCTCTGGTGCACAGTGCAAAAGCTTCCTGATGATGTCCCATGGGAGGTTTGAACACGTCTTTATCTACGCAGTTCTCATAGAGCAAGTTAGCATTCCTTGCTTTTTACATAGCTCCAATTACATCAAACATCTCAAAACACTTCACAGCGAATTGCTGTGAAGGGTAAATGACTGTATATTGTGTGGGCAAATGAGGCAGCCATTTTACGAATAGCAGGTACCAAACAGCCCTGAAGTGAATGACCATTTAGTTGGAGCATCTTTTGCTAAGACACCAGGAAAAGTTCCCTGTCTGAAATGTGCTGAGAAAATAAACGGAGCAATTGAGATTTTTAAAAATATATATATAAAAAAACTAAAAGGGCTATTCAGGCACACTGCTCTTGCATATTCGATCCAGCTGGTTACAATGTAAGGTCAAAGTCAATAATAGCAAGATCTTAGTGACAGGACTAAAGGAGAAAAGCACTGAGCACTAACAAATGTGTGGATTTTTGCACCTACTTCTCTAACCGTTCATTGCCCTGTCGCCACTGGGTCTGATCTTTTCTCCATCGCAGGTTTTCATTCACTCCGATGGTCCTGTCATTCCCTGTAATTGTTGAATGGTGCAGGAATTAGAAACTCATCTCAAGTAACTGAGACACACATCAGTTGAGTGTTGTGGCGTGAAGAAAAGAAACTATGGACAATGCAAGTGATGTAATATACGTCTAGGAGTGGATTCCCAGGCAGTGATTTCATTTACGGAAAGTTATAAACCACTCAGTCTTTACTCTTGTGCGTTTTGTGACATTTGAACCTGGCAGCGAATTCTACAATCTCACTATTTTATACGTTAGACATTGTCTTACAATGTGGAAAATTGTGCAAAATTGTGGAACATTCTTAAATTTGGAAGCCTTTTTTCCCTCGCAATTCATTAAAAAAGTTTCCAAATTAAGATTGATTTTAAGAATTTCCCACAATTTCCTAAATTTTAGGACAAAATAATCTTAAGGCTGAGACTAGATGGAATTTGGGGCTCCGGGTCTTAAACATTTCATGTTGCTCATTAGGATAACGGGTCTTCATGTGAGATCAAACAGATAAACAATAAATAATCCTTGCATTTGATATAGCACCTTATCACGTTATCAAAAACTTATCCAAAGCCCTCACAGGAGTTAACTGTGAAGTACAGTGACTGTGTATTTCCAGGGAAATGTCAAACATCTGGGCACATAAATTTTTTTTAAACTGGAAAATCTTCAAGTAAGATTATAATTGAATAGAAGCTTTAACAACAACAACTTGCACTTATATAGCACCCTCCATGCAGAGTAGCGTCTCAGAACACTGGATTCTGTGCTACCACACACTCATTTTCAAGGGGTGGGGGGATCTTCAAACTCAAATACAAATCCGTCCCCACCTTACCTCTCCTACTTGCTCGTACCCCACTTCTGTCAACTCCTTTCACTCAGCTAGCACAGCCCTACCCCTCCAATCTTTTTGTTCCACAATCGATGACTGCCACTATGCTCTAATTCCTCTAACTCCCTGCTTCAATCTCTTGCTTCACCCAATTTTATCAATCTTCAAATCCCACCTAAATACCTACCTCTTTGATTCCTTATAGGTCTAAAATGACTCCCGAGGCTACCTTATAGCCTAAGAGGCTCCTATGATCCTCTCTCCCTCCCCTTTCTCCCTGGTCGGCCTCCATCCTCACCTTTGCACAGTGCTCCGAGACGTTGTCCTATGTGAATCTCTATATAAATGCAAGTTGTTGTTGTTAGTAGATTACCTGGGCCACGGAGGCGTCTTATCATTTCCCCTCGAGCTCCTGCGTTTCTCAGCAGCGCTTCCTCCAGAAGGGCCTTGGTGTCTCTGGATTTCTGGCGGGCCTGTGTGCTGACCTTATCAGAGGCCGATTTGCCCTGAAACCACCCAAACACAAAGGCAAGTCACTGCACTGTTTCCTTCCACTACCGGGACCCTATACTGCCATCACTTGCTGGACCTCTTTAATAAGCGCCCCTGTACTTATCAACTCGTGTTTGCCCTTAGAAATCAAACACAAAACTAGAAACTTGTTTCGTTCTCAGACCACAGGCAGATCACATTATCTTCATAAAAGTTACAAACCTACCACAAAGGTCAACACTTCAACAATCATGTAAGGTGCATTGATGGGGATTTGATTATTTGAAGATAACAAACTCAACCATGCCAATAGGTTTGCAAGTTTATCCTTTGGCTGAAAGCCACATTCAGATTCCTCACTTGCACTGAACTAGTCACAACCTGTTACAATATCTGAAGATTAACAGTTCCAGCTCTGGGAATTTCCCTTTGTGGAAATCACCTTTTGTGAAAATCACCTTCCTTTGCAGATCATCAACCTTCTGCTTTGAAAGCTCAGGCATCAATTTACTGCTTTTATATCATTTGTTTACTCCTAAAGGCAACGAGACAGCATTATAATTCTGAGCTGTCAATTCACACTGCACGAATGCAGTTACTAGTTCGACACCACAACCGCAGTGTGACTGTCCCACTGGTGTTTCACGGAGGTAAGCAGGGTCTCCTTGGCCCTGGGCTGGCTCCAAGGTCATGTGTCTGGAAGAATTAAGCAACTCTCTGTGGTGATTTAATTGAGGCATTTAAAATAATGACTTCCACTTGGTAGAGTGATCTCCCTCAAGGGAAACAGCCTTAAAATCAGAGCCAAAACAGTTATAAATGCGGTCAGCAAGCATTTTGTCACAGCTCTCTGCTCCAGAAAGCTGTGGAGGTGGAATCAGCAGGGATGTTTAAAAGACAAATCCTTGAATAGGAGAGGTATTAAAGTGTTTGGTGCCTGAAAGGTTAGTGGAAACGGATTCAATAACAACTTTCAAAAGGGAATTAGATAGGTCCTTGAAAAGACAAAAATTGCAAGAGTATGGGGAAAGGGCGGGGGAGAAGGACTTAATGGGTAGCTCTTCCAAAGAGCTGGCACAGGCACGAGTGGCCGAATGGCCTCCTTCTATGCTGTAATATTCTATGATTCTATAAGAGTGAGGCATTGGGATTAAAAAATCTGCAGAGAACTCATAAATTGATGGAATAAGCTTGATGGGCTGAATGGCCTCCTCCTGTTTTCCTTTGAATGCCACTTGTATGTTTAATGTTAATAATCCACTGGCTTCAACTCAGCTTTACTTGACACGATAATGATGTACATTTCACCCCAGAAACTCTTATAAATATATATAGGAACATAGGAACAGAAGTAGGCCATTCAACCCCTCGAGCCTGTTCCACCATTGTATTAGATAATGGCTGATTTGTACTTAATATTGGATACATATTTGTATTTAAATATATCTAATAATACTGATATTGGAGAGATAGCACTCTGCACAATTCAGATCAAAGGAAAGAGAAATGGTAACGGGCAGCATCCTTACCTTGTAATCAAAGCAGGAGACGCAGAGGTGCAGCAGGTCTAAGATCTTGTTGATCTGGGACACGGTGAGATCTGACAACCACTTGTTAATCAGACTTTCATCGACGTTCTTCAGTATCCACAAGAAACAAATGAGCATTGTCCTACTAGTCTCAGAAGTCAATGGACTGATTTGTTTACTCGGCTGCAGAGAAGAGGAATGATTTGCTCTTTTATGATAGAGATTGATAAACTTGGAATATATGTGCTATGATGTACAGAAATGCACCAGCACAATTTGTAGTGCAATGTAATACCCACATATTACCAAGAACTAGATCTTTCCAGTGTTTTCTTTGCATTTTATACACATAAATGGGATTATGTTACCTTGGGGTTGAAAAAAAGCTCAGCTTTGAGTTGCCACTAGGGTTGCAATCCCGGAATTTCGGAGCACCATTACCGTATGGGATCCTGGGAATCCTGGGATTGCAACCCCAAATTGCCATAACTGATGCATATGAACTTCCCTGGACAAGATGCATTTGATGTCCAGAGACACGTTTTCCAGGTGAGGAAGCAGTACACAGTGCTTTTTAAACCCTTTTCACACATCTGAAAAAGAGCACCTTTTTGTGTATTATCTATACAAAGGGGGAATAATTCACAAAATAAAATACAGAGAATACTGCAAATGCACAGCATCTCATTCATCTTCCGAGAGTAAAAGGCAGGTTCACATTTGGGGTATGACCCTCCATCATAACTCACACCCAATGCTTGTTCACCTCTCTGTTTAGATGCTGCTTGACCTACATTTGTCGTCTTTATTTCAGCATTTGTGCTTTCTCCTTTTAATCTTTCCCAGCAATAGTTTTATACCGGTTGTGTGATTCAATGCAAACACAAATTGTGTTTAGATTGAGAAGGCTCTAGGAAAGTCGAACTCCGTTCTCACCTCAAAGCGATGCGTGTGTGAAGCAGGAAGCTTGCTGGATATGATACAAAATACAGTATTACAAAGAAAGCTCTAGCAATACCCCAATGCACAATCTTGGCTCTTGTCAACTAGCTTTCTGGGATTAGGTAAACAGGGTCCGTCCTGCCGGGGATAGAGTGCACATTCCATGCAGAGATTCGGAAATTTCCACCCGTAGGTGGAATGTGTGTGGAATGCTCAGTCTGGTTTGGCTGCTGCATGCTTCTGTAGATGGTAATTGCAAGAGTCCTGGGATCCCTGAACGTGTTGCAGCACATAACATGTGTATACATTCATGGGTCATGCCTGCCCTTGTACACTTTTCCCCACATTTAATTGTCTTGGTGGCTTTCGGAAATAGCAAATTAGGCTCAGTTCCTGGGCAATGCCTCTCCTGACTCAAGCATTGGGGAGTGAAGGGGCACTGTTTTTGTTGAAAGGAGTAAGGTCAGCATTATAAATTCACATTAAAAAGCGTTGCTGTGTTAAAGAAATGCCATTGAAGTTGAAACCTCTCTACTGGCAACTCTCACCACTGGAAAAAGCATTTCCCAGCAAAAATTACAGTTTCTCCAGGAAAGAATCCGTATATTGCATCAAACTGCGAGGCCTTGGCTCTGACTCCTGTATCCTGAAGCCAAGATCTCATGAATCAGTGTGACTATGGTTTAAGTTGGTGAAGTGCTTTCTCCAGCAGCAAGGCTCCACTTAATGCCATCACTTTGACAACCCCTCAAAGTATCACTTTCTGCCAATTTTACGTGACTGACAAGGCCTCTCACTTCAACAACAACAACTTGGATTTATATAGCGCCCTCCACGCTGGATGGCATCTCAGAGCGCTTGCTCACTTCACTCAGTGAGCATCAACTTGTTTCATGTCCACAACTTTCAGTCATCTTTCCCCACCCCATCCCTGCTCGGGTCCTGACCCAACTGTACAGCGCCTTGGGACGTCCTCCCGACGTGAAAGGCGCTCTATAAATGGAATCTTGTTGTTGTTGAGATCAGTGAGGAGCCGTGCAGGGTGGGCTGAAAGTAAAGGTGACTGATGTTCAGCATCAGTTACCGGCCTTGGCTGCGGCTTTGCTCACCAGCCTAGTTTGTTACAGTAGCCAATCAGGATACCCTCAAGCGCAGACCAAAAGCCAGAAGTGAAACAACATTTCCCCGTCAGTGAAGGGCAGCAGGCAGCCGCTGACAGCACCTTCACGTTACCTGACGCTCTTCCCACCATCGCCTGCGCGGAGCAAAGCAGAACTAAACAGAAACATGCTCCCAGCATACCAGAGGCGAAAAGTTCGTCATAGTGGCTCTCAGCATTGTGTTCATCGAGCTTCCAGCAATAGACATGGCAGTCTGCGGGCTGATTATGTTGACGTTATCCCCATCACCCTCTGAGCTCATGGGACGTCCCTTCCTAGTTCGAGCATCTGAAATAACAAAAGTAGTCAAAGCAGTCCCGGGGATGGTGGAGGCTGACCTGTTGATGCAGAGGTGAAATTCACTTCCCCAAAACATTAAGGAGAACACTGCATGACAAGTAGGCTATAACTGCATATACAGAGAGCAAAGGGTTCACTGCCTGGCTCCTGGCTGACAATCAGCCTTATCAGTGGGATGTCTGACTCGTGTCTCACTGACAAAGTAACAAATGGTTTGTTCACACAATGTTGTCCAGACACATCCCTCTGTGACGCTGAACGGAAGGCAGGACATATTTATGGTTTTTACCCTTCTGTAGTAGTTTATCCAAGTTTGTAAGTACAGTGTAACCCTAAGTGCTGCTTTGTTATAATGTGCTCTTTTGGTCCATAAAATCCCAACTTGTTTCATAGTGAGGCACAATCATGGGTTTTGATGTGTACGGGCAAACCCAGCCAGCACGTAGAGAGCACACTGACCAGCTCCTGCCCTAAAAGAAAAATAGTCTGACTTCTGGGTCAGTGGGTCATCGCAATGTCACTTCCTGTTTGTGCCTATGCCCAAAACAGGAGAGAACAAAAATAACTGGGAGCAATTATTGTCAGATTCCCAGGCCTCATCTCTGGCCTCAGTTACGGTTATTTGAACTTCTTGACGTCAAGGCGACATTTAGAGTTCATGAAGAAAGGTAAAAGTTCTGTTCGTGGTAGATTGTTAGATTTAAAAAAAACGGTGGGAAAACATCTTCACAGGGAATCGATTTTGCCATCTGTGATTCGTAACGTACAAAAACAACCATGTTTTGAAGAGAAGTAAAAATCATTGGGAGGACCATCAGAGAGTCATTATAATGCACCTCTGATCCCTGCAAAACATCTGATGCCACATGACCAATACTTCACGGCTGGCAACGGCAAAGATATTAAGGCAACCCTCACTCTAGCAGAACTCTGCACAGGAAAAGCTCATACCTGTGAAGTCATAGAGCTGGGGCAGGGCATCTGTTGTAATCTTTATCAGAGGCAGGTACAAGGCAGCTAGTTTCGTTTTCATGTCAGGTTTTGAGTAGCGAACGTCCAGATCATGTGAACAAAGTAGACTGAGTATTGCATTGACAGCCTTCTTCTGTACCTTAGCTATCCTGTGGAAGAAGCAAATACTGGAATGTCAAGCATTTCTTGTTGCATGTTCTGCTCCGTGACCAACCGTCTCCTATTCCTCTAATTGATAATAAATATACCAATAATCCTTGTATTTGATATAGTACCTATGTCAAGAATGCCTCAAGTGCTTCCCCTGGCAGAGTGTAGTTACTGTGCATTTATAGGTGAATGCTGCAACAAATTTCCACACAGGTGTGTCCCACAAAGAGCCATGAAGCTGGGAATGGCTTGCCCTCCTGTTTGTACTTCTCTTAATTTATCAAGGACCCACTCTGTCCTTCCTCTCGGTGGCACCAGTGAGACTAGGAACTGCAGGGAAGGGTAGGATCAAACCAGAGTGGTTAGCACTCAGGTGGCACTGCTGATCTATTCTAATAGTACCCTGCTTTTTTGGATGTCATCTTCCACTATTTGCACAGCAGATTCACAGCAACAGTGGTCAGGCATTCAGCCTCTCTGGCCCCACCCTTTGGAACTCCATCCCACAGTCCTTTTGCCTGACTCCCTCCTTTGTCTCCTTCAAGGCTCATCTCAAGACCCTCTCTTCAACTGCGCCATTGATTGCCCTTCTTTCCCTCCACCGCTTCTGATCCCAACCCCAAACTTGGGTCCAAATCCCTGACTGTCCAGCGCCTTGGGACTTCCACCTGATGTGAAGCCCTATATAAATGCAATTTGTTGTTGTTACAAGGAACAAAGTAGACGGCCATACCCCTCTACTTCAGCATCCAGGGCTGCTGCCAGCTCAATGAAGAGAAGCCCAGTCAGGAAGTGCTGCTGGCGATATTCAAGTGAAAGGTCAAACATGTTGGCTATCCTTTGGTCGTGGATGCTGGAACATGAACTTGAATTCTGTTGATTTTTATAAAAAAAATTCAGAAAATTGAGACATAAATTCAAGAAAAATAAAATGACATCTAAAGCCTAATATATTGCCCAAATCTAGTATAACCATTGGTATTTGATAAATGACAACTAACAGCACTTAATGCAACAAATCCATATAAGGGACACAATGTAAAAATGGACCTGCTTTGTCAAACTAGAAGAAAGTATCATCAATAGGGATTTAAATTGCAGATCAATGGTTCGGATCCCAATCCACACTGAGTTTGCTGGTCTCAGCTGGGACCTGCAGGGGGGGGCTAAACTGGGCTCTGGTCTTCCTGAGGTTAGGGAGGGGAAAACCAGTTGGGTTTCCTGTTCCCTACTGGTTGTGCACGTGTCTGACAGCTGGGTGAGGAGAGGTCAGGACCAGATGCAACAACCTCAACCGTTGAGTTCCTGCCGATATTCACTGCTAAGACGTTCCATGAGCAATGGCCACTTGGGCAGGATACTGTTACACATTGCTTTCATGACATAATTGGCAACTGATCATTGCCAATGAGGAGCAAGCATACAAGGATCCTAGGAAAGTAACTGGGCAGATTGTGGAAGAGTGTGGAAGTGTAAGGTTTAAATAAAGGAACTAATGAATTTAACTGTGGTTTGGTTAACAAACATTACAGATATTGAAAGCCATTCAGTGACCCCAGCATGAGAAAGCTGGGAGCAGAAGCACAAACCAACTGGAAGAAAAACAATTGTACAAACTATATGTTTTATATTAAAAAGTACTATTTTTAGCGATCAGTCTATGATAGACCCCAGTGTCGCCATGTTTCTTATATGAGTCCTGAGTCCTGGCCTCTACCGTCCTTCCTAATCCCCTCTATGCATCGTTGTTTTACATAAACACTTTGATATGTGCGGATCCAAGAAATCTTTTCACTTAGAACAGCGGGCTCTGTTGTGAAATGTCCGAAACAAAGTGTAACCTAGCAGTACACAGATTTGAAACTTCAACGCTGGCCTCCACTTATCATTTTAACAAAGCAGATGAGCAGATGATAATACTGGCTCATGCACAATGACACCCATGGGAATGTGGATCTGCGGGTGGCAGTAGTTACCTGTGATGATATGGAGGGACACGGAGACCCTGGAGCAGACAGACTGGTGGCAAAGAAAAGGTTCAAGCTTAGGTAGTGCTCGTGGCTGCAGAGAATCCTCAGGAACTCCAGGCGTGTAGAGATAAGGGTGGGTAACGACTGTAGCTTGGATGACAGCTAGAAAATAACAGGTTAAAAACAAGTAAGCCAGTGAAATATTAAAACAATCCGAACTCTCTCTCTCCTTATTGGTTCTGGAGCTCACAGTCTAAGATGACGCTTCAATACAGAACAGGTAAATAAATGGTAATGGTCTCCAGGAAATCCTCTTATGAAGAGCTTTGACTATATAAGGCTCTGTATCAAACTCAACGATACATTTTGTGATTGTTCAGAGCACTTCACTGATAGAAGCTGAGTTTCTACAGCATAATATAATATGCAATGAGAAAAACAGAAACGAAGATTGAGACTCCAGGCTACAGTGAATGCTGTGCAGTACATACCACGCTTGATGGACAATAAGCTGAGCCTTTCCTTTTTCTGAGTGTGCACACTGTTGCTTCAACACACATCAATAATAATAATCCTTGCATTTGATATAGTGCTTTTCACGTCGGGAGGACGTCCCAAAGCGCTTCACAGAACACACTGTAAAGTGAATTGACTGTATATTTGTGGGCGAACGCGGCAGCCAATTCTGCAGAGCAATGTCCCACAAACAGTCCTGGATTAAAAATGACCAATTTATTATTGTTTTTTGGAGGGATTATTATTAGGCGTGTGGCGTAAGGAAACTTGCCCAAGGTTTCGCCCTGCCTGGAATTGAACTCAGGTCTCTCGCTTGCAAAGCGAGTGCTCTAACTACTGAGCTACAGGACTCCACGAAACTCTCAATCTCATCCAGAGAGAGTGAGTGATTGTGAACCTTCACAATTAATCCTTGCATTTTGATATGGTGCCTTTCATGTCAGGAGCACACCCCAAAGCGCTTCACAGGATTTACAGTAAAGTGGAGTGACTGTGTGTGTTTTATGGCCGAATGCGGCAGCCGATTTGCATACACCAATGTTCCACAGATAGCAATGGAGTGAATGACCAATTTTATTTGGGTGATTGTTGGCCAAGACCAGTGGTGTAACAAGGGCCTAATGAAAGATTGGGTTACGGGGGCTCTGATGCAAGAATAGGTTAAGGGGCCCCTTCCCGATTCCGAACTCTTACCTTGTGCTTACCTTTACGCATCACAATATCAGCAGCATCATAATGTGAAATGCCGGAAGTCATCGGGAGAGGGGCGGGGAGCGCCTCCGAATTAAAAATAATAATTGTTGGTACGCCATACCAGTGCGTTCTGGCCAATTTTGAGCCCAGGAGACAGGTGATTATTTCTGAAATGGCTCAAATATTACTTGGGGATGAAGTATGTCTCCGCCCCACAACATTCTTTTGCCAATGGGTTGCGCTCCCATAACCTTGTGGGCTCTGGCTTGACTGTATCACTGTAGTTATGCCATGGCCAAGACATAGGGAGAAACTCTCCTCTTTTCAAATAGTGGTGTGGCATCTTTAACAGGCTGACAGAACCTTAGTTTAACATCTCATCCGAACAACGGAATTAATAGCTGTAAGCACTGATATCCACCCAAATACAGACCTGTAAACTTGCCAAGTGAATAAGTCCAACAGGTAGATAGTTATTACAGTACTTGATATTGTCCTGGAGTTACACAGAAGAGAAAGGAGGAAATGTGTTCTTTACCTGGGAGCAGTAATGTCTGATGAGGTTGAACACAAAGCCTCGGTCCATGAGAGAAAGGAGATCATACAGGAAAAAGGACAAACTTATGTTGATCTTCTCTGCTTGTTCTGCTTCCTAGTATTAAACAAATAATGAAAGCGATGTATATATTTTTTAAGATTCATAGAAGGTACAGCTCAGAAATAGGCCATTCAGCCCAACCAGTCCTGCTGGTGTTTATACTCCACACAAGTGCCTATTCTAGATATTATCCCCATTTCCATATCCTAGCATTTCCCCCAAATTCCTCAACTTTATTCTCCTATCTATGTGTCCAGTTTTTTTTCAATGTGCACATGGTTTCTTACTACTATCTATTTCCCATTGCAAAGAACCTAATGTTGTTGCTTCGATATTTCTACAAAAGGTTAGCAACGTAAGAAAAAGAAGCCTCATGGTGAAAAGTGGGACTTTTCACAACAGGTATAGAATGCCCTTCCAAAAACTTGGTTGAAGCTGATTCCATAACAGTTCTTTTAAAAATGGAATTAAGACATACTTTAGAAAAATTACAAATATAAAAGGGTATGTGGGGAAGAACAGGCTGTACCTGGAAATCAGCTTGCTTTAACAACAACAAGATTTCATTTAAAGAGCGCCTTTCACATCGGGAGGACGTCCCAAGGCGCTGGACAGTTGGGTCGGGACCCGAGCAGGGGGGAAATGGTCAGGGTGAGGGGAGGGAAGGGAGGGAGCGAGAAGGGGGTAGAGAGTCGAGAGGGGAGCTGAAGGCACGGTCAAAGAGAAAGGTCTTGAGACCGGCCTTGAAGGAGGAAAGGGAGGAGGCAAGTGGGGGATAGAGTTCCAGAGCCTAGGGGCTGAGAGGCTGAAGGCCCGGCCACCGATGGTAGGGCGGTTAGGGCGGGGGATGTGGAGCAGACCGGAGCCAGAGGAACGGAGGGTAAGGGCAGGTAAGTAGGGGGATAGTAGGTCAGAGAAGTAGGAGGGAGCAAGGCCGTGAATGACCTTGTAGGTGAGGATGAGGATCTTGAATTCGATCCTCTGGGGGATGGGGAGCCAGTGGAGGCGAGCGAGGGTGGGAGTGATGTGGTCACGAAGCCTGGTGCGGGACAGTACACGAGCTGCAGAGTTCTGAATGAATTAAGCAGCCGAGGTGGGCCTAAAGTAGATAGATGGCACAATTGTCCAGCGTGATACTTTTCATGTACTGACTGAACTTTCAAATACTTAAATGCTAAAAATATTTCTATGTAAATGAAGGAGTTTATCATTCTTGTAGCTATGTCGAAATGTGTCAAAGCCTTACAATGATTCCTGTCACATGTCGTGATTGCTTTTTGGGGCAATTAATGGTCGGAGTCGTTATATTCCAGCAAAGTTTGTCAAAAAGATCATGAACCCAATGATTTAATATCTCGACAAATTATTGCCAGGACATCGGGAGAAACCTTTCTCTCTTTGAATAGCGCGCTGGGATCTTTAATGTCCACCCAAAGATCAGTCAGACAGGGCCTCAGTTTAACACCTCGTCTGAAGAGCGGCACCTCTGAAATCTGCCCCAGTGCTAAGCATTATGAACCATGTTTCTCATTAAGTAAAATCACCTTTTGCTGTTTAACAAGAATAGTCGCAATCTCTGCAGTAACCACGTTCACAATAGTGGCAATGTCATCCTTGAAGCGATCTGGGAAGCGTGCCTTGCGTGGAGAATCTTGCTTGTCCATCTGACAGATGTACTGGGCCATGCTTTTAACCTTTAATTTATTGAAAGGCAGTGTCAGTTATAAGAGCACACATAACGCTGTCCCAAAATCAACTCAATCGACTTTTACCCTCTGTAAAGTACATGCACCTACCAAAAGTTCAAAGAAGAACCAGGCGTACTTGAAGACATTTTCTCTCACCATGCCTGTGCTGACAACCATCTGCAGTGCCAGCTCTTCGTGAAAAAGCTATTTTAAAATAAATCACATTGATTAAAAATTGCTCTAAGCATGGACAAAAAAGTCAGGCTTTCTTTAAAAGACATTTCCCGTTGACGTCCTCCCACTCTATTTGGAATGCTGTGATCATCCTAAGGTATTTGTGCAACTTCCTGGTAACAGTGAAAGATTTTCTTCTCTCTTCTCTGATTGAGGAATACACTATAGCTGTGTTAAAATTAACACCAAACATTCAGGAGATAAATGTTAAAATAAATTTAAAAAAACTTAAGAACAAAAAGGTGCTCAAATCTGAGCTTCTCAATCTTTATCTAAAATCAAGCACAGATGGTCTTGAATGTGGTCACAAGAATCTGACACTCAAACCCCTCACTCAACATTCTGTGTCTAAAAGTTTTCAAAGACCTAATTCAGTCTTTCATTCCACTTATCACAAGATTAGCTCGAATGAAGACGGCCCTTCGACCCATTTGACCTCATCATTCCAACCGTTCTGCCATCGAGCTGTATCTCAAGTACGTCTAGTGGCCTGACCTTTACCATTCTGCCTGGTAACCTATTCCAGTCATTAATTAACCTCTGGCTAAAAAAAAAAAACACTTCCTGGTATCTGTCCTGAAATTGCCCTTTGTAACTCCAAGCGTATGTCCTCTTGTACTACTGTCTCAGTGCATCTGAAATATTATCCTGGGTTTTCTGTTTCATTAAAATTTAAAATGTATACATCTCTATAAGGTACCCACTGAGACATCAACTTTCAAGACTATAGAGCCCTAGCTTGTCTCGTCCATGTACAAAATATACTGAAATGTTCTTCTTATCATGGATCTAGCTCACAGGGGTTGTTGACCCACACATAGCAGCGGGTTCTGTATATTCAAGATCCTGCTTACTCACTAAGGAGTAAAAATTCCATCGAGTTTCATGCACAATATCTTGGGAAATGTGCAATTATATTGGGAAATACCAATAGTGGCCAACATCACCAAAGGCGCTCAAGCAATTTTCACCTACAAAATCAACACCAGAGAGAGTGTACTGTTAACTTTTTTGGAAAAACCTGATTTATTTGGATAAGCTGCTTGATCTTTTTAATTGTTTCAATAAAAATTATTGAAAAAGGAATGAAAAAGAAGACATTAAATGGCACATGCTCAAAATGCAATAATGGGGTCTCACTTGTGAAAATCGGCAGATTATTTGTGAAAAGGGTGGGAAACGATGACCACAACTTTTATCTTGTTGTTTCATTTGTGAATTTTCACAAAACGTTCGTCTGTAACTCACTCACACATTTGGAAGCTAATGAAATTATCACTCTCATGAAAGAGGAATGGGAACCTACCAGAAGCCAAATCATTACCTCTAATCAACTAGTGCCACACCAACAACAACCCAAGAATGAAGGTGGTGAATGGCCAGTGGTGGAGCAGACTTCATGGCCCGAATGGACTTCTCCTGTTCTATGTTTCAAAGCAAATCCACCATAACAGGTTACACAGCTAAACAGTATCCCCATCTGCTGCATTTTATACTTGAATCTCAAGTTGTGCAAAGATGAGCACTGCCTTTCTATCTTATTCTTAACAGCAACAGGAATGTAAATAGCATCTGGAAGAGACAAAGTGTTCTGCCTGTTTTCCATGAAGAACCAGGTATTCTCAATTTGAAGAGATTAGGCACAAAATCAACACTGTACTCATCGTGTCAAACTTTCAAGAATACAAATGATGATGAGTTCAGTGATGGGTTCATTGGCCCTTTTATACGAAGAAGGCACAATACTTAATTAGGTTAAGGATACATGCCACTCAATACCAAGCAGCCATATACATGAACTGTTACATACAAAATACATGCCAACAATAAGATAAGTGAAAGCAGTTTGTTTAGGTTACATAGATGCTGACATTAACTTACCACACAAGATACACATGCCAAAACTGAAAGGCAGGAGCTGTTTATTGAACTTTGTTTTGGTAATGAATGGGTTAGAATTTCAATCAATGCTGCATAGGACCCAAGAATGGGCCTGTTCCTTTTATATTAGGTCAGGAAACAAGTTCAGTAAACATGAGCAACAATTCGGATCCAGACCCCTTTAAGGGTCGTGTAGTGCCTGTTAAGTTCAGCCTCTGCCTTCAGCGAAGGGGCGTGCACATATAGAGGAGCGAAAAAAACACTGCTGTCGGGAAAGAGGTTTAATTATAGCACAACAAGCTGATTCGGAGCCCATTTGAAAGGAAGACTGCTGCACAAAAATCAAAGGAGGGAACATGTCAGTCACTTCTGAATTAGTGATTATAACACATGTGCACAGGTAAGGTTGCAGCAGGGTTGTCACTTCGCTCAGTAGGGTGTCATTAGTCAGTGTGTATTATTACAGTAGCACTCTTTCATTCCTTGTTAAAATATGAATGTAGAAAGCAATCAAACTGGTGTCTCTTTGAGTATTAATTTCATCATTGTTCAAATTTCATAGGATTACATGCAGAATAACGGTTGCAGACATTAATTGAGATAACATGCACTCACCGAATACTTGCTATTATTCCACTTTAACCAACCCCAAATTTGTCATCTCATATCTGCACTCAAATCAAAACCCATAGCAGTGACACCTATTCTAACTCATTCTTTCTTGGGAACTTTAGATTGTGGGAAATCCCAACCTTCCTCTGTCTTCTCACCTTCTACCATCTGAATACTTTCAAACATCAAGATTGCGTTCACTTAATCACTTCTTAGCTTTTCTCACTTTCTCTCTTACATCCTTTGAGCCTTGCTGGTGTCCTGGACTATGGGCCTTGGTACCTTCCCACATCTTACAAAGTTCTGACATGATCCATTGCCCTGCACATTTCCAGGACTTCACTTCCTAGGATTCAGGGAGTGGCTTCTTGACTCTATGTCTCTGACTCATGTTCTCTCTATCCATCTTCAAATTCCACCTTAAAACCTAACTCTTCAACAGTGCCAAGGGTCACCTCTCCTCCCCCCAGCTCAGCATCCAACTTCGCCCCTATGGTGCACTCCGAGACCTTATCCTATATGAAGGCTGCTATACAAATGCAAGTTGTTGTCATTCAGTGCTGACAACTCACAATATGTATTCACGCTGACTGAGTGAACGTATGCGCTGAATCTTTTGGGAACATCCAGTACTCAACAGGTAGGTAGATTCACATCTTAGAAATTGTTAAAGGTTACATTTAATTAGCATAGTTAAGAAAGCAACAGGAGTTTAATTTATACAGACAGTGTTACTTGTTTTATATCAAAACAAACACATTTTTATGTTGTGAAATTCAAGTGAAATAGTATCTGATGTGCGTCATATTTAATGACGTACATCTAAGAATCATCAAATTTTACAGCACACAAGGAGACCATTCGACCCATCAGGTCTGCACCAGCTCTCAGAGTAAAGTATTCATTCAATCCACTACCCTGCCTTATCCCCAAACCCCTTCAAGCCTCTATCCTTCATTTTCCTGTCTACCTCCCTCTTAAAACCCACAATAGATTTTATTTCTACCATTTTACTTGGTAGAGCAGTTGGAAGGTACAAACCTATTTTTCAAGTTATTTCTCTTAGTCTCTCTGGAAAATTTACCTTATGTGGCAAGAATAATGCAGGTTGTGGAGGGGGTAATTAAGGTCTCTGTTATAGTCCTGAAAGTTGAATTATGATAACTCTCCTGCCAGTTTCCCCTATCCCTGCAATGCCTGGCTTTCACTTGGCATTGCCCGTAGTGATGTGAATCAGACTGGCAACTCAGTCCTGGAATGTGATTCCTCAAACCCCCTTCCCCCTGTTCTTCTCCTGAAGACCCTGATTCCTGCTGGGGTACAGTTCAGTGAACACTTTCCAGGAGCCTCTTTATGTGACCATTCTTTATCTGTGAGCCTGGACAGGGAGTGCTGGAAAATTATTCACCATGGGCAGGAGCGCCACCATTTCCAATCCCAGCCTCAACTGGCATTCACATTTATGCACATTCCAGACAAGGGTGGGATAGCATTCACATGTGGCCTTAACTAACTTTGGATCACTAAATCTTTCATTTGATATAGCACCGTATCATGTCGTTGAGGCATCTCAAGGTGCTTCACAAAATATATTGGAAATTGAATTGACTATATTTTGTGGGTGAAAAGTGGCAGACAATTGCACACAGCAGTGTCCCACAAACAATCGTGGATGAGCGACTAAATTATTGTTATTAATTTTTTTTAAAAGGGACTTTTATCCCTGGAAAGCGATCCACCAATCGATCCACAACCAATCCTATTTACTGCTAGGTAAACAGAAGTATGTGGAGTAAAGAAACTTGCCAAAGGTTTCACCCTGCTCGGGAATCAAACCTGAGCCCTCTTGCTTGTGAGGGTCTAACCAATAGGCGCAAGACTCTACAATTGTATCCCCCCCCCACCCCACACACACTCTCATTATTGCCCTGGGTTGGATCAGGTAAGGTTTTGAATGGACCAGAAAATTAACCTTTTGGATCTGCATAATGTGGGGCTAATCTGCTATTCCTATTCGTTTTCTGTAGATTGAAAATTCAGAATTGTTTAACGGTACCGGAATCATACAACTACTATTTAACTTGTGTCATTGACTGAAAATGGTTACAAAATGTGGCGTTTTCCACCCTTATTTTCCACACTTGACTTGAAATGAGTTGATATCCTTGTCACTCTATAGCTGCAGCTGCAGTGTGACATACATACGCAAACATTTGTTGGTTCTACATCAAGTGCCATGCTGTTGGTGTAACAAGCATCTCCTCATGCTATGTGGCAGTCTACCTTTCTGTTTGACGATCGTCCAACAGCGCAAGCGTTCTGGAAGTAGCTGTTCACTTCTACATAGGAAGACATCCGAACACCACTTCGATCCATTCCCTGGGACCCAACATGAAGTCATTGAACAGGCAGGGAAAAGGTTAGATGGTCAGTACATTGGAACAGTCCACCAAATAGTCATTGAACGAGGCTGATAATCCAGCGGTGGTCTTCTCAGTAACTCCTTCAAAGTGAATGAAGCCTAACCTGATTTTCTTGTCTTCTGCCAATTTTCTCCCTTTCACTCAGCGGGCAACAGCCTGCTTCATGTCTCCTGTCCTATCCATCCCACCATCAACAGGCAGGATTTCAGCCTTTCTGCCCCCACTCTTTGGAACTCCATAATGGATTCACTCCCTCACCTCATTTAAGGTCTTTCTCAAGACTTACCTCTTGACCTAGTTTTCAGTCATCTTTCCCCTCCCCATCCCCTCACCTCCCACCCTGAGGTCTGGTATCCAGCCAGTACTGCTGTGTACTTTGGGATGTCCTCCTGACATGAAAGGCATTATATAAATGCAAATTTTTATGGTATTGTTTTGCAGATATGGACATTGCTCATTTGCGAACTCAGACAGTAGGTGTTTGACTGTGATTGAAGGGGAGGTTGGGTGGGGGAAGGGGGTAGAAACAGCTGCTGAGCTAATCTCATCCTCAGCTAAACACATCCTCTTCCAGCAGAGGCCCCTCAATTAACATTACCTGGGTTTCTCTCTCCCTATGGGTTGGTATTGGTGGTGTGGGGGTGGGGAGAGAAGGAAGCAATCACTCAGGCTAAATGTAGATGTTCAACCTCAGAGAGATCAGCTGACTCAACATAGACCAGGACCCTCAGGTCTGTGTCTATAAATGAAGAATTTCTGTTTGATTGGCATCTTGAAAGGGAATGGCTGGAAAGTCACTGGGTAATTTAGTAAGATCTACTTTCTCTTTAACATGCTGTGTTTTCCCCAAACCGGCACTGTAGTGGAATCTCAAGCAAAAGAATATTAAAGTGGAATTCTGTTTGGATAAGACAAAAACAACATTCATTTATATAGTGTCTTTCACATAGGATAACATTTGACACTCATTTTGCAGTTGTTGGGTTAGTTGCTGAGCAAAGGGAGAAGGGGAGGTGACCGTAGTCAGAGTCAAAGAGGTAGGTTTTCAGGAGGAATTAAAGATAGACGAAGAGAGGGCAAGCTGGAGGGATGTGGATAGGAGGCAGGAGGAGGGGTAGGGCAAGGGGGAGGGAAATAGTAGCTGCGTGAGTGTGTCCTGATTGAAGCGAATCCTAAAAGCAACCCTGTAGTCTGGATTGAAGAATATTAAGGTTAGGAGGCAATGTCACCCACCCTCTGCTGTTTTCATTTCCTTACATCCTTTGTGAAGAATCACTGACTTGTTTGGAGTTAGTGGGAATACAGAATTCTAACCGTACCTTTGAAGACATTATATTTTTAACCTCTTCATCTGGTGAGGCCTGAGCACCTGCAATGTCAGGGTTACTGTTGCTCATGAGGCGAGACTGCAACAGTTTGGATCCCACCAGGGCAGCAGTAGAACGTCCTACGGTGTAGTAGCGACTCTCCATGCAGACAGGAGTAGTGACCGGAACTAAAAGAAAACCAACAGTCTGCATCAGCGGCGGACCCTCAATGGGACGTATAGTTCAATCGGGCAAGTCGTAACTCGATAACTTACACGGATGAAACCTGGGCTTGAGTCGCCCGCAAATAAATGCAGGACTGCGTCCTGAATAAACTGTTATTTGCAAAGATGACACTTTGCCAGAACATAAGCAGGTGGAATGACAAAAGGCAATGTGTTACAACAAGCCCACTCCATCCATAGACATGCTGAATCTATCGTACCATGGATGGCATCTCACCCACTGTATTTGCCCATGGCATTCATATTCTCTGAATTCCAAAGACAAAGCACAAACTACACATTATTAATCCCTCCCCACATCTCCACTATACAATACTGTTGATCCCCCCACCCCCCCATCACAGAAATAACTGTGTTCTATAGTTATCTATTCATCTCAGCCTACACAAATCCCTGAAACCTCATGGTGTTGTTCTCAAGCAGATACTTTGACAGATTTAACTCACATGGTTTCAATGATTTCTGTTGGAAATCTATTGCACTGATACACAATCCAAATTGTTTATAATCTTGAGTTCTGCTTTATAATTTTCAGCCTAGATCCTTTAGTTGTGGTCTCAGTCAAGACCTCAATCATACCATACCGCCCCCAGTCTTCCTTTTCCTAATGAGTGCACTGTGAGCTCTGAAACTCATTGTAATTTACAACTCTGGAATCACCCTGGTCACATTTCTCCAAACCCTCTCCAAATGTGAATGTGGATGTGCTGAAGAGGAAGGGAGAGGGAAGGGTGGGAGAGGGAAGAAATAATAGGTGTGTGTGTGATGGAGTGCCTTCAATATGCTAGAATAGTGTATCTAAATCTGCCAGCACTATTGTAAACATGGCGTACTAGTAACTCCAACAAGGCTGGAATAATTGCTTTTGACCTATAGTCTAATGGTTTACAGATGTAACCGAGTATTTGAGTAGCTTTGTTGATATCAGCTTCACGGTAACTGGACCTTCACAGCGAAAGGTAATTCCTTTCATAATAATATATTAATCAAATAATAATAATCCTTGCATTTGATTTAGTCAAAATGTCAAAGCATCAAAACATCTTGCAGGCAAACACAACAGCCCATTTGTCCACAGTAATGTCTCACAAACAGCCATGAAGTGAATGTCCAATCTTATCTGAAGGAATGTTGGTCAGGACACCAAGAGAAACTTCTTTTTTCAAGTCATACCATGGGATCTTTAACGTCTATGGTGTACGGGCAGACAGGACCTCAGTTTAATGTGTTACTCCAAGGACAGCAATTCTGACAATTCAACACACTCCCAGAACTCTATTGGAGTATCAACCTAGACTGTGAGCTCGAAATCCCGATGTGTGCCTTGAAGCCTACAACTTTTGGACCTTCTGATATAAGATAGTTTTCACACAGTATTGCTTCCGCACCAATCATTATAGGGGGGAAATTTTTAGTAGGGGATGTGGATAATTATCACAAGGAACAGAATTTATTGTTGTTTTTGTTCAATATTTAACAACTAAATGAGGCTAAATACTTAGTTGTTAAATACTGAAATACTCTTGACCTCTGGAGATTGATTTCTTTCAGGCTTTGTTTGGTCGATTGAAAAAAAATTCATAAACTAAGACCGGGGAGAGTGCATGGAGAATGGTGCAGGAAAGGATATGGGCTGCCGAGTTCTGAGTGGTCTGCAGATAGTGTATGGAGGAGCTGGGGGGAACTGGTGAGCAGGGTGTAGGAATAATCGAGCCTAGCGTAGTGAATGTGTGAATATTATTGCTAAATTACGGCAAACTCTATTATAGTGGCTACTAAATACAATGCCCATTTTGACCCTGTCAATTGTTCACACATGTTGGGTGATGTGTAACTTCAATAGGTAATAACAATAATAATCCTTGCATTTGGTATTGCGCTTATCACTTCAAAATGTCTCAAAGTGCTTCACAGTAAAATTAATTGACTGTATATTCTGTGTACTGTAATGCCCTCTTCTGGTACAAAGTAAGTATTGAAACTTAACCATTTAAGAACTGGCCCCTCTGCTCTATTTGCTATTTTAGGTAAAATGTAGAGTCAACTGTATTCAACATGTTTTCAGAGAGATTTTTAAACTGCAGTATATTATCAGCCTTTCGTAAATGAGATCTCTTCTGTGAAACTAAAACTTAAGGAAACTGCTAACTGAGTGATATTGTCTGCATCGCTGATAACAGATTCTCTCTTTATGCTGCTGCTCTTGGTAACCCGGTAAGTCAAAGCCCTAATAGGTAGGATGGTCCTTGAGGGACAAGGAGTGGGAAGCTTGCATCTCGATATCAACGGCAAACTATCTGGTTTTAGCTAGTTAAATTCCAGCAATACCCCTAATACACTCTGGGGCCCCCAAGTCTAAGCTCTTGCAAACCTGTGTCTAATATTCTGTAATATTCTCCAGAACTAAGTAAGCAGGGTGAATTCCTTCAGGGAGAGAATGCCCTTTCCATTCTAGGCACACAGAAATTTCCATGTGTGGGCGACGTACATATGTGGAACTCTCAGTCTGGTTTGTACACTGTTAAGCATGGTGCAAGGTTTCTGCGTGTGTGACCAAATAAAAATACTGCAAATGATTGGAAATTGCAACCAGCCGTAAAGCGATGAGAACCAGGAATGCCAATTTACCTCTTAGGTTTGAAATTGCGTTTGCTCGGAGCTGACGGATATATGTGTATTCAGAGCTAATAATATTGGATAATAATATTAAAAGTAACTCAAAACTTCCTGGGCCATCCATTAGAATGGGCAAAAAATTTTAAGACTCCAGTTTTGATCAAGAAATGAATCAATTGCACGACTGAAGTTTACATGGAATTGATGTGCTACTGAAACCACTTCAACGTGCTCTTGCCAGGCCAGCTCTTGTGCAATTCACCTTGTTGATTTGAATAGGCTACAATTTCACCCAGAAAATATACAGTCAATTCACTTAACAATATATTCTCTGAAGCGCTTTAAGTCTCGACGACGTGATAAGATGCTATATCAAATGCAAGGATTATTATTCTTATTACTGCAAAGATTTGGCACTTGGAGGCTGTGATAAAACGAGTGAATAACACGGAATAACAAAAGAGCTCTTACCTGCATTAGCCAAGTCGTTCAGAGTATCCGGCAAGCGGAACACATAGTATACATAAGACGCCAGTAGGCAGTTGCGTCCATGCTGATCTTTGCTGAGATCTGGACTGTTATGAAGGCTGATCACGATCGATACCACAGACTCGAATGTGAATTGGGCAAGATTGGCTGCCAATGAACAATGCAGAGTGTTTGAATCAATAAGTATGTAAGAGTCATAGAAAGAACATAGAAAGCATTTTAACAGCATTTCATAAAGTCTCACACGAAAGGCACACTCATCTGATGATACAGCTCTCCCATTGTACTACACTGGAGTATGAGCCAAGGAATAACTTCAACCTAGAGCCTTCTCATCCACAGAGGCAAGAGGGCTGAGCCAAAGTATAAATTACCACTATAGCCTTTCTCTATACAGGTAAACATTATGGACATTATTACAAACAATTATGAATGGCAAATCTTTAGCAATCTCTTGCACTGAAGCATTGATATAAAACTCAATTTAAGCCTGACATGGCTTGACTTGGTTACCGCCTCCCCTCAAATTCAAATCTGAACCATCGACATATCCTGAGTATGTCACCGACCCAGACAGATTGTGTCAACTGTGGGAAGGGGGTGACTGGGTGCAGCAGAACTCAATCACACCTCCAGCTGCTGGGTACACAAGGACACTTTGGTCACTGGAGGGTGATTAAGAGTGCAAAACTTAGATCAAGTTTTTCCTCTCTCTAGCTGTACTATCCTTACTGCTTCCTCAGCTGAGATCAGCTAGCTCAGTTTGGCCCAAGGATGGAACCTGGGCCTATCCAGGTGTGACCTGCTCAGTTTTGTGTCTTTACCAACTTTGCCCACTGGGAGAACCTCAAGTTAATAACATATTTGGAGATGAGTGATAACCAATGGCATGAGCTTGACGATAATGGGATCTGTTATGTGCCATATGTGATGCCTATGTAAACACTGGTGCATTGTGTAAACTATGTGTAATTGTATATTGTATGTGTACAGAGGGCATTACAGGTACGCTTAAGCCTTAACAAACACGAATGCACAATTGTGACACTTTGCAGTAAATCCCGTGAAGTGGTTTGAGACTTCCTCCCCATAATGAAAGGTCCGATATCAAATGCAAGAATGATAATACATGAAAAGGATTAGTTGTTAATTGCTTACTTAATAAATATAATTTACACTTTGAAGGACAGGTATAATTCTCACTTACACCTGATTTGCACATGGCACATAATACACCTGTGCTTACATACAATTTCCATGTGGTGTACAATAGACTCCATTGTCAATCGCCTGACCCGTCCTGAATGAGCAGCGTAGCTGAATTACCTGTCTGGCCTGCAATGACCATGGGCTGCACCATCAGCTGGAAAAGCTTGTCCAGAACCTGATGTAAGAAGAGCACCAGCGGCTCCAGCCGCGCTGATGGCAGTGAGATTATGCTCAACTTCAACTCGTGCTCCAGGTTACTCTCTGTTATCTTCTGGTCCAGAATACGGATGGGAAACGCGACATGGCCTTCCAGAGTGTGGCACAAAGCAAAGAACTTGTCCAGGTGGTTGTCCTGTTCCGAAAAGGAATAGCTTCAGCTGGTGTAGCTCAGGCCGTTCTGTCAGGCCGATCTATGCGCAGCTGACCCCCCACCGTGTGAACTGAAACCCTTCGCAGCAGTGCCAGTTATTCCAACATTCCCAGGGAGCGAAGCTCCGGGATTCACAAAAGGATTAAGAACAAACAATCTGGATGTATCTCAGTCGGCTCTCTGGAATTCCACTCGGATTCCGATCTCAGTCCAGACTACCATGAAGTCCTCATTTCCAGTGGAGTTCCAGAGGGTCGACTACAATACGTATAATATTGTCATCAGAACACTACACTTACTCAGCATCTGTAGGATGTGCAGCGGTCACAGTGCCAAAACATTGCACAAACTTATAAGTTTCATAACATGTATGCGGCTAGAACCCCATTCTCTCCCCCCCAACCCCCTCCCCCCAGTATCCATCAGGGCTTTAGCTGACAGGGTTGAAGTCAAAGGTGCTGCTGCAAATATGACTGATGAGACTAATAAGCTTGTCAACCAGTTCAGTATAATATAACCCAGCAGAGCATACAAAACATTAAACTGGGCAGGAGGCTTACCTGGGTATGTACAGAGGAAACAGCTTGCACTTCAACGTTGAAAACACCCTTGTGGCCATCCACCCATTTTATTGGTAATTGATTAGGAATTTTCTGTGCCAAACAACATGAACAAAGGCAATGGTCACAAATTGAAATTAACCTTTAAACATTGAATGCCATCATTGCAGGAATGAAGTTCACTGCAGGTGTTGGAAACAGGATGAATGAACATGGCGGAGCCACAGTAGAAGCAACCCAACGTTGGTTTCATTTCTATTACTCTTTCCAAACTCACTGAAATCCTGCTCTGGTGAGGAGTGAAACTCATTTCTTTATCAATTCTTTGTAGAATGAAACAAAAATGCAGGTGAATCCGGAAATCCTGAGGGATTTATTTGTGCCTGACTATTTCTAGCTGCTAAATTAACTGAATAATGATAGGTCTTAGGCGCTATTTCCTCCCTGGACCAGCTATTTGCTGTTCCACACACTCCCATCGGCCTGCGTGCCAGCTCCTGATGTGTGGTTTGCATCGGGGAGGAGGATGTGAAAATGGTAATTTGAAGCAAGTAGAGTTTGGCATTTGCTGTGCGTAGAAGCAATGTTTGTCCTTCACCGCAGCATTGGGGGAAGTTATTTTTGATTTCTTTCCTGCTATTTAGTAGCCAGACTGAGCACAGTAAAGGCATCAAAGGTCAAAATGTTAGTTGTGAGCTTACTGTGCAAGACCTGATTTGATATGAGTGCCTTTTACATCGCGAGGAAGTCAGAAAGCACTTCAAAGGATTCGCTGTAGACTATAACGACTACTTTGGCAGCAGTCAATTTGGGCACAACAATATACAATACCATATAAATTTACATTTTACATTGTCTTTCACATCAGGAGGATATCCCAAGGCACTTGACAAGTCCTGACGTGGCACCCGAGCTAGAGGTGGGAGTCAAGAGGGTGGGGGGAGAAGAAAAATGACCAAAGGCACGGTCAAAGAGGTGGGGCTTGAGATGGATCTTGAAAGAGGAGGGAGTCGGTCATTGTACGCTGAAGATGACGTTGAAAAAATGAACCACTCACCTCTGGAGAATGCATTGAATATTTGTTAGGAAGCTTGTCCAAAGCTACTGGCAGACAGTAGAGACCCGTGTGAAGACGCTCACTCATGAGAATTGGCAGCCACTAGGAAACAAAGATTAGCAGAATTTCATCAAGTTTATGAGCTCCGTGGTATTCATCAAAGTATTTCCACAAAGCCAGTACCCAATGTACAAAACCTGATCACTTGTACTGCAATGAACTATTCTGCCTCAGGTTCCAAGTTGGGCTAAGGAAGGAAGAGCTGACTGAAGCAGGGAGCTGACAGCAGAGTGGTACAGTCAGCTTGGCATCACCTATTCCAATACAGCATCTTTTACTGTGGTGTTTCTCATCAAACATAAAGTGAGGAACAGATAATGTACAAATTCCATATTTTATCTAATTTTGCAAATGGAAAAAATATTCTTATTTCTATTTATTCCATTACTGGTAAAATCATCATGAGTTAGTGATGAGAATCCCTCATTTCCCCTCTCATTTCTGATGCTAAGACAATTGTGTGCTTACTGTTGTCTTGGCTGAGGTTTAGAAGGGCAGGACAGACCAGCATTTGAAACTGGAATCTCTCTGTCTTGGATGATATCCCATTGGAGGTACATTTACCACTGAGCCATCGAGCGTACTGATCAAAAAGATATCCAGCCTCTGAGGTTTTGGTCACTTCAGTGTTGGGAAATGTTGACCAGTGTGAGCAAGACACACTTTAGGAATTTAATTCGATGATTCCATGATGGCCAAAAGTTTCACTTGCTATAGCATTAAAACATTCAGACTAGATACATAATACAAATTTACATTTATATGGAGTCTTTCAGGTTGGGAGGATTATCCCAAAGTGCTTAAAAGTACTGGCTGACTGGGGAGAGAAAGATGAGAGGCAAAAAGGTAGATCTTGAGACAGAACTCAAAAGAGAGGAAAGGCATGGGTCGGATGGACTGTGGGTTAGAGGTGCATAGAGTGGGGGCTTATGGTGAGGTGGATAAGGCCGGGGACCTGATGCAGGCCAGTGTTTGCGGAGTGAATGGAATGGCCTGGTCAGTAGGCTTTGAGGAGGTCACACAGGTGTAGGAATTTAAAGGTGAGAATTAGAATCTTGAACTCTTGATGGTGTCAAGTTTAATTCCTGGTCTACGATGAAATAGTCGATCCCAGCCAGGGCAGCAGGTGCAGTGCTATAGATGGTCTGGGTGCCGAGGGTTTGGAAGGAGAAATAAAATCAGCCAGAGTTCTGTCTCCTAATCATTATCCAATGGCTCCTGCTGGAAAGTGTACGTCTGTAAGCATCAGGCTCGTCCAATCCTAGTTCTCACTTTTAAATCCTTTCATGGCTAGCAATATCAGTATTATTATTTTCCCTTCCCTAGCAAATGATTCACTCAGGACAAGAGTCCTCCACAGTCCAAAGATCTCTCTCGACACTTGTAGTCTGGGATTACAGAGGAGAAATGGACACCTGACAACTGCACATCCATATCCCAATGGAGTTCAGAACTAACTTACCGAGTAGCCAATGAGACTCTCTGCCGAGGCCCCTTGGTTCTGTTTCTGTTGGCAGCTGATATGGTAGAATGTAAACAGTAAATGATGCCTCTCCCTGAGCTTGGCAGGAAGCTTAATTTTTACTTCCTCGTAAAAATCGGGGGACCTGTGAAGTAGAAAATATTAACTAGCAATCGCCATTGGTATTTCACTTATCGTAAATGATTAGTCCAGCCCAGTCCAGGAGACATCATTTGATTGAAACCTTAGCAACTTCTGTACTGTTTGCTGCAGTCATGTCCTGGCACCAATCCTCCGCATGTATTGGTCATAGCTGTTTGTGGATCCTGCTTCGTGCTCCTAAATAACACCATTTCTACACTTGATAGCAATAGCACTTTGAGATGTTTTAACATTGTAGGCACTAAATTGATGCAAGAGTTATAAATAATATATAATCATAATAATAATCCTTATATTTGATATAGTGCCTTATCACGTATTCAAGACATATCAAAGTGCTCCAGAGTCTACTGTAAAGTGATATATATATTATATAATACATAATATATATAACAATCCTTGGATTTGATATAGTGCCTTATTATGTCTTTGAGATGTCTCAAAGTGCTTCAACAGAATATACTGTAAAGTGAATTAACTGTATAATTTGTGGGCGAATCTCAGCAGACAATTGCGCACAGGAGTGTCCCACAAACAGACGTGGATTGAATGACCAAATTGTTATTATTTTCATTCTAAAGGGATTATTACCCCCGGAAAAGCAATCCGCCAAACAATTAACGACTGGGTTCCTACTTACTGCCTAGTAAACAAAGGCGTGTGGAGTAAGGAAACTTGCCTAGCTTTTTGCCCTGCCCAGGAATTAATCCCAGGTCTTCTCCCTTGCAAGGCGAGTGCTCTAAACAATACGTACAGGACTCCATATAATATACATTACATTCCAACGCAGTGCTCGGGTAGTACTACATTGTAGGATGATCTTCAAACCAAGTCCTGTCTGCCTTTTGAGGTGGACACTATAACACTCTTCAAAAAGAAAAGGGAATTTCTCCTGGTGCCGTGGCCAGCAATCTTCCACATGAAAATTGGTCCAGCGCCTTGGGACGTCCTCCCAACGTGCTATACAAATGTAATTTTGTTGTTGTTATTGGTCGTTCACTCCATAGCTGCTTATGGTAACATTGCTGTGTACAAATTAGCTGTCGCAATTGCCTAATGATAGTGACTGCACTTCATAATAAATTGTGTGACGTATTTGAGGGTCTTGTTGATGTGATAAAGTGCTCTATGAAATGCTGGATGCTTTGTCTTATTGCCCCCCCATCCCCCTAATTGTTTTGTGCTAACTATTGTCCTGCCTTAGATGACCCTCCTTAGCATGGATTGGGATTCAAATCTGTTCTCTTCTGGTCTGAACGCAGATCTGTTATTTACTTAACTTATATTTGGTCTCTCATATTGGCATTGAAAACTAATCATATGGCCAATGAGCAATTCCTGCAGTTTAAAATATATGATGGGTTTCAGGCAAATTACATAGAATTACAAAGGACATAACAGCATGGAAACACGCAAATACTCAGGAAAAGTAATACATTAAGAACATACACAGTTTACTTGCCATTTTGAGAATCTATAAAAATAGAGTTATTTTAGGTCCTGTTATATAATACTTACTTGTTATGGTAAGTTATGGCAGTATATATCTCAGAAACAAACTCTGGACCGCTTGACTTTCCAAAGATAACCTGAAATAGCAACAAAAGGAATACCACAGTCAAAACAGACGTAATAAATTAACTTCTGCAAATACTTGCAAATCTTTTCATTGCTTCTTTTCGACAAAATAAAATAGCCTGAATAATTTGGATGCGATCAAACTGGTCCACTTTCTGTTCTGTTCTCTTCTGTTAAAGATGAGCAGGAGTTGCAATCTTTGCTCAGCACTCAACCCTTTTTTTCCACTCAGCATGGCTCAGATCAGGAACATATCACAAAAAGCTATGAAATCTGTAGTTTTGTTTTTATTGTGACTTGTAGAAATGGTGCACTATTGCAGGGACACCCCAATGTAAGGAGTCCTGCTTTTGCTATTTCAGATTGGTAATATGTAGGAATCATTACAGTAAATAGACAAAAAACAAACAGTGCTCATCTGTAGATAATAATAATCCTTGCGTTTGATATGGTGCCTTATCAAGTTGTTGAGAAGCCTCAAAGTGCTTCACAGATATACTGAAAAGTGGATTGACTATGTATTTTGTCGGTGAACACGGCAGCCAATTGCGGACAGCAGTGTCTCACAAACAGCCATGGAATGATTGATCAATTTTATTTGTGGGATTTGTTAGCCAGGCCACCAGGAGAAACCCCTTCTTCTTCTCAAATAGAGGCATGGGATCTTTAACGTCCACTTGAACAGGCAGACGGGACCTCGGTTTAACAATTCACCTGAAGGAAGACTGTGGAAACCCAATGGTCAGTGGATTTCCCAGCAAGTTACTCAAGACAATTTGTTTTGGTTTTTAGTTTTTTCTTAGATTCACGAATAAAACAATTGTCTCAAGAAAAGATGTCTTCAATACCGGCATGGCACTGGCTGCCTCCTCCCCTGCCATGAACTGGATTCGGATGGTGATGTTTCTCGCTGACGCCAGTCGGTTTGCAAAATTCAGTCTTTGTGGATAGACGTATAGAAGATTTCTGTAGATAATAAATAGAGTAAATGAAAACGCTACCAATAATGTAACACCAACAGATGAAAACAGTGGTCTATTTTGCTCTCTAATAACATAATATTAAGCCTTGCATTTGATATAGTCATGTCATTTCGATGTCTCAAAGCTCTGCACATGATGTACTCTATAGTCTATTGACTGTGTATTTTATGCCTGAACACAATCAGTTTGCACACAGCAATATCCCCAAAACAGCCATGAAGTGAATGATCAATGTTATCTCAGGGAATTGTCAGCCAGAACACTGGGGGGAAACTCTCTTCTCATTTTGATGCTATGGAATCTTTAACATCCACCTGAACAGGCAGACAGGACCTTGTTTGAACATCTCATTTGAAGGACAGCACCTCTGCTCCCCTAGCACTGCATTAGAGTATCAGCTGAAACTGTGAGCCTCAAAGCTCCAATGTGGGGCTTGAACTCACAACCTTCTGACACCTCGCTAAATATCTATATATTTTATAAGCAGGAGACTATCATAGATCAGCAATAAAATTTAAACCCAAATGTTTAAATTGTTTGTGAAAGATTAATTATTGTGTTTTGTATTCTTGAATCTTGCTGCTTCTTTGACCATGCCTAAGCTCACCTCTCCCTCCCCTTCCTCCTTGCTCCACATTAAATCCAGCCAATATCAGGTCCTCTGAGACATTTCCTATGTAAAGGATGCTGTATAAATGCAAGTTGTTGTTGCTGCGGTTGCAACTCAATATGTTCGATGGCGCTAAATGTCATTCTTGAGTCCAGCAAGCAAACAAGAGAGAATTAAGCCAACAGTTGTAAATCAATGCTTCCACAAAATATACAGCTTACTGAAGAATGTAAACGCTTGCTGATATTTGCAAATGTAGGATTGACTCTTGCAGCTATGATATGTTTAACACAGTAACCTCTGTACAGAGTTGCCTGTTCCCTTGAGGACAGATCAGTGGGAGTTTATTCTCAAAAACAATAAATTCCTTTTTACTAGCATCTGCTGTGGCTATTTTGAGACCAATAATTTTGATGATATGTATGTACATGTTCCAGACTGGAGCTCACACGCCCATGCATTTCAAGGTTTACTTTCAACAAGTATGTTATTAAAAGCAAAATAAGGTCAGTTTCCTTGTGTGAAGCTGCTTTGTAAACCAAGAGTTTTGAAGAATTATCAACAAGATACACCAAATAAAATATAACAAAAATACATCAGCAACTACCTTACATTAAGATCAGAAAACAAGCCCAGTAACCTTGGTATATAGTAAAACTTAATTGTCCAATGACTTGTCTGAATGGTCTCCTTGTTCTGTGCTGAGCTATCTGATCTCAGCTGAGGTGAGATGTGTCACACTATAGCTCAATGTCCCCTGTTAGGGAGGAGATAATCAACCAGGGGTTCCACTCTTGATCACTATGCAAGTTTGTGTACACCTTGGGTGAGGCAAAGAATAGAGTTTGGCTGCGACACATCCCCTCACACTCAAATAGTCCGCTGAAACTCACTGTTATGAATCACATGTGAAAAATTGCTACCCGTGTGACACACCGGAAGATAATAATAATCATTGCATTTTGTATAGCACCTTTCACATCTCAAAGCACTTCACAGGATACACTGCAAAGTGGAGTCACTATATTTTCTGGGTGAACGCAGCAGCCAATTTACACACAGCAATGTCTTTCAAACAACCGTGAAGAGAATGACCAATTGTTTTTGAGAGATTGTTGGCCAGGACACGGGAGAAACTCCCTTCTCTTTTTGAATAGTGTCATGGGAACTTTAATATTCTCAAAAAACTTTAACTTTAACAGTTTATCATCTCATCTGAAGGACACACCTCCAACAAAGTGGCATTCTCCCAACACTGCATTGGAGTGTCACCCTGGACTATGTGGGTTCCATATCGTAACATGGGGCATGAATCCACAACCTTCTGCCTTGAGACAAGCTTGCTACCAACTGAGCCAAGGCTAACACACAGGATGCCCAGCCCTCATGGGAGCTGGGAGAAACGGAAAAGGGGATCATGTAAAATTCTCAAAAGAGGACAAAAAAGTTTTCCACAGTATACTCAGGACACACGCACTGCTGTTGATTGGCATTGTGAAGTTAGGGAGCTTTGCCTAGTTGGCTGCTGTGAAGTTAAAACAATCTTTTAGCAGCACACTTGTCTGTTTTGGTACAAGATTATTATTTATCAGCAGGTGTGACTCAACCACCACCACTGCAGCCACTTCCTTATGCTGGCACTGCATCACTTTGTGAACAAGCCCCAGAACCACAAGCATTCAGGTCCTTAAGGGAACGTGGTGAAATCCTCAGATATTTTGGACGGAAACAACAAAGTTTCTCAGGAGAAAACTTGGCACCTGGAAACATTAGAATCGTGCAGCAAGCACGAGTTATATATTCCATGTCTGTGTGGTCTATGTGGATGGAAATGCGCTAAAACAAGCAAGTCTATTCTGTAGGCCCAAACAGTCTCATTAGCTCTGGACATCCATCAGTAATATTAGATAATTGCCACCCACAGAAATTGCTGCTGATAAATAAGGCAAGAAAAAAAACTTTTAAGTACTACTGATTTACCTTCAGCACTCGTAACCCAAGATCACTACCAGAGACTGAGAGACTGGAAGATATCACCAAACAACTTAATAATAATAATAAACCTTGCATTTGATATAGCGCTTTTCACGTCTTCTAGATGTCTCAAAGCACTTCACAGAATATACTGTAAAGTGAATTGACTGTATATTTGTGGACAAAACACAGCAGCCAATTGTGCACAGCAGTGTCCCACAGAGAAGTCGTGGATTGAAGTGACCAATTTATTATTGTTTTTTTTCTTGAGGGACTATTATTAGGCGTGTGGAGTAAGGAAACTTGCCCAAGGTTTTGCCCTGCCGGGAATCGAACCCAGGTCTCTCGCTCGAGAGGCGAGTGCTCTAACCTTTGTTTGGTGGACTTTACAAATTGTGTTTTAATTTTTACGCACAATATACAGTCAATTCACGTTACAGTATTTTCTGTGAAGCGCTTTGAGACGTCTTGAAGATGTGATAAGAGGCTACATCAAATGTAAGGATTATTATTATTAATTTCTGTCAAACCCTGTCTCGTGCGGTGTCCCTCAGGGCTCTGTCCTCGGTCCCCTCCTCTTCACCCTTTATACGCTCCCCCTGTGGTGACATCATCCGCAGACATGGGGTTAACTTCCACATATATGCGGATGACACCCAACTCTACCTTTCCTCCTCTACCCTCAACTCCACGACCACCGATGTCCTGACAGCTGCCTGTCCGACATCGAGTCCTGGACGAGAGACAACTTTCTTCAGTTCAACGTGCGTAAAACTGAGGCCCTCCTGATTGGCTCACGTCAGCGCCTCCGCACCTCAGGCGCTGACAGCATCAGCATCCAAGGCTGCACTCTCCACCTCTCAAAGCCGGTCAGGAACCTCGGGGTTCTGTTCGACCCTGAGCTGTCCTTTCTTCCCCACATCCGCGTTACAGCTGGCACTGCCTTCCACCACCTCCGGAATGTCGCCAGACTACGGCACTACCTCACCCCTCACGCTGCTGAAACTCTGGTCCACGCCTTTATCACCTCAAGGCTGGACTACGGGAACTCTCTCCTCGCCGGCCTTCCCGCCACCTCCCTCCACAAGCTGCAGGTCATTCAGAACTCTGCAGCTCGTGTACTGTCCCGCACCAGGCTTCGGGACCACATCACTCCCACCCTCGCTCGCCTCCACTGGCTCCCCATCCCCCAGAGGATCAAATTCAAGATCCTCATCCTCACCTACAAGGCCATTCATGGCCTTGCTCCCTCCGACCTACTATCCCCCTATGTACCCGCCCGTACCCTCCGTTCCTCTGGCTCCGGTCTGCTCCACATCCCCCGCCCTAGCATCGGTGGCCGGGCTTTCAGCCTCTCAGCCACTAGGCTCTGGAACTCCATCCCTCAGTGCCTTCGCTTTGCTTCCTCCCTTTCCTCCTTCAAGGCCGGTCTCAAGACCTTTCTCTTCAACCGTGCCTTCAGCTCCCCTCTCGACTCTCTACCCCCTCCTCGCTCCTTCCCTTCCCTCCCCTCACCCTGACCATTCCCCCCTGCTTGGGTCCTGACCCAACTGTCCAGCGCGTTGGGACGTCTTCCCGACGTGAAAGGCGCTCTATAAATGCAATCTTGTTGTTGTTGTCCGACCGCCTGACCTCCTGACACCCGTGGTTGTTAGAAATTAAACTACATTTATAATTTTGAGATGGTGCCTAATTAAAAAAATTAAAGCTGCAAAACGTTTTTGTTCTTGTTTCACTCCCCTTTGAAGACCCTTTTCTTAAAGGTTCAAAAGCACTATTATTGACATCCTTTTTGGGCTAATATTTGGTGGATAATCCTTGCATTTGATATAGCACTTTTCACGTCTTCTAGATAATAATAATAATAATAATAATAATCCTTGCATTTGGGAGGACGTCCCAAAGCGCTTCACAGAACACACTGTAAAGTGAATTGACTGTATATTTGTGGGCGAACGCGGCAGCCAATTGCGCACAGCAGTGTCCCACAAACAGTTGTGGATTGAAGTGACCAATTTATTATTGTTTTTTTTCTTGAGGGCTTATTATCAGGCGTGTAGAGTAAGAAAACTTGCCTGAAGTTTCGACCAGCTGGGAATTGAACCCAGTTCTCTCGCTTGCAAGGCGAATGCTCTTTATGATAATAATCCTTTCATTTGATATAGCGCCTTTAGGATATCTCAAAGCACTTGACAGGGTTTACTGTAAAGTGCAGTGATTGTGTACTTTGTGCACTTTCCTACAGAAAGAACATTTCCGTAGCAGATCTCCTTGCTTGTTAGCTAATAACAATGGGGACCAAAAGGTACTGGGGTAGAATTCAATGTGAACTTTTTGGGGGGAGGTAGTGTAGAGGCAGTACTAGTGTTTCTGAAAATAATGTCTGCAGAAACCCAATACGCAGCTCACTTTCATTAGTACTGCAGACAATCCTTGAATGAATAAACAAATAATACATATCTATCTGCCACTATATTAATAATGTAATAATAATCCTTGCATTTGGTATAGTGCCTTATCACGTCTTCGGGATGTCTCAAAGTGCTTCACAGAATACACTGTAAAGTGAATTGACTGTATTCTGTAGGCGAAACACAGCAGCCAATTAACTGAACACAGCAGTGTCCCACAAACAGTCGTGGATTGAGTGACCAAATTATTATTTTAAAATTTATTTATTGTCTTGAAGGGATTATCACCCCCGGAAAAGCGATCCGCCAATCGACTAACAACTGGGTTCCTACTTACTATTAGGTAAACAGATGCGTATGGAGTAAGGAAACGGGATTATTATCAGGCGTGTGGAGTAAGGAAACTTGCCCAAGGTTTCGCAATCCCGGGAATCGAACCCAGGTCCTCTCGCTTGCGAGGCGTGTGCTCTAACAACTGAGCTACAGGACTCCACAATCTTCCAGCTACCTGAAATCAGAAGCTCATAGAAAACACAGAAATATGCAAACTGTTCCATTATTTTGTTTACTTAAGCACTGTTGGATGCTACCCTGCTTGAAGGGCACTATATAAATGCAAATTGTTGGCATTTTCCACTTTTTTTTAAACTTATCTCCCTCCCTCACATCCCACACCACATCCCAACTAAAGATAGAAGCAGGAGGTGAGGGACACTGAGACTAATGCCCTTGGTAGTAGGTGACCAGGCTATTATTGCTCCCTCTCTCGGGCGGGAGGCCGGAGAAAAGGCACCTATCCTAGCCTCTGCCAGACACCTCCTCTCAACACGCCAGAAACCTAAAATGCACAGGATGAAGAAATGGTGGGAGCAAATGCAATAAATGCTCCATGCTCAATGCGTCAGTGCACCTGATGCACTCTTATCACCAGCCACTGAATAATAATTCTTTCAGGTCGGGAGGATGCTCAAAGCACTTCACAGATATACTATAAAGTGCAGTGACTGTATTTGTGGGCAAACGCGACAGCCAATTTACACTCAGCCATGTTCCACAAACAGCCATGGAGTGAATGACTAATTTTATTTTGGGGAACTGTCGGTCAGGACACCGGTAGAAACTTCCTGCTCTTTTCAAACAGTGCCACTGAATCATTAATATTCACCTGAACAGCACCTCAATTTAATGTCTCATCCGAAGGAGGGCTCCTTCAACAACGCAGCACACCCCCAGCACTACACTGGAGCGTCATCACAGACTATGTGAGTTCCAAGTCCCGATTCGTCATACTGGGGCATCCAACCAAATCGACATACAACAAAACAAACATAATGTTTACCCCCAGAGAGTTTTAAAATAATTTCAGAAAGATGTTCAAGTTGCACTGCTAATAAGCAAAAAAAAGTGGGACAGACTTTAGAGATACTCCCTTAGTGTTAGCACTGATGCGGTATGGAGCATGCCTCACTGGTTCCCACTGAGTTTAATTATTATTTAAATATGTGCAACTGGGTAGGCTCTCAAAGACAGTATATAAGGGAGTGCAGTGTCTGGCTTGTGGCATATCAGCAGCAGAGTTGTCTCTGCACAGAGTGAAAGTGAGCTAAACAAGCAACATCAAGCTGCTTGGATCCACATAATGAAGACGTTTTATTTTGCTATGATGATCTGCTTTGTTAACCCTGCATGTGTGCTGGGGGGCAGACTGGGGAACAAGTCTCAGGGAGTGCAAAAGGCTCACTTTGCCACATCTGACGATGTGAACCTCATTGCGTATGGTCTTCTTCAGCTCGGGCAAGCGCTGAAACATCATGTGGACGGGACGAGGGTGGAGATCGATGCCATCGTGGAAAAACTAGACGTTTACAACAGTTCCTTCATTCAACTTGAGGGCCAGGCGAGGGACTTGGAGAGCGGTGGTGAGGCTCTGAAAGTTAAGTCCCAGACATTGGAACTTCAGGACCAAGAACTTCACAAGATATCCACAGATCTCAGAGACAAACTAACCCAGTTATTGCAGGAACGACAGTTGTTTGTCAGCAAGGTGGAGGCTCTGGAAGGCAAGCTGGAGAGGATGCTTGGCAGGAAAACAGGTGTGAATGAGTCTGGAGATCCCTCACTTCACAGGGTAAGGGAGCTTCTGTGCATTTTTCTGCGTACTTCTCAAACAAACCATTATCAATTTTACTCTTTTTGTGATCACATAACAGGTGTAAAGCCAGTTTTACAGTAAGTTATAAATCCACAAAATATACAGTCTATTCACTTTACAATATTTTCTGTGAAGCGCTTTGAAACATCTTAACTACGTGATAAGGTGCTATATTGAATGCAAGGATTATTATTATATATCCAATTTGATAACCTCTATGAGGTTTTTGTCCAAACTTATTCAGATTCAACAGCATATTTGGCTCATGAATTTGGGGGCTTGATAGTTTCCAATAGTTTCTTTGTATTCTTAAAGTTTAAAATTCGTACCCTGTTCATTTTGTGTCTGCCCACAAACACAGTCACAGCAATTTACAGTACAGTATATCCTGTGAATCCTTTGAGAGTCCATTTGCTATACCAACTGTAAGGATTGTTAGTATTTATTTATAATTCTTTCTGTCTATAATCACTTACTGTATATACCTCACCTGGTCACATTATTTATGATACAAACTGTTCACGGTTGTTTTTTTTACAAAGGCTATTTTGTTCTGTTTCTGAGCCCAAGAAATCCTCCAGTGCCTTGTTGAGGTGGCTATTAGTTACAAAGATTAATAAGTTCTTTGTGTGTGAGGTTAGACAGTGAGAGCTGGCAGGCTTTGGACTGTGGAGGATGTCACACCCAAGATCTGTCCTATTCTCACTCAATCCCACATTTTAGTTGTGTTCACTGGGCAGATCAGCAATTTGGTGGTTGGGGGTGGGGGTGCGAGAGGCTATTGTTACATAAACCTGGGGGAGGGAGGGACTTTAAAATGTGGGAAATTGAAAATTGCCCTGGATTTGAAGTTTATGATGGGGTCTTATAAGTGCTTAAAGATGTTACCAGAGTGAAGGGCACGATATAAGTTGCTGTTGTCAACAATATCTAAAGTGGTTTCTTCAGAGACGCCTTCCAGAAACCAGAACATGCATCCTGTACATTCATGGTGACCTGCAGGAGCTCTGCTGCGCTGTAGACTGGAGCAAAGTTCATATTTAGTCAGCACGACTTGCTTCCAGCTGCCTTAGTTAGTTAGAAAATGACCGTGTTTATATTAGACCCACTTTGACATAGAATTACACAGAGTGATAGGGCACAGAAACAAGCTATTTTGCTCAACTAGTCCATGCTGATGTTTATACTCCATAAGTATACATCACTGGTGTGATTTCAAGAAGCTGCTCTGATCATAGGGTTAGGTGATGTCATTGAATGATTAATTTTCGGGCTGGGAGCTAGAGTCCATGGCATTAAGACCTTGACGTGATTGTTTTTAGATAAGGGCCGGGCTTGATGTGCTGATCGCTTTTCATTGTTTCACACTTTTTCGTGTTCTTGTAAGATTCTGCGCTCAAAGAGAATAGTTCAGCACTATTGTAAATTCTCAAATTCAGTCCTAATTTGGAAGCGGTTGCTTTGAGAACTGAAGGAAAGTCAGCTTCTAAATTTCCTACTAATTCTGTAGGAATCTTAATCTTTTCAAGAAAATTATCTTAGGTTAGGTGGAATGTCGGCCTCTGGACTATTTTTATATGTGACCAAACATCTATTCACATTTCTGATATATTCATTTGCTTGAACTTAATTTGAAAAAATACAGTACATGTTACGAATGAGATCCTGAGATAATAACAATCCTTTATATATTTGATAGAGCGCCTTATAATAATAATAATAATAATCCTTGCATTTGATATAGCGCTTTTCATGTCGGGAGGACGTCCCAAAGCGCTTCACAGAACACACTGTAAAGTGAATTGACTGTATATTTGAGGGCGAACGCGGCAGCCAATTGCGCACAGCAATGTCCCACAAACAGTCGTAGATTGAAAATGACCAATTTATTATTGTTTTTTTTGTTTTGGAGGGATTATTATATTAGGCCTTGTCGTTCGTCCTCAAGGGACACCTGGCATGTGCAGGTGGGTGTGGTGGCTCCAGAACTGTGCAAAATGTCTTTGAACATGTTCATGTCAACATAAAAGTGACGCGGGGTCTCCTTGGGACTGAACTGGCTCCAAGGTGAGATGCCCAGTAATGGAATGTCAGAATCGGGCCAGCACTCTGTGACGGACTTGGTAGCCTGGCTCCTGAGCCAGGCGGGTCCGCAGTGTTCCAGGGCACTGCTGATGACAGCACAGGCAGCCTGATCACTGGCAGGACCTGGAAGGGCAGACTAGTCAACTCCTTTTAGCCCTTCAAGCCAAAGCCCTAGTGGGTATGGTGGTCCTAGCTGGACAAGCAGTGGGAAAGCTTGCCGGACAACAATATCAATGGCAAGCTATGTGGTTTTAGCTGGTTAGACTCCAGCAGTACCCATAACGCACACTCTGGGGTCCCCAAGACTTGGCTCTTGCCAACCTGACCTAATACTTTCTGGAATTAGGTAAGCAGAATGAATCCCTCCAGGATGAGTGCGCATTCCATTCCAACAGTCTATCTCTGGGATTTCCATGTCTAGGTGGGATATATAGAAATCTCAGCTTGGTTTGGAATTCTCTTAAGCATGGGTTTCCGCATGTGATCAGACGCCCGGCTGACCCAAAAAAAACTGTAAACCCAACTTTCAGGTTTTTATCTCAGCTGAATGAAAGAAGAAAAAAAGCTATTGCATTTTTATAGAGCCTTATCATGTCTTAACATCTCAAAGCAGTTCATGGTAATTACTGGGAGGTCTAGTGACTGTTTGTTATAGTAGGCAAACAAACAAAGTTAACTTTCCGGACCAGAGATTGTGTTTACCAGTGGGTCAGCAGGCTATACCAGTTTATCTAACATTTTTTGTGAATCACCTCCAAGTCAGGAACCAAGTATTCTCCTTGTGCTGACAAGGATTGCCACACAGTGAATGTCCTGTAGCATATGTCAAGGTGACGTGGGCCACCCTGAAACCCAACCTCATAGTCTTCAAAAGAGGCTCAAATTGTTCCCTAATATATTTTATATATAAACCAGTACTTCCCCGTGAGTGAGGAACCCATCTCCTGGCCTCTGCAAGTCCGGTAATATCTATGGTGGAGAGAAGCTAGGTGTGTTCCATTGTATCTAGTGTGACAAGAGCTTTGGTCCACCTATGTACTGTGTACTCGCTGGTGCTGAACTTTCCTGAGGTCGGGGAGATCTGGATCCATTTTCACGCAAAGCATCAGCCCTCTCCCTAAACACAACAGAATATCTCTGATTCCTCTGCACAACAAACTTCAGAGCAGCCAAGTGCAGGAGTAAAAGGTCCTGTGTATGTGCAGCACAATAAAAAAATGACATACATACATTTATATACATATATTATATAACACCTTTCACAATGGGAGGGTATCCCAAGGGGCTTAACAGTCCTGGCTTGGTACCTGAGCTGGGATACTGAAGCACGAGTTTCCCTTGCTAAAAAATGCTGAGTTATAACAATAGGTTATTTTTTGAACAAGAACGCCCTCTCAGGCATTTTTTCCCCACTTTGTCTAAATACCGCTGAAGTGGAACTTTCAATTAAAATACTTCTGATCTGCATCTGTTCATATAACACTCCACACTGAGGGGCTCCCGACAGGGGTAACACTGCCCAGCTGTGTATATTCTGGTTGACATTAAGCAGTCTGCTCTCGATGTTTACCTTGTACTTGATAACTACTGTGAGTAGTTACCACAGCACGAGTTGTGTCAAGTGTTTTTGAGGGAAAACATTTGTTATAATAAATTATTAATAGACTCCTAGGGGGAAAAGTGAGAAATTTCAATTTGAATATCTATAATTCTAGGCGAGGCTTAATTTTTTTTCAAAACAATGATCCCGATGCAAAAGAATTGATTTTTGTCATTGGACAAATGATGATAATCCTTGCAGGTGATGCAGGACCGAATGTTGAACTATCTCAAAGTGTTTCATAGATAATTGCTGAGAAGTGCAGTGACTATTTACTTATAGGTTAATAGGGAAGCAATTTCCCAGACCAAATGTCCAACAAAGTCAGTTGGCCAGAACTGATTGTTGGCCAGAAACTCTCTTCTCTTTTTGAATCGGGTCTTTAAAGTTTACTCAAGCAGTCAATCGGGACCTCGGCTTAATGTTCCATCCCAAGGACGGCACCTCCGGCAATGCAGCGCTCCCTGAACATGAGCACAAATTTCATAATCGTCTCATTCAAAAGGAAAATCATTACACCCTAAAACATTAGACAATGGATATTCCAGCTCCCCTTAGGCAACACCTGATTTCAGAGCATATGCACTAGGCAGTCTCTCACAAGCGTAACTCAGGCAAGTGCAGACAACACTGTCAATATCCACGTGTGTGTGCCACAGGATTGGAGATCTGAGAGTCACGCACACAGAGCAGGAGAACTGTCAGGTCTATAATTAATAAACTGGTACACGCCTGCGAGCCTCGACATGCCTTTTGGCATTTTGTGCAAGCTCAGCATTCCAGGATGCAGACTGTGTAAACACATACCAACATTGTCTAGGAAATCTATTCCTTGTGTAGCAAGCATCCTGCAGGTTTAGAGTAAAATTAGGGTGGGGGGACATGAAGCAGGCCGGTGTCTAGCAGAACTGCAGCAGAGGCCTAAACCTAAAGTCTGAGCTGGAGGGGGATGGGGACTGGAGTTTGCTTCCTCTTCAAAAAAACACAATCATACATGGGAGCCAGGTTAGTGGGTGTTAGATTGGCGCTTTCTTTATTAGCATTTTTAGAGCATGGACTGCCATTTCACTGCCCTTATAAACACTGTCACTGCACTTTATCTTGTGAAACATTTTGGGATATCCTCCAGAAGAGAAAGGCGCTATACCAAATGCCGTTATTATGCAATTCATCAGACTTGTGAAAGGATCAAGAAGGCCAGCAGAGAAACACCACAGTAAAACCAATACATTGTCTTGCAAAGAGCTTTCATCTGCATTTTGTTTCAAACAGATACTAGTTTATTCTCTTCTCACTATTATCGTGGAGTCCTGTAGCTCAGTGGTTAGAGCACTCGCTTTGCAAGTGAGCGACCTGAGTTCAATTCCAGGCAGGGCGAAACCTTGGGCAAGTTTCCTTACTCCACACGCCTAATAATAATCCCTCCGAAACTAAAAACAATAATAAATTGGTCATTTTCAATCTATGACTGTTTGTGGGACATTGCTGTGCGCAATTGGCTGCCACGTTCGCCCACAAATATACAGTCAATTCACTTTACAGTGTGTTCTGTGAAGCGCTTTGGGACGTCCTCCCGACGTGAAAAGCGCTATATCAAATGCAAGGATTATTATTATTATTATTATTATTTAAGCAGTAAAGATTTCCGGGCCGGGATGTGAGATAGTGACATTAAGAAAGATTTGTATTCATAAGAACGGGGGTGGTGGGGGAAGAGAGAGCAACTGATCCTGAGCAGGGCAGGAGCTAGACCAGAATAGTCTCCACGTGAGTATAACATGAACCCCGAGTTTTGGGTCAAAATGTTTTGGGAATAAAACATGTGCTATACTCTGCATAGCACCAGTAAACAGCACAAAAACAGTTTGGGTATAATTTATGTTCTTATGAAAGTTTACACGTATGTATGCACACACACCACACACATAGAACACAAAACTATGCATCTGACAAAGATGTAGCAGGGTGAACTGAGAGTCTGAAAATGCAAACTCTTTAAAAGCTGAACCCTTTCAGGATCAGAGTAAAGAATCTCATGTTCACCAGCAGTGTGGGGCTCATTTACAGCCCATCACCTTCAAGAAGTGATTCGGACGTTTCACCCACAGAATATAGAGTCAATCCACTTTACAGTATATTCTGTGAAGCGCTTTGAGTCTCAACAATATGATAAGGTGCAATATCAAATGCAAGGATTATTATTATTATTAATTATTGTTATTATAGGCTGCGGCGGAGGCTCACAGACTGAGTGCAGATGAACTTCTGGCACTGGTGGAGGAACAGCAGCAGCAAATCAATGAGCAGAGCGAACAGATTCAACACTTGCTTGGCAAGGTGTGTGCCCCTCACTCTCAGTGAACTTCTCGCGTGTGCTCATTAACAGCAGATTGTTCTCACCAAAAGCCCTTTATAAAGTAACTGAATATTTTGAGGAGCAGGGAAGGGTGATGAGTGAAGAATTGAAGATATTTCCTGCAATGACCCCCTGTGTTTTCTGTCAGATTGTATAGGAGAAGGTTTTGAAGTTTTATGTTTTTGATGTATCTGGTGTCGCACTGTCCAGGGGAGTGTTTTTATTTGAGGTTCAAAACAGCTTCAATTCTCAACAGCATCACTGGCGATAATTACGAAACAGTAGAGAGATCACATTAAAAAACAGTCCCCAATTATGGGTTTGGAGTTAAATCCCCCTCCCACCGCCACACCCTATGGAACTCCATCCCACATTCCCTTTGCCTCGCTCGCTCCATTGTCTCAAGACTTTCCTCTTCAACTGCGCCTTCGGCCACCTTACTACATCACTCAGCTCCGCCACTATCTCACACCGCAGGCCACAGAGACACTCATACACCCATTCATAACATCCAGATTCGACTATGCAAACTCCCTGCTTGTCGGCTTCCCCAACTCCTCCATAGGTTGCAGATCATCCAGAACTCTGCAGCCCATGTCCTCTCCCTCCCCAGGCTCCACAACCCATCCTTGCCCGACTCCACTGACTTCCTATCACGCACAGGATTCAAAATCCTGGTCCCCACCTTCAAAACTCTTCGTAACCTTGCTCCTTCCTATCTCTGCGACCTCCTAACCCCCTACCAACTTGCCCGCTCCCTTCACTCAGCAGGCTCCGGCCTGCTTCACATTTTGAGAGAGGACGCTGTGGGCTCTGTTGGATGCCATGCATACTCAAACACTTTCTAAAAGGAGATATGTGGTCACCTTTCTTTTCTCTGTCTGGAGGTTTTAAATAGGGAGGCCAGGGAGCATGTAAAGTTGAGAAAGAAACTGAAGGGAAACAACAGTTCCGCTGATCAACAGAATCCACGAGAGGCAGCCCGAGCTGACAGTGAGTATGGTTTTGTTTATATTAATCCTGATTGAAGTGCTGCAGACACAGATATTCAGATGAAGGAATTTATTCTCCTCATTTGAATATCAAAAATCTTAGGGAAGCTTTAACAAGTTTACCAACTTTAAATTACTGAAAGATTTTAGATTAATAACTACAACCAGCGACTTCTTGTTAAGGAAAGTGAAAAGATAAACTGCAGGCTCTACAGACTGCAAATCAATTTCTATGCATGATGACTATCTTCTACACCTAACTACCACCTGATGGTTTGAGGAAATGCTCATTGAGCTTCAAGTTGTGATGGATGACATTTTGCTACATTTCCTAATCCTCCTGGTGTCAGAACTATGGGTTAGCTTCAAGGTGCTGCTGGATGGTCACTGTAATAATCCTATAAATAATCCTTGCATTTGATATAGTGCTTTTCACGTCTTCTAGATGTCTCAAAGCACTTCACAGAATATACTGTAAAATTAATTGACTGTATATTTTGTGGGCGAAACGTGGCAGCCAGTTGTGCACAGCAGTGTCCCACAAACAGTCGTGGATTGAAGTGACCAATTCATTACTGTTTTTTTTCTTGAAGGATTATTATCAGGTGTGTAGAGTAAAGAAACTTGCCTATGGTTTTGCTCTGCCCGGAAATGAACCCAGGTCTCTCACCTACGAGGTGAGTGCTCTAACCACTGAGCTACAGGACTCCACTGTAAACACAAACTCCTTTCCTTTCATCCTTTTCTAAGTTCCATACCAATGCTTCAAAAGCTGCAACAAAACCTCCACTCATATCTGCGAGTTTCTCCATTTTAGGAGGAGGTATGCTCTGACTTTGACCAGAGAAACTCTAACCGCAATTTTTTGTGCACATCACACTCTGCTCACTTTCCTCTAAAATTCTTCAGATCCAGCTCCAGAATGAGCGTATTTATTCTTTTCAGGGACAGTTTTGAACCAAGATTGTGACATTCAGGGCAACTCCTGTTTGCAGAGATGGGTCCAAGCTATATCCAAGCCCCATGGCTTGAGGGCCTGTGATTGACCAGAGGGTATCCAAACTGTGGGGCTGTCAGACTCCAATATCCAGGTAAAGAGGAGAAGATAGGGGCTTTATCTACATACTGTGGACAGAGGAGTAGAGGGGAAAACAAGGGGACCAGCAAGGAGAGAATGAAACTTTATTCGGAATATGGCCAAAATACATTTTGCCAATTGCTTTTGAGAGATTTTTTTAGAAACAAGCTTCTGACGCAAAGAACATTTTCAAGAAACTTTTGTCTAAAGTAATGATCTTGAAAAGTGACAGTGCTTAATATTGCAGGACATAACTGGAACAAAGGGCATACACATGGCTCTGATTACTGAACAGTCTGAGGCAAATGGACGGCTACAAGCTCTGTACTGCTGTTGATGCGATGCACAGCGGCATCTGGAGCGAGAGGAAAGATATGAACAAGCGCAACCTGATCTTTCAACTTTCAGTGAATGGAAAATCTGGTTGTAAAAATATCAACTGAATAGCCAGAGTGCTGCTAACGAAGGCCGAGAGCGCTGTACTTTTCACTCTGTACATAATGCAATCCAGATCGTCTACTCACTAGGGAGCTCAGTCCCTGGCCAAGCTCCAAGTAGGTGAAAGGCAAAGGGGTGACTAAGTGGACAGGAAGCAAATATAAATGCTACACAGGGATTAAAGGCATAAAACAAATCTATTCAGACATTGGCTTCCTGAATAGCATTTGAAGCGATGCCAGGTAATGCAAGTTGTAATTCTTTTGGATGACGATGTAGTGCAAGGCAAATATGCTCCCTGTGTTGCAAGCAAAACAGTGGTGCAGTGTATCTGAGCACCAGCGAGTTGCACAACAGAGGGGAACAACACGGATTCAATACCCAGGCCACTACAACCATCCCTACTGTGAGGAGGCACTGAGTGGATGTCAAGCTCTTCTCTAACAGGGAGAAGGGATAAATCAGATGGCTTTTAAGAATTTCTAGACAGGCAACAAAAAGTGGCACTTGTGACCTTGGTTGCAGAGCATTTGTCTCTTCTTGTCGCAGATGGAGGGAAATCAGGAGAAATTAGTAAAAGGGACAACTGGCATAAAAGTTCCTAAAACATATATTTCTATGGCTTCATGGAGAACTGAGTAAGTTCTCTACTGGCTACAATGCTATTTCTTACATCAGCAATGTAGTATTCCACTGGTGTATGTAGACATCAATAAACAGGATGCTATGTGTGCGGACACTAATTGTTGATGGGCACACTGCTGCTAACAGCTTACACTTTCAATTGTATCATGAAAGTCCTTCAAGGCATCTTAAAGTCATCCTGCTTAAACTACCCTCTTTATCGAGTGTCCATCAGTTCATCCTACCATTAAAGGATAACACGTTGCAGTGAGCATGTGTGTGTGAAACATGAGGCTTTTTGGGTGAAGAATCCATTTGGGCTTCTTCAGTGTCTGAAGAACAACAATAACAACTTGCATTTAAATAGCCCTCTTCACACGGGATAGAGTCCTGGAGCGCTTGACAATGGTGGAGTCTGACCCCGAGCCACGGGGAGAGGGAGATAACCGTAAGCACAATCAAAAAGAAAGGTCTTTAGCTAGGATTTAAAAGTGGGGAGGGAGGGGGCAAGGCAGAGAGATTGAGGGAGAAAGTTCCAGAGTTTGGGGCGTAGTGGCTGAAAGCACGGCCACCGATGGTGGAGCGCAGGGGGTAAGGGATGAACCAGGAGGCCAGAGCCTGCTGAGCGGAGGCAGCAGAGTCAGCGGATAGGCAGTGGGGGTAAGAAACTGTTTAATCCACAGCTTGAAGCAATGCTTATATACCATTTGGTGATGCAAAACCACCAAAATCCTCCAACCGGCAATGCCATGAGATGGCAGAATCAAGAGCATAACAAGAAATACAGTGCACAAATATTATTTTATAGCCCTGCAACAACAACTTGCATTTATATAGCCTCCCTTATGCAGGGTAGCTTCCAAGATTGCTTATAATAAATATTATATATAAATATTGAATGTCATTAAAATATTATTTTTAATAATAGTATGATAGTGACTACAAATTGTATAAATCTTAATAAATATATAAATACAAAGTACAAAGCTAGGACTGTATTGAAGGTTCAAAGGGATTCTCCAGGATAAGACTCTACAACAGGCTCATTGTCAAGAACTTATAGAGGGGAAAAACACAAACAGCCTTGCCCTTTATCCAAAGGAAATTATGGACAATGTTAAAGTTAGATGTTTGCTTCCGGCTGTCGTGCAATAAGCTTTGTAGAAACTCCAATTGGACAGAAGTCAACATGGCTCCCATACAGCCAGAAGGCAGGGTCCCATTCCCATCACGTGATCGATGGCAGGAATTCAAACAAGCACCTTTNAAAAAATGAAAGTGAGCTACATCCCCATAACCAAACTAACTCAAGACTATATTTGCTGTTCACCCAGCAGAGTCTGAGCAATTCAGATTTTTTTTCAAACAAAAAGAAAGTTGAAATAGTAATTTTTCAATAGAGCAATTCCACAAGGCCAAGTCAGGGCATCAAAGTTTATTCTTATTTTCTTGTGGTTAGAGACTTTAATTCTGCGTGATTGTACGAATCCGAATCCTTCAATCCCATTCTGCACCACAGCTGTTCTGCCAGCTGTTTGTTCTTCAAGGACATTATAAACACAGCATCGTTGTAAACTTGATGAGGCTACACACATTCCAACAACACAACCTGGAATGGGCAGGACGGTTTCCCGTCTTACACAACAACTTATGCAACACCGACATGCCACAAAGGAAGTGGGAGTTAGACACTTTTCTTTCTGCACCTTCCACAAAGGTGGAAAAATGGGCAAATTAAACCTGACGGAGGTACATCACAAACACAAAGCTGCCAGACAATCATGTGGTCCTCTCCGGCCTCTGCCTGCATTTAATCATAGAATCATAGAATTATACAGCACAAAAAGAGGCCATTCAGGCCATCGTGTCTGTGCCTGCTCTTTGAAAAGAGCTGTCCAATTCAATCCCACTCCCCCGCTCTCTCCCCATAGCCCTGCAAACTTATCCTCCCCAAATAATTATGTACTTCTCTCTTAAAATCTCTTATTGAATCGGCTTCCAACCCTTTCAAGCAATGCATTCCAGATCCGAACAACTCGCTGTGTGAAAAAATTCCCTGTGTGAAGAATCCCCTTCATAATTTTGAAAACTTCTCTTAAGTCTCCTCTTAACCTTCTCTGCTCTAAGAATAATCCTAGCTTCTCTAACCTCTCCTGATAACATGAAGTCCCTCATTCCTGGTAAATCTCCTTTGCAGCCTCTCCAATGCCTTGACATCCTTCCTAAAGTGTGGTGCCCAGAACTGAACACAGTACTCTAGCTGAGGCCTAACCAGTGTTTTATAAAGGCTCATCATAACTTCCTATTTACAAAGTATTCTATGCCCCTATTTACAAACTAGTATCTTGTATATTTTTAAAACAGCTTTATCTATCTGTCCTGCCACCTTCAAAGATTTACTTATATGAACCCCCAGGTCTCTCTGTTCCTTCACACCCTTTAAGATCGTATCATCTAGTTTATATTTCCTCTTCTCATTTTTCCTCCCCAAGTGCATCACTTCACATTTTTCCACATTAAACTTCATCTGCCATGTGTGTGCCCATTTTACCAGTCTGTCTATGTCCCCTTGCAGTCTGCTACTAGCCTCCTCACTGTTTACTACTTTTCCTAGCTTAGTATCATCTGCAAACTTGGAAATTATACTTCCTATACCCAAGTCCAGGTCATTTATATCGATCAAAAACAGGAGTGATCCCAATACTGACCCCTGGGGGACACCCCTGCACATTTCCGTCCAGTCAGAAAAACAACCGTTCACCACCACTCTCTGCTTTCTATCTCCCAGACAGTTCTGTATCCATGCTGCCACTGTCCCTTTAATACCGTGGGCTTCTATTTTGCTTACAAAAAAGTTTGGTTTGCTGTTGCCCTGATTCCGTGCAGTTTTCAGCAGAGCACTCGTGCAACGATGGGTATTTTCATTGGGTTAGCATATGTGAATAGCAGCACCATGTTGGCAACACAGTTGTATCCAATAAGTCATTGCACTAAAAAAACAGCACCGGGGCAACACAAGGTGTGTGTAGCACAGGCAGCCCACACCAGAGACACCCTCAGTTACACCAATTCCGCCCCCCCCCCCCCCCCAGCCTCCAGAGCTGCAAATAGGGTAACAAAACAAAGAGATAGTTTAACAGCTGATTAAGTATTACTTCAGAGACTGGTTCAATTATACCATTTAAATATTTTCACATGGTACAGGTGACTGCCAACAGATTTTCAGGAGGGGCGAAAGAACTAGTGGCATTTACAGCATACAGCCAAAAGGATCGCAGCCTTTTAAAACCTATTGCCAAATGACTCCAGGTTAGTTTCAATATGTCATCGCAAAGTTGGAAATAATATTATGACAATTCTTGCATTTGATATACCTCCTTATCACATCAAAACATCTCAAAGTGATCCAGAGATTAGTGACTTTGAAATTGTAGGTGAATGCAGCAGCCAATTTGCACGCAACAATATCCCACAAACAGCCATGAAGTGAAAAACCATTGGCAGAATTTGGCCAGAACATTGGGAGAAACTCCCTTTTGACTAGTGCCATAGGCTCTTTAATATCCACTGAACAGGCAGACAGGACCTCAGTTTAGTGTCTACCTGTTCAACAAAGCTGTGCTCTCCCAGCATTGGCGTGTCAGCCTGGACTGTCAGCTCAAATTCCTGATGTGGGGCTTGAAACCTGTTCTTACACAGAGCACAAATTACCCCAGGGCTCTTCATTCTTGAGAGAAGACTACTCCCCTATTTTTAAATAGGGTTTAAAACGTAAAACCAGATCAATACTACAATAGTAATGATAATCCTTGCATTTGATATAGCGCTTTTCACGTCTTCTAGACGTCTCAAAGAGCTTCACAGAATAGACTGTAAAGTGAATTGACTGTATATATGTGTGGGCGAGATGCAGCAGCCAATTGCGCTCAGCAGTGTCCCACAAACAGTCGTGGATTGAAAATGACAAAGAAAACATTTTTGAGGGATTATTATTTTCACCCTGCCGGGAATCGAACCCAGGTCTCTCGCTTGCAAAGCAAGTGCTCTCACCACTGAGCTACAGGACTCCACAAAGTTGCATCAAGACAGTAGAACAAGAGGACATAGTTTAGAGTTGTAAAGGGCCATTTCAGGACAGACACCAGGAAGTTTTTCTTTACCCAGAGTAATTAATGACTGAAACAGGTTGGCAGGAAGGATGGTAGAGGCCAAGTCACTGGACTCATTTAAAAATCAGCTTGATGCTGTGATGTGGGGATGGCAGGGAAGGATGAGATCGGATGGGCTAACAGTAATTGGCTGCACATTGAAGAGCAGTTGTTTTAATGGGATGATCTGAATGAAATGAATGAAAAATTATTTTAAGACAGCAGAATTGTGACTTGCGTGAGTATGAGAGAATGACTGGAACAAAACCTATCGACAGTTACTCAGAGGTCAAATGGATTTGGAAGTAGTAAAGCAGTGGAAAGAATGAGACCTACGTAGACTGAAGACTTGTATCATGAGCATTTACAAGCAACTTAAAAGTAAAATAATTACATAATTTTTGCTGCTCAGTTTTTCCTAAAACCCAGTCACTGCATTTTACAGTAAATCTTGTGAAGCTGCCTCTTGATGTGAAAGGCCCTGCATCAAATGTAAGGTTTATTATTAATTATTTATTAATTAATATAATCTTCTAAGAGCAGTTTGTGTAGGTTGGATGCATGTAATTCTCAGTTTGGTTTGGATATTCTTAAGCATGGCGATGGGGTTCTGCATGTCTCAGGCATTCAGCTGACCAAAAATAGAACAGTTGTGAACAGCCACTCTACAATCTCTGGTCTAAAGCATGTGCTGATTTCTCTCACTCTCACAGAGTCTGGATGGACTATGATCCAGCGGCGAATTGATGGCTCTGAGGACTTTGATCGACCGTGGCTGGATTATAAAACTGGATTTGGAGACTTAAGTGGTAAGACTCTGGCACTAAACACACCGGGTACTGTAATTTTACTTTCATAACGTTCAACTATTAACAAGACAATTTTATTTTAATAAATTTTATTTCTAAAGGTTTCCTCATTAAATATATGGCTAAAAGTAAAATGAGATTAGCGAATTGATCACCTTCTTAAAACAGGCCCTTCATTGTCAGCTCCTCAGTCATAATTATGATTTAATAACTATCATGGGAGTGCTCACCACTTGCTATAAACTGATTGTACTCTCGGCACCTGGTGTCAGAGTTCAGTAAAAAGCATTTGAAACTGGACCCTCCTAGAAATTGGAGATAGGAATTCTAGTGAGAGATTGCTGTTTCATCAATTGCAAACCTCTTTCTCACTGCTGGAATCTTCATCTTTCACCAGCAACTAACTGTAGATGTCCCCCAATCAACAACAACAACTTAAAATAATAAAAATAATAATCCTTGCATTTGATATAGCGCTTTTCACGACGAGAGGACGTCCCAAAGTGCTTCACAGAACACACTGTAAAGTGAATTGACTGTATATTTGTGGGCGAACGCGGCAGCCAATTGCGCACAGCAATGTCCCACAAGTAGTCGTAGATTGAAAATGACCAATTTATTATTGTTTTTGTTTTTGGAGGGATTATTATTAGGCGTGTGGAGTAAGGAAACTTGCCCAAGGTTTCGCCCTGACCTGCCTGGAATTGAACTCAGGTCTCTCGCTTGCAAAGCGAGTGCTCTAACCACTGAGCTACAGGACTCCACACTTGCACTTATATAACGCCCTCCACGCAGAGAGCTTAAAAGTGGTGGAGCCTGACTCCAAGCTGGGGGCAGGGGGAGTTGGCCGTAAGCACGGTCGAAGAGGAAGGTTTTTTAGGTGGGACTTGAAAAAGGGGAGAGAGGGACTAAGGCAGTGGCATTGAGGGAGAGTGTTCCAGAGTTTTGGGGAGTAGTGGCAAATTAAAGAAAAGTGAAAAGTTATACCGTCAAAATGTGTGATGATCAAAGGAAGTGTACACAGACTGAATGAATGAATAAACAGTGCCGTCAATGCACACAGAGGTTTAAATTCCATCCTAAATCAATAGGGAGACCTACCAATAGGGAGACTATAATCTCCATGCTTAAACTGCACCACCATGCCAGAGGCCATGAGGGCCTTTGTCAAGCTTTACCTCAGTCTGTTACTAATGCAGCTCGTTATTCACACATGGCTTCTTTTAACATAGTTTTATTCCATGGTTTAATTCCACCACAGAAAACTCTGAAGTAATAGCATCATGTACAATGTAACTGTTCGACATGTCATCCAATTATTTCAGTGGTTTATACGACTGCTAGAACTACTTTTAACACCTTATAAGGGAGATGAAGCCACCAACAAGGGTTTGACAAATGCCAGCATGAGTTGGAATAACACACTGAAGGGACACACTTTGCACCACAGCAGCAAAGGAACATATCTGATGGAACATATCACGTAACATCAATAATTATGGCAACCTGCATTCTAATGCATTAATTTCTGATTTGCCTACAGTCATTACACTTTATAGTAAATCATGTGAAGCCCTATGAGCTGTTTTGACGACATGAGAAGGCACTATATCAATTAAAAGAATTATGATGTTGATGATTATTATGATAATGCACAGTGCAGCAAAAATAGATCCAATGAACAAAATACACGGTGGCCAAAATAATTTATTAAAACTCCTGCAGCAAAGTTACTCTCATGGGCTTGTGGCATGAGTAACTTATATGACATAGATTATATGATTTTTTTTGTTGATCAGAATCCTCCAGTTGGACACACACACCAGATATTACTGCTAGTTCTGGCAGCAGACTAAATTTTCCACACAAAAATAAGGCGGTTTAGAACCACAGAAATCTGCAGTACAGAAGGCCATTCAGCCCATTTGCTGGTCCTTTGAAAGAGCTATCCATTCAGTTCCATTTACCTGCCTTTTCCAAATACCCGTGGAGATTGATCCTCTTTAAATATATATCCCATTCCCTCTTGAAAGCTAATATGGATTCTGCCTCAACCGCTGCATCCAGAAGTGCTTTCCACATCCTTAACAACTCTCTGTGTAAAAAAAACCTTTCTCTTGGCTCTTAAATTGATGTCCTCTCGTTGAAACTTCCATTTCCAGATGGAAGTATTTCACAAGCACATTTGAATAACTGCACAAATGGATGAAAAGAAAACAAAATGGAATTCCTGTCCCTCCTCCATCTTTAATTAATTATGTTAACCCTGCAAGCTTAAGACCCAACAGATAGGTGGTCCTAGCTGGACAAGCAACAGGAAAGCTTGCCAGGCAGTGCTCTTCATAGAAACCTATGCAAAACGTTGGGCAAATTTCCTTATTCCACACGCCTCTGTTTACATAGCAGTAAGTTGGAACCAGGTTGTTAGTCGATTGGCTTTTCCAGGGGTAATAATTGTTTAAAAAAAATAATAAATTGGTCACTCAATCCACGATTGTTTGTGGGACAATGCTGGGTGTAATTAGCTGCTGTATTTCGCCCACAAAGTATAGTCAATTCACTTTACAGTATATTCTGTGAAGCGCTTTGTGGAGTCCTGTAGCTCAGTGGTTAGAGCACTTGCTTTGCAAGCAAGACACCTGGGTTCAATTCCAGGCAGGGCGAAACCTTGGGCAAGTTTCCTTACTCCACACGCCTAATAATAATCCCTCCAAAAAACCCAAAACAATAATAAATTGGTCATTTTCAATCTACGACTGTTTGTGGGACATTGCTGTGCGCAATTGGCTGCCGCGTTCGCCCACAAATATACAGTCAATTCACTTTACAGTATATTCTGTGAAGCGCTTTGGGACGTCCTCCCGACGTGAAAAGCGCTATATCAAATGCAAGGATTATTATTTATTTACAGTATATTCTGTGAAGCGCTTTGAGACGTCTTGAAGATGTGATAAGGCACTATATCAAATGCAAGGATTATTATTATTATGGAACTGTTTGGTTAGGATACTCTTAAGCATGGTGATGGGTTTCCGATTGTGTCAGATACTTAGTTGACCAAAATAAAATCAACTCTTTCTGTCCAGGTGAATTCTGGCTGGGTTTAGAAAATTTCTACCAGATTGCTCGCCAGGGCAAATACCTGCTGCAGATAAAACTGCAGGATTGGAAGAACAACACAAGCTGGATTGAGTACACCTTTAGACTGAGCGGTGAGGACAACGGCTACACTCTACAAATTGGTCAGATGGTAACGGGAGATCTTCCATCAGCCATGAGCGAGTGTAAAGACGTCCCCTTCAGCACCAGTGATCGAGACAATGACCTCCACAGTGCCATAAACTGCGCCCAGAAACATTCAGGTATTCTACTGTAAACTACAAACAATACCAGTAGCCATTGATACCAACAGCAACTCTGGCATAATCAGTGTGTGGGAGGTTTTTCATTTCTTTCTTGCTGAGTAGAGATCTCATCAGCGTTCGTTGCATCTCAGTATTCAAACACACTGGGACTTGAACTTATAGGTCACACTGACACACTTTGTTATCACTTTTAAATCCTTCTACAGTCTTGCCTAACCTTACTTCTGTGACCTCCTCAACCCAGCTGCTTGCTTTGCTCAGCGGGCACCAGCCTCCGTCTGCCCCCCTGCCTACCCGCCCACCATAGGCAGTCGGGTTTCCAGCCTATCTGCCCCCACTCACTGAAACTCCATCTCACGGTCCCTCCCACTCTTTCCCTCACTCACCTCATTCAATACCTACCACCTTGAGCTTGCTTTTGGTCATCCTTCCACTCCTCATCTCAAAAGCTCCCACCCTCAGCTCAAGTACATGCCAAGGCTATTAAGCACCTTGGGACATCCTCCAGGTGTGAAAGCCGCTGTGTATATGTAAATTTGTATCGTATTATTTTGTTGTGAAACCTATTGTACCATTCTCTTTTCATAGGAGGGTGGTGGTTCAGCGCCTGTGGAGAAGCCAACCTGAACGGGAAATATTTTAGCACTAGAATTGCACGGAGACCAGATCGGAAGAAAGGAATATTATGGAAGACTTGGAAAAGCAGTTATTACTCTTTCAAATCCACATTACTAATGGTCAGGCCGGCCACAAGTCTGAACTAAAAGCACGTCCTGTACTTTAATGAAACTGACAAAGCATTTCACGACCTTACGGACAAAAACACAAGTGGGTGTGCATACAGTTACAGTCCTTGAGCTTTACTCTGTTCCTGCTATTGGCCACACTACAATAAGATTGCCCCTATTTGAAAAGCCCAATGTTTACTTCATATCTACACACCATGCTTATGTCGCTTTTGTCAATATTTAAACAGGCACAAGATTATCTAATTTTTTTATATAAAAAGTCAGCTTCCATTATCATTCCTCCAACAGGGATAGCTATACACATTGCCACTTATTATCTGTTAAGCCACTCACTGTGAGGCCTTCCTTTTTACAGTTATTGCTTTCAATTGTGGATGAGCTGCCCCATTGGAAGAAACATCAATGGAGGGGTTTAAGAGAGATGTAAATGGGTTTAAGAGTAAATGGGTACTTGAAAGTAAGGATGTTAATAATCCTTGTATTTTGTATTGAGAAATAAAAGAAATTAGAAATGATTAGAAAGATAAAGATGTAATAACTAGAACTAATAACTAACTCGATGGGTGAAATGTCACCTTCTTTAAAGATTTCATACCTTCTCTCAATATACAAAATCACTGCACTTTACAGTTTATCCTGTGAAGTGCTTTGAGATGCAATAAGGTGCTTTATCAAATGCAAGGATTCTTATCATTATTATTTTATTATTATTATTATTGCTTCACAATGTAAGTTACCACCACAGCCAAATCCAAGGGTCCATAAAATGTACAACTGCAAATAGGATAAACGCTCCCTCTTGTGGTTACATCTGTAAGTGCACACATCAAGCACGATGATTGACTGGAAGGCAACACAGCGAAAGAAAAAAATTCCATCTGCCTCAGGATTCTGTGCTGAATCACGTTTAATCCATCACATACTTTAGGCTTCACACCACTGAGAGCCAGAGCTGACATCGTACTGTACAATAAGTATCATCACTGCCTATCTGTAGCAATTAGAAGCTTAGAATTAACTGTGCAGCTTCACCCTCCGTGCAGTCACAGGCAGAAATTCCTAGCCGCTGGACAAGTTCTATGTCTATTTTTTTATAATAAAGCTATTTTCAAAGTCTCTTCAAACCGTTTCACATTGACCACTTACCTGTAGGAGGTGTGAGGAACGTAGACTTCTCGAGAGGGGAACTCCAGGATTTCTTTTATTACTCGGCTACGGTTTTCAGGTTGCTGGTTGACGGGTAACAGTTCAGGTGTAAGGCAGAATGTAGGGTTCTCTGGAGCCGGAGAGATTTCCAGCTTTACTTGACCTGAAACACAGTCGGCAAAATCAGATAGGACGACAAAGAACACACAGGTTGCAAGCAAGTCAACCGTAGATATACCTGATACACTGCGTATCACACATGGTATATGGTGAGAAAAATCAGAGGGAGGGATTGACAACAACAACAACCACAACAGCAAATTGGATTTACATGGTCCCTTTCATGTTGAGAGGACCTCCCGAAGGGCTGGACAGTTGAGGGTTTGAACCACAGCTGGGGTTGGATTTGGGAGGGGTGAGGGCTAATTGAGGCAGAAGTGTGTGTGTGGGGGGGGGTAACGGAAGTTTGACCAAAGGTGCAGTCAAAGTGGAAGGTCTTGAGAAGGAAGTGAGGGAAGTGGTGAGGCGAAGGGACTCAGGGATGGAGCTCCAGAGAGTGGGGACAGAGAGGCTGAATGCCTGACCGCTGATGGTGGAGCGGGCAAGGAGAGAGACGTGAAGCAGGCCAGTGCCTGCCAAGCATATATAATTTAGATTAATATATAAAATAAATTATTAGAATAAGAAACTAAATGAGCAGAGCTGTTTCAACTATGGTAAGGAGCTTGCTGAATGATTGATTGTTTGTACCATCACCACTACAAAGTCAAATTGCAGGGCATAAGGGACACTATGGATACTATCTTCCCCTTCCTGTCCCATTGCCCCCACCCCACCCCAAACCCCCTGAGACTGCACAAACATCTCTCCAGATGTTACAAAAGTGAGAACATCGATGTGAGTGAGTGAGAAGTGCTGCTCTACATATGGTAGCTCCGAGAAGCTACCCCATGTGAAGACGCTATATAAATGCAAGTTGTTGTTGTTGGTCGCCAGTTGTGTTTTTGAAGGGAAACCAAAATATTGGTAGTGAATCAAATCATCAAGTAAGTTAATCCAACCAAGTTGTGAATTCATTCACCCCTATCACCTGTATTTAATATATTCTCTAGGTTTGTTCTTAAAATAATCTTAAAACCTGAACAAAACAGAACTCTTACCTGATATCAATCGCAGCCGTCTCAGTGAAGCACTAGATCTCTTCAGTTCAGCCAAAAACTTCAGCAAATCTTCGTCGCTTAGCTTCTCACCTTCCTGCAAACATTAAGAAGACAAACTCAACACCCTTGGCCTAGCTGAGGATATCTGAACAATGGGACAAAATGTGGAATGAGGTTTAAAAAGTGTAATTTTCCAGCCAAACTCTTGAATCTCATGCTGACCTAAGGCAGCACAGTTTTTCCTGAAGCAGAGTTCACCCAGGTCTGAAGCTTTTAACACCAGTGCTAAATTGCTTCTGGCGTTAACAGGATACACACTACTATTTAACTCTCTCGCCTCAGAGTCAGAAGGTTGTGGGCTCAAGCCCCGCTTTGGGACGTAGAATCACATAGTCTAAGCTGACACTCCAATGCAGTGCTGGAGAGGGGTGGGGGGATGCATTCTTGGAGATGCTATTCTTCGGGATGAGATGTTAACCCAAGGTCTTGTCTGCCTGGTCCGGTTAAAGGTTAAAGATCCTATAGCATGATGCGAAAAGAGTTTCTCTCAGTGTCTTAGCCAACAATCCTTCAAATCAAATTCATTACCCACTTGTGGGACATTGCAGTGTGCAAACTGGCTGTTGCATTTTGTCCACAGAATATACAAATTACTTTACAGTATATCCTGTGAAGCGCTTTGAGACATCTCAATGACATGATAAAGTGCTATATCAAATACAAAGATTATTATTGTATTATTATTATTAAATATATTTCTCTTGGAACATCTGTGTAATTAGGAGCAACCACAACAACAAATCACATTTGTATAGTGCACTTCACGTCAGGACGACATCCCAAGGAGCTGGACAGTCAGGGATCTACACCTGAGCTGGTGGTTGGGATCAGGAGGGGTGGAGGGCAGGGAGGGTGGAGATAGGAGGGTGTACAGGATTTCACCTCACAATTTTCTAGACATTATTTGGGGGGGGGGTTCAAACAGTTGTTTATTCAGACAATCCAGCATTTCCCTCAACTGTGAGCTCAAAGTCCTGACAAGATGCTTGCAATCCAATCTTCTTGACCTAGAGACGAGAGTACGACCGACTGAGCCACCATGGGACAATATCCCAATGTAATTCAGTGTTGCTCAAAAGGAGGAAACACTCTTTACTCTCAATAATTATTATTATTATTTTAATAAGAACCTTTACACTAGTAAAACATACAAGTGGGCACACACAGTGATGCATACCTGCTTATAGAAGGTGTTGACGGTATAGGGGGTTGTTTTGAAATAGGGCAGATTGCACTGGTCCTCTGTACCTCCTGACCTCTCAGAAAGTCGTCTCGCTTGCAAGAGATATTTTCGATCTCCTAAATTCCCTTTACCTTTGAGCATTACATAAAAGAGGAAAAATAAAAGGCAAGTTATTGAAGTGTGTGTGTTGGGGGCGGGGGGGGGGGGGGGGGGGAGCGATGGGTGGGGTGGAGGGAAGAGGGAAATTGCCAAAAAAATCTGATTCAAATGTATATACCAGAATATATTTAGGACAATATTACCATTGTTGTTCTCAACCTCTGGTGAATCCCGGTCAACCGTTGCTGTAGAGACCAGATTCATCAGGTTTATGTTAGCCCAGGCAAAGGGCATGCGGTACTTCCCCAGGCGTTGGCAGAATGACTCAGCCTGACTTTTCAGCTTCTCAATTTTATCCTTGTTCTGAAAAATACCAAGTAACATTTAGAACAGAATGCATTAGTGTGCTTAATCAATCTATGGTTGTATTAGAGTCAATACACACGGCCCTGGAAATTACAGGACCAAAAGCTGACTTTACTAGCAAACAATACAGGAGGAAAAAAAACGTCCTCAATAAGGCAACTAAAAGACATTTGGGGAATATGATACAAGTGTGCAGATAGATTTAGTGAAGGCAGGCTTTTGCCATGCCTGATAAATCTATCCAGTGTTTCTGAGGAAGTTAAGCATCAATCACTTGAAGCATTGTGTGAAGTTCTGGAAGTGAACATGCAACTCTCAGGAGTCTGCCCTCTGCACACTGGCAGGCACCTAAGCACCTAAGCAAGGGACCTCAGAGATGCGTAAAGTTCAGGGCATTGACCTGTGAGAAAAAACATCATTGAATCACAGAAATTTACAGCACAGATAGAGGACATTCAGCCCACACTGGCTTTCGGAGCAAGATAAATATAAATGACTGAGAATGGCTAGGGGGTTACACACTCTCTGTCAAGAGGAAAGGCAGAGGGAAGGATTGAGAAAACTGAACATTTACCAGAAAGCGGAAAGAGATTTACAGAAATAAGTTACCTTTGCAGAATCACTCTCTTTCATCACAAGATACGGTTCAGCACATTCTCCAATGTCTCCCTGCTGAAGGACTTTTTCAATCTTAAAGAGAATAAATTATGATATAAGTAAATGACTGAAACACAAACCTCGCTTATCAAACTGAACCACCTTACAGGTAATCTCTGCCACGAGTGTGGGGGTTTGTGTGGTGATTACAGTTTCACACTGGTGTTCCATCCGAGCACTGTTCAGCGAAAAATTGGGTTTCATTTTCATTAACTGTGTGCTGATCGGGTACTTGTACTGATGACAGTCGTCAAGTTTTGGACGACATTAGCTCTGCAAATCATTCCACAAACATCCACTGGGTGACGCTGCAGACAAGCAAGTAGGAGATACATTATTGTATTTTGTACTGAGAAGTTGGGCCAGACTTCCTTTTCATGATTTAACCTTTTGGCTGCACTTTCAATACGTTTTATTCAATCTTATGCCTCTTGTTGTCATTCTTATGCTCGGCCCAAGCTGTGTTTCACGTGCGCAGTTATGGATGCCAAACTTGCATCACCACAGGTCCCAAGATACATGTGGTCCGGTTTCCCGTGTTGCATTAACCATACAGCTGATGGAACCTTGTGATCTTGTGAATCTTGTGAGGTCATTGAGAAACAGCCCTGATCTGGAACATTAGTCAGTGCTCTGGTCATCCACAAACCACAAGCCTACAACTTTGAACCAAACAAGAGAATAATTTCCTTTGATATGGGAAAGATTTGACTTTGATTTATTTATTGATGCTTGTCAGTTCAATAACTCACAAGGAACAAAGATGAGAGTGTGTTAAACAGTTGAATTAATACTGCAAAATGACTGAGATAATTATGCATTGACCTGGAGAATGAACTGCTTACATTTCAAGCAGCTTAACAAATTCCTACACTTTAGAAATTCTGTACTTTCATACACTGGTCCCACATTCTCAGAGCACAGAATTTATACACGTACACGTGTATACATGCATACATGTAAGGATCATACACATTTAAAAAAAACAGACACACTGACATATAGGCATACTTTCACGCACACAGAGAAAACTCTCTCTCTCTCACACACACACACACACACAAAATCACAAGATTGGTCTGGATGAAGAAGCCCCTTTAACCCATCTAATCCTATCCTTCCAGAATAGGATCATCCTATCATCCTCCTATCACACCATCAAGCAGCTTTTTAAATGCACTCATTCACTCACTCACACACACAACACACACACACACACATACAAACACAGGAGCACTGTACCTTGATGACCAGATAAATGTCTGGTGAGGGATAGGTTACGGAGAAGATAGCTGATCTGGCCAGACTGGATGTCTTGATTTGAGGTGTGTGTGGACGAAGAAATGCTTTTATCTGGTCAGTGTTCAAATCACAGTAAAAGTTTTCTGAAATCTGAAGAAAAATAATGACAAAAAATACATTTAGAATTCATAATCCACTGAGAACACATCCTGAGAGTGGTGACCAAGTTGTATGCTAACCCATTCCATTTCAATTAGGTCACGGTACAGCACTGTTCTGCATTCTAACATTCTGCAGGATAGATCTGCCACTTTTTTCAAACTGGATGGTTAAGAATGATAAGGATTTGGGCTAACGATGCTGAGGACTCCAAACCCACTTAAACATGCAATTTTTCAGTGTTTTAGTTTCTATGATCTAAGAGAGGATTATTATTGCAGGGAAGAATTTTCAGAGAGGCTACAGTCAGACATTCCTGCTCCGGAAATTGAGTTGCTGAGTGGCCAGGTTGCTGAATTTAGTTAGTATTTTTCTAGGAATCGTTGTTATTATTACAGTTAAGGCAAAGGTCTTTGAGGGTTAGTTAGTGTGCTAACTCGGTCGCATGGAGTAATAATATTAATCCTTGCATTGATTATTATATAACACTATTATATATCATATTATATAATGATACTATTATATAATCTATCATATTGTACAACAATAATAATCCTTACATTGAATAGAGGCAGACTTTAAGAAAACTCCCGGGGGTGGGTGAGGGGGGAGAAGAGGAACGAACATGTCGGCATGGTCTCCTACATCTCCTAGCACCAGAGAGCAATGGAAGCCATTGACTACAGGCAGAACGAAGGCTACAAATAAAGCCAATGAATGATAAACTATTTGAATATCCCTTAAAATGGATAGATAAGAGGTAAAACAAAATAAAACACATAATACATTTGCTAGAGGCACACAGGATTTCAGGACAATGAAATAATTCCACTGCTGATTGTATCATCCACTGCTTTTGGTTAACAAGACGACACTATGCCTTGACGTGGCTCTTTAAGAATTGCTTAGTGATCCCGTTTCCTTTAATAATTCCATTTCAGCCTCAGTGTATGTTAAAACAAAATCCAAAAAGTTGCCCATGCCTTTCATTGAAGTATATAAGCAAAGGCAGTCTGTGAATTTGCAAAATACATATGTATTGCACATGAAACAACTTACATTTGTATGGCACCTTTCACGTTGGGAAAATGTCCCAAGGAGGTGTAACATATTCAGATAACTTAAGTGCACTTTACTAATCACAAATATACGTGACAAAATACCTTTTTCTTCTCTTTTAAGTCATACAGGGCTAAACTGGCGAACATTGGCTCCACTTCAATTTCAAACCTGTCAAATAAAGAAACGAAGAATTGGGCTACAAGAAGGGCTGCATTTTGGCACACTCCAACGCGTGATGAGTTTTAAAGCAGACAGATATTAAAACATTCCTTGCAGCCATAAGGACAAGTCTCCACTAGAAAACCCAGTGCCGGCATGTGCTCCAAGTATACAGTGAAAGATCAATGGGAGGTACTATAGTCACTACTCGTGTTAAACTATCTCATCAAATTATAAAGTGTCAATGCATTCATTTTATGCAATAAACTTTTATAATAATAATCCTTGCATTTGATATAGCGCCTTATCACATAGTTGAGACATCTCAAAGCGCTTCACAGGATATACTGTAAAGTGGTTTGACTTGTAGGTGAAAACAGATTAGCTGCTGTTTTCACCTACAAATCCACAACAGTAAATCCTGCGAAGCGCTTTGAGAAATCCTCCCGATGTGCAAGATTTTGTATAAAATGGAAGGATTATTATAATTGTCATAATTCAAACTTTTCTTCAAATATAATTAACTGGGGTGGGGGTGGTGAGGGGAGGGGAGCTAGTTGCTGGATCCCATGGAGAGTTTAAAAAGAAAAGGACATACTGATTGAAGCCATCGTGAGCAGACAGAGGCACATCACATTACTACAATATCAAATGCACAAAGTGCGCATCCACACGCTTCAGGATCAGTTTAAACACGCCAGCGTTCAACCTGCCAAGTGATTCATCAGAGACATTTAGTCCTTGATAAATACCTTTACTTTTTTGTGCTGCTGAGCAGTTACTATTTTTGATACCTCTCAGTTAGGTTTTGCAAATAATAACAATAAAATAATATTTTTGAGCCTTTCATGTTGGGAGTACGTGTCAGGATTTACTGTAAAGTGTAGTGACTGTGTGTTTTATACCCAAATGCTACAGATAATTTGCGTACAGGAATGAAGTGAATGACCAATTTTATCTGGGGAATTGCTGATCAGGACGCTGGGAGAAACTCCCTACTCTTTTCAAATAGTGCCATGGGATCTTTAACGTCCACCTGAATAAACAGACAGGACCTCACTTTAATGTCTCATCCAAAGGATGGTACATCCCACGTGCAACGGACTGCATTGGAGTATCAGCCCCAAAGTGAGCTTTGAACCTACAGCCTTTTGACTCAACTGAGTCAGACCCCATTTCAGGCAGATTCAAAGTGAAACCAAAACTTGAACAGAAAGAAGTTAGGTGATCAATTGTAAAATTACTTTATGGTTTGGCATTTCACAAGGATCCTGTAACCCAAGTGTTCCTTCGGACAATCAGGAGCAGGACGGATTTCCACAGCATCCTCCTAAGTAACAGAAAGGGAAGCGTTAAGGTATTTTCTGATAAACAGACTCATTATAAAACTGTGCAGCACACACCACTTTGTACACCAGTTGTGTGTCATTTTTTAACCAAGTCAAAGGCATCAAAAAGTCTTCAGCCAAAGGTAGCTGTCAATAATGTAAATCATGTTGAAAGTAACATTGTGAACAAAACAATAATAATAATAATCCTTTCATTTGATATAGTGAGTTAACTTTGGAAAGCAAAAGTGTAAATGATGAGAATCATGTGAGAAACTTGACTGTAAGTCTTGGCAGATTGTTTGACACCAGGGAGCACTGCAGCCAAATGCAAGCCCTACTCACTCAGCGCCACATCCACATTTCCCAGTATCGTCTCCAGCCAGCAATCGGGAGCATTAACCCTGGATAAATTCATCTTTCCTAACCCAGTGGGGCTGAGACCATCTGTAGCACCTTAAATACTGAGATCAATGAATACAAAAGAGGACTAGGATTTGAACCTGCAACTTCCGAACCTGTATACCCTAATGTTACACCTTTACTCACTAGTCCATTGGAAGAGCGAATTGTGCCGTTTTTATAATTGCTCATGTATGAAATATGAATGTCATACCTCCTCTGCTGATGGAAAGAGAGCAAACAGTTCCATTTGTCTGTCGGCTTTTCGTGCCTCTTCGTTTTGTTTGTCGAGCTCCTCAGGGTTGAGGGTCTGAAGGACATTTTGGAGGCGGGGCTCCGGCTGCAGACTCTGGAGGTCAAAGTCGGTTGACGTCAATGTTCCCTGCCCAGGTTGCCCACATAGAGTTGGTCTGGATTTGTCCTGTGGAAATAAGTCATTGCAGCTTTACAAACCATGTTAAAAACCATATAATACCTTAGTGATGTATGCCCCTTGGATCAGAGCTCTATAAAGCTGTGGGCCAGCATCTTAACCAAGGGCCTTCAATCTTTATTTCTCAATATAAACCTGGCTGGAGAACAATGGCAATGGGGTTCATCACAAAGCAATTGTAAACGGTAATCATCATGTGTTTCAATAGGAAATTCAATTACAATGCGGGCCTGTTATAACGTACTTCTTTATAATGTGAATTCTATTACACCTGCTTGCCAGCTGGCATTTACACTAAAATGGCCAATGGGGAACTTATTTGCTGTGCAAAGAGGGAAGTGGTCCTTGAACTGTTCCTGTGTTATCCTGGCCACTTGGAAGTCAGACATAACCAGCTTCCTGCACTTAAATGAGAAGCTGAACTCCAGACCATCCCTATAAAAACACACGATGGAGAAAAAAAAGCCACTGGCTGTCAGCTCTGGATAGATACTTGAGGATCTTCAGACACTACCATTGAAAAACAACAATAACAACAACAAGTTGCGTTTATATAGGCCCCTTCATGTGCAGTAGCGTTTTGGACAATTTAAACTATAAACAAGTGAAGGAAAGGACAGCAATAAGCCCTTAGATTGGTTGAGGACATGTCATTTAACAGCAGAAAAACACATCACCAACTCTTATTATGGTACACTTTTTCGAAGTGGGCTTTATTAGAGAGTAAAGGAAGTGAGGCAGACAATTGACATGAAGGAAAGGCTAACATAGTGAATGAAATGAATAGATACCTTGATTTCTTGACTGGACAAATCAACAGTTTCCTCCGATTCGAAGATTTGCTTCTGGAGAGTTTTGTGCAGATCTTTCCTTGATCCAGGTCTGCTTGAGTTCAAAGTTCCACTGCTACCTTGGTTCCTGAATAACAGGCGTTAGAATCAATAAGTATAATAATTCTTCCATTTGATATAGAGCTTTTCGTGTTGAGAGGAGAACATCACAGGATTTACTGGAATGTGCAGTGAGTGTATGTTTTGTTGGCAAACATGGCAGCCAATTTGCAAATAGAAATGTCCCACAAACAGCCTTGAAGTAAAGGGTCAAACTTATATGGAGGACTGTTAGCCAGGATACCTGAGAAACTCCCTTCTGTTTTCAAATACTGCCATGGGATCTTTAACTTCATTCTGAATAGGCAGTGGAATTTCAGTTTATTACTTCATCTAAAAGACCGAACCTCCAACAATGCAATAAACCCCCAGCACTGAGTTTGGAGTGTCAGCCTAAACTATGTGAGCTCAGACTTGAACCCACAACTTTCTGACTCAGAGGCGAGAGTGCAACTAAAATGGCAGATTGACACTGAAATAATCCATAATGCAGTGTTTCTATTAGTCTATTTTCTATGTCATACATGCACTCATCATCTCAAGGCTCGACTACGGAAACTCCCTCCTTGTCAGCCTCCCCAACTCTTCCCTCCACAAGCTGCAGATCAAGAAGTCTGCAGCTCGTGGCCTCTCCTGCACCAGGCTCTGTCACAACATTACCCCAACCCTCGCCCGGCTCCACTGGCTCCCTATACCCCCAGTGGATAGAGTTCAAAATCCTCGTCCTCACTTTCAAGACCCTCCATGGCCTTGCCCCCTCCTACATCTCTGACCTGCTGACCCCCAATTAACCTGCCCGCTCCCTCCGCTCAGCAGGCTCCAGCCTGCTCCAGCTCTCCCGCCCAACCATCGGTGGCCGGGCTTTCAGCCTCTGCTCCCACTCTTTGGAACTCCATCCCACAATCCCTTTGCCTTGCTCCCTCTCTTGCCTCCTTCAAGGCACGACTCAAGACCCTCCTTTTTGACCGTGACTTCAGCCGCCCTCCTACCCCCTCTGCCCTCCCTCATCCCAACCCTGCCTCACCCCCACCCGCGTTCAGGTCCTGATCCTTGACTATTCAGTGCTTAGGGACGTCCTCCTGTTTTGTTGTTGCTGTTGTAGTCATCAAAAATGAGTTGTGGGTTACCTTGTACATGAATTTGCCTTGAGGATGTTGACAACTCCACACTGGCTATGCAAAATGCAGGGTGTGAATAACAGCGTGACTCATTAGGGGACTCAGAGGAAATATGGGCTGGCTATTTCACTCATGCTCATTGGTGGTTAGCTAATAAGCATATAGCAAAATGATGTTTTTGTTAAAAGTGGGGGAAATGCCCTGGTAAATATATATCGCTAAGAAGGTTCTTTTTGAGTATGATGTACAGCTATCTTATACTTGGATACTGAACGGTATGATCCACAAATAATGCTTTTTCAGAGTGAAAAGCACATTAAGATTATAGCACAGAAAAAGACCATTCAACCTATTCTGTCTATGCTGGCACTTTCAAATAGGTGTATAAAATGAGAGAGATCATGGGTACGTATTGTGTTACTTACTTTCTGTTCACGATGAGCCATTCCTGAGTGTAAGTTTGAACACAGTCTCGGACATGTGGATCTAGATCAACCCTAGGAATAAAAGCAAACAAAAAGGCTAACAAAATGCTTATAAAATGTCCCAGCTTGCTTCATGAAAATATTTGTTACAAAATGCATAAATATAACGGGACCTGCTATAAACACAGTTTAAAATAGTTAAAAAGAATCACATTGAAGTGAATCATTGCAAGTTAAGAGGCTGGAGTTGTCTTTGATCTGTGCGGTTTGAGAATCATCAGTGGAAAATAGTCATCATTCCTCTAAACACATCTACTGGGATAAAGGATCCTAGATTCTCCTTCTCGGATTCTCAAATGGGTAGCGTTGCTGTTGTAATTCTGCGCCCGCTTGTTGATCAAACATAATTACATAATATTTCACCCTGGTGGCATTGTGGTGTGGTATGTGGGAAGAGCAGGTTTCAGAGAGCAAGCTTTCACCTTGAGGTGCTCACAGTCTACAGAAGTCGAGGAGAGTCAAATAGAGGAACAGAGTGGAGGTGAAAACACCAACTCCCACCACAAACACACACATCCATACAAACACCCACACACAAATAAACCTCCCCCCACACACACAAACAAACCTACCCCCCTCACACACAAACATATAAAACCCTCCCAGACCCAAACACACACACACACCCTCCCCCCCCCACACACAAACGTACAAACCCCCACAGACTCAAACACAAACCCACACAAACAAACACACATACCCAAAGGTACACACACACACACACATTAAATGGCTTTTGTCAAGAATAGTTCCCAGCCTTTGATCATGTGAACTCTTTAGAAACAATTTTGAGCCATGCTGAAGGCAATGGAGTCTTCTGGTACTCTGCCCAAGTGGTCTTCATGTAGCAGCTAGACAACGAGTATCAACTGCATACTTCCTTGTGAGTTGGTTTAGGGTATTACCGATCAGAACCACCTGACTGTCTTCAAATGGTTGTGCCCACTGAGCTGCTACAACCCACAGCCCACGATATCAGTGCCAGTTTGAGGAAGACTTGCTCAGGTTCATATGCAACCATCTGAACAATAACAACAACAACAAGATTGCATTTATAGAGCGCCTTTCACGTCGGGAAGAGGTCCCAAGGCGCTGGACAGTTGGATCGGGACCCGAGCAGGGGGGAAATGGTCAAGGTGAGGGGAGGGAAGGGAGGGAGCGAGTAGGGGGTAGAGAGTCGAGAGGAGAGCTGAAGGTGAGATAAGATGAGATGAGATGGGTGTTCAGTCATTGGCTGGTGTATCACCAGATAAAGAATGCCACACAATGCGATAAGTATGCATGTATTACTTGGTCACATAGAAATACATAGGAACCGAGGATCAGGGTGGGACCGTTTAGTCCATCCAGTCCATGAATCATCGCACTGGTGTATTAAACAAGACTAGATTTGGAGAATGGCTGCTTTACCCTTCTTCTGGCATGGAAGGCTGTAGCGTATGACATTCTCTGGGAACAAAAGTAATCTCCAGGTCATCATCCGGGAAGTCCCCCAAGTCCTGCTGGAGCTCAGAATCTGTAAGGCTGAAATGTGCCATCATGAAGTCTTCATAGTCCAATGGCACTACCGGTTCATAAAATGAAGGCTGCGGAACATGAAGGGAAGGAACCGCTGATTAATATGTATTCAGGATGTAAATGGGAAACTTACCCATTTAAAAGCAGCTTTTACATAAATCAAACATGAACTAAATTTACTGTACTATAATAATACTAATTGTACATATAGCAACCTATAGTATATACAGCACTTTATAGTACATATAGCAGTAAAGTCCAGTAGCGCAGTGGTTACCTCACTTGTCTCGCAAGCAAGAGGACCCAGGTTCATTTTCTGGGCGGGGTGAAAGCTTAGGCAAATTTCCTTACTCCACACACCTCTGTTTACCCAGCAATAAGTAGAAACCCGGTTGTTATTCGATTGGTGGATCGCTTTCCCGGGGTAATAAACCCTTAAAAAAATAAGAATTCGATCATTCAATCCACGGCTGTTTGTGGGACACTGCTGTGCCCAATCGGCTGGCGCGTTTCACCCACAAAATACACAATCAATTCCCTTTACAATATATTCTGTGTAGCGCTTTGAGATGTCTCAACAATGTGATAAGGCGCTATATCAAATGCAAGGATTATTATCATTATCACGTTGAAACATCTCCAAGTGCTTTTTTTTTGGTAAAGTGTAGTGACAATATATTTGAGTGACTCACAAGCAAGTGTACAATGGTGGTGGTTGTAGTGAGGGGTAGGGTTACTGTTAGAATGACTACCCCTTTTACCAAAATCAGTAAAATAAGTAATTTTCCAACAAAACCAGCACTAAAATAATGGGCTGAAAAAATGACCTGATGAGGCAATGATGACAAATGCTATTATCAGAATGTTAAAAATTCCATCTTTTTGGTGGCTTTAAAAGTACAAATTAAGATAAGATGGGAACCCGGACACTGGCAGTAACATCAATGATCCTCAGAGCCAGCTTTGGGATGGGACAACAACTGAAACACTGATGGATTTCTTCAGGCAAATTACAGCACGTGTTGCATTTTTCTCCCCAAAAATTCTGCAAAAATTCACATTCTGTCTGTCATCATTAGTCACCAACTAATTTGCAGCATGGGAAGTTCCCCTTTAGCCTTTAACCTGAGCAGTACAGGCAAAACTGGAAACACACCGAGTATTGATCTGCAACCTACACCATATTGTCCCTCACTCTGTTGCCCTTTAATCCTGATTATAAATGCTTTACACTTGCGAGACCCATGATAAGTTCAGAGATGTTTGGCAACCTCATGTCGGCACTAGATGCTAGGAAGTGGGTGCAAATGGGCCTGCAATGCATCACTCACAGATTTTACCGCCCACATTACAAGATCCGTGGTGACCTGGCAAGATTGGCATCACACCACGTGGTAAGCTATGGCGCTGAGCTTTTTTGCTGCATCAGTATTAAACAGTTCTTATCACTCCTGTACAGGCTACGGGAGCCTGCACAAAATAACCCAAAGTATCAGGGACATTACGATCTCTGTTGCAGAACACTTTCTACACTGATGCAAGGAGAGAGAGAGGGAGAGAGACTGGCAATCTGTGCTGGTTCTTTGCATCAACATAATGGAGTATGTGTGACATTATACAACAGAATACAACTTTATTTTTATTAAAATTAAGAATGTCCTTGAATTGAAAACTGATTTTGCAAATGCAAAACAATATTTGGCCCATATTTAGACAAGGGCAGATTTATTAGACTATGGCTACTTCTCACTTGCAGTGACTAAGTTTTATTTGTGACTAGAGGGCATCAATTTAAATAGAATACTCACAATTGATATAGCACCTTTCTTGTCAGGAAGACATTTCAAAGTGCTTCACAGGTTTATACTGTTAAGTGTGTCACTGTGAACTTTGTAGATAAATTGGCAGTCAATTTGTGCACAGTAGTATCTCACAAACAGCTTTTACTTTTGTTTGATGAGCAATGGACAAATGAATGATCCATTTTATCTGGGGCATTGTTGGCCAGGACACCGGGAGAAACTCCCTTCTCTTTTTGAGTAGTTCTACGGGACCTCAGTTTAATGTCTCAATCGTAAAGGATGGCACCTCCGACATGAGTTTAGGTGGAATTATTCTTACACGGACTTGTTGGGATGTGGAAAGTGGAATGCCCTGTTGGATGTGGTGGTTGAGGCAACATTCATATTAGGTTTTAAGAGGGATCTAGACAGTTATCTAAAAGGCAGTAATTTGTAGAGATTTGGGGAAAAGGTCAATGGAGCTAAATGAATTGCTCTTTCACAGAGCCAGCACAGACTCAATGGGCTGAATGACCTTCTTCCATGCTATATATTTCTGTGCTTTTACTTTTGTTTGATGAGTAATGGACATATTGGGTTTGGGCCTGCTTTCTACATCGGATGCTTTCAACATCAGGACCGCCCTCACTTTGACTGGCTTCCTGCTTTTACACACGCCCACACTTTGATAGGTTTTTTTAAAAAATACTGTTCTCCTTCCTCTCCGGAAGACACTGGTATGTGATTCAATCTAAGCAGTGAGTTTACTAACTTAGCCATCAAGCTGCTGAAAATTCAATTCAATTTGGAAGAGTCAGTCTGAAGTTAATTAAATTGAATGTTCCTATTATTTACACATAACTGTGGGCAGTGTCGGGACATATACTGGATAGTATAGTACTTACTTAGATATGAAAACAGACCATTACTAGTGTATTATCCAGGAGCTATTTGGTATGTGTACAATACAATATAAAATTACATTTGTATAGCGCCTTTCACATTGGGAGGATGTCCCAAGGCACTGGATAGTCAGGGATTTGGACCCAAGCTGGGGTTGGGTTCGGGGAAGGTGGAGGGTAGGGTAGGAGGGTTGCGAAGGCTCGGTCGAAGAGGAGGGTTTTGAGATGTGCCTTGAAGGAGGCAAGGGAGGGAGCGAAATGAAGGGAATTTGGGATGGAGTTTCAAACGGTGGGGTAATATATTGTGAACTGAATTGACTGTATATTACATGGGCAAAACACGGCAGCCAATTTTGCACAGCAGTGTACTACAAACTATGGATTGAGTGACCAAATCATTTTTTTTTTGAAGGGATTATTATCCCCAGAAACGCAATCCGCCAATCACCTAATTAACTATTGAATACCTAACTGGATGTTGTTTTCAGCTACAAAATACTCATTACTCTTTAAAGTAAATCATATGAAGTGCTTTGAGACACTCTTCTGATATGAGAAATGCTAAATCAAATACAAGGATTATATTTTTATCCCCCCTTCAGTTACTCTGGGTTGTTATATTCCTCAAATCGGTTCAATGACAGCCACCTTGATGGGCTGAATGTTCAAGTCCAGTGCCACAAATCAGCTGATTAATCCAGGTCCTCATATCAGGAACTTTGGCAAATGGACGTCCAAAAACCAATGGGCACCCCACTACCAATGTATACTATGCATCAGAAAACTTCGATGAGATGGTTTGATTTAATGCATATCATGTTCATAGACTAGTTGTTTGTTTAATGAAGGCAGTATCTTACAGGAGACCTTCCAACACATTTAGAATTATTCTATATCCATTTCTTGCACAAACATTAAAATACATTATTGCCAAGTAGCCCAGCACAACATGAAACAACAAGATATGGGTTTATGCTGACAACTCCCTGCCTTGAGAGTTTCCTATCGCATACTGTTCCATCAAGAGTAGAGCAGATGTGGGGGTGGGGGAGGGGAAGGAGAGCATGTCATCAAGAAAAGTAGTTTGTGGGCGAAACACAGCAGCCAGTTGCACCCAGCAATGTCCCACAAACAACCGTGGAGTGAGTGACCAATTTTATTTGGGGGATTGTTGTCCAGGACACCAGTAAAAACTCCCTTCTTTGTTTGAATAACATCATGGGATCTTTAATGTCCACCTGAATAGGTAGACGGGACTTCGGTTTAACGTATCATCTGAAGGACAGCACCTCCAACAATGTAGCACACCCTCAGCACCACATTGGAGTGTCATTTTAGACAATGTGATTCCAAGTCTCAACGTGGGACTTGAACCCACAACCTTCTGACTTAGAGATGAGAGCGCTACCACTGAGCACCAGAGTAGAAGCTTTTAAGAATGCTGAAGTCAATTGATTTTTCAATCATACTGTATGATTCAGTTCCAAAATATTCCACGCTTTGAATAAAACAAAACTTACTTTTGCACTAACAGTGTTTTATATACCAATTGGCTGCTGCGTTTTGCCCACAATTATACAGTCAATTCACTTTACAATATATTCTGTGAAGTGCTTTGAGACATCTAGAAGACGTGAAAACCGTTATATCAAATGCAAGGATTATTATTATATGAGGAAGATGATCCTATGACAACAACTTGCGTTTATATAATTTTAACTATATCATTATAATATAGTGCCTTTCATGCAGGGGAAGTGTCTCGGAGCATTAACATGACAATTTTATCCCATTCTAGTGTTTTCTTATTCATATTTACAAGTATTACAGTGTGTGTCTTAGTCTTCAGCAAGCCAAGGCTCAGATTTATTTCTGGATCATCGGTAGGGGCACAATTAGTTGTTACTGTTCAAAGACCTCACCCTAGAGAACACAACACAGGATGCAAGAATTCTACACTGTTAACCCCAAGATTGTTATCTACATTATTGCTAAAGAAGTAGAAATTGAACCATTTAAGTATTTCAACCAAACTTTCAAAGCAGACTATGAACCAGTTGAAGATTTTAAGGATGTAGTCTCTTGGCTTACATTTAACTGATCCATGTAGGATAAATTGGGATGAATTCACTGATTTACACCTACTTCTAATTCAGACAAGTCAAGAGTTAGTCTCATTTATTGTTTCGAATCTGTAAGCGCCAAAGTTCTAAGTTTAACAATAATGTGTTGTTGAGGCAGAATCCATGAATTATTTTCAATGGAATCAGATAGATGCTAAAAAAAAGGGAAACAGTACATAAAAAGGTATGGGGAGTGATCTGGAGAGTGAGATTCAAATAGTGTTCACACAAAGAAAAATACTCGCGCAACATCCTGTGATTT